CAGAGACTCACTAAACCCCAACCCAAAGAAGAAAATATCTCATTGATGTGAATCATGATTGGTATTTTGTGGATGCATAAATTGAACAATTCTGTAATGCAAAGGATGACATGACAAAATTGATAAGTGAAGTGGTTCATCATTCCAATGAGAAAAATTTTGAGACAAGGACTCTCCATTGAAATTGAGGATTCGAAAGAAATGAGCAAATAAGGTTAGTAATGTCTGAAGTTCAATCCAAGATCACACATAAAACCAAAATCTTATAGAAGAATATGTTATATGTAGCAAGTGATTATAAATGAAGCTTGCAAATGATTTTATTATTGAGTAAGTAATAATTGTGATTAGAAGAAGCTTGAAAGAAGGTGAAGTCACTGAAAGTTTGAAGTTAATATTGATTGAGGCTTTGAGTGAGAAATCACTTGGAAAAGAATAAAACTTTGGTATAAAAGTGGAGTAGACAATATTTCTGTCACATAGGATTTGGTTGTGTGTTGAATGATCTTATAGAATCTTTGTTATCTTTGATTTTAGGTCTTGAAAATAATTCATTTTTGAGCCATTCTTCTGGATTCTCATTAATTATTTGAGATCTAATAGTCAACTGCTGATCAAAGCCTTCACCAGATGGGAAGAGGGCAACACAGAGGGAGAAAAATCTGAAATGGGAATATCAGAACCAAACTCACTAATATTTTGGTATAGAGAAACCAAATATAGAATGATGTTTGGTGTGAAGCCCAAGGCCTAAGCCAAGGGAAAAAAATTCTTTTGACAAACAAACACACCCTATGGGGCGGACAGCGGATAACACATGTTTTAGACCAACTTCTGAATGAAACAGTACTGATAATAATGATGATGAAAAAATAAAAGATAACCAAACCAAATAAGAATCAAAAAATAAAAATAACTATCATAAACAATAACTCATAACAAACTAAAGAATAAGAGACCCCATATCATACCCTATCAAATATATGCCATTTTATTTTGTAACCTGACTTGCCGGGAAATGGGAGGGTGGGCAAACTTAAATAATAACTCTTGACTAGGAAATATAATCTTATAAATTGATGATAAGATAAGTTCAACAGAAGTAAATGCTATGGGAAAGTTGAGAACAATGGTGGTAAACAGCTATGATATCATAGCTGTAAAACAAAGAGATATGGTTAACAGGCTGACCCATCAGTACCAATACACATGTGATAGATTCCAACTTTCCCATTCCACCATGTTAATCACAAGTTACCAACACCAAGCAATGATTTGTTGGATTTATTTCTGTGCTTTAAAAAGTCTTTTTACATATTAATGTATTTCATATAAATGTATTTTTGTTTTATTCATTTTTGTGTTTCTTCATTTACCACATTACATCATATAGCCCAATGAAGAATGTTACATCACTGATCTTGTGATGTCATAGCTGTAAATTTCATTTTGCGTTTTCTTTATAACCTGATCACTGAACATCAATCTGATAGGTTTTTTTTTCTTTTCCTCATCTGACTGTATCATTACAAAATCTTTATATAAGATTACTGTCATTTCTCTCTTTCTCTTATACTGAGGTTCTGCTTTTGTTTGGATTGAGTCCAACATGATTTGCTTGGCCTGATTAGAACATTCCACCATCTATCTCCTGACCAAGCACAACTTCACACTTTTGCAGGGCACTTTTGACCATGTAAGATTGATGCTTCAAGTACAAGGATAAAGTTCCCTACTGTGGGAGTTAGAGTTAGAAGTGTCTGCAATGAAAAATCAATTTCTGTTAGACTCAAAAACCCAAGGTTCAATTCCAGAGGTACTATTTATCACAGCTGTTGTGAGACTGGGATCAGTGTGAAATCTTAAGAAATCTCTTGGGAAGGAGTTGTGCGGCGCCCGCCGCTGAATGGGCTAGTTGTATGCTATTTCTAGGGCTGGGAGCAAGCTTTTCCAATCATGTGTATAGCCATTATTGTCTTTGAACTCAAGTCCGAATGCACAATATCTCCTGACGAGATCACTAAGACTCTCGATCATCCTTTCCGCCAACCCATCTGTCTGAGGATGATAAGCGGTAGACATGGCTAATGAAGTTCCTGCTAGGCTGAACAGGCCTTTCCAAAATTCAGACGTGAATTTCGGGTCTCGATCACTAATGATCACTCTAGGTAATCCTGTATCAGAGATTACTCTTTCCCAGAAAAGCATAGCAATGTCCATTGCCGTCGCGCTCTTGTGACAAGGTAGGAACCTACAACGTTTCAAAAACCTGTCTACTACTACCAACACGCAATCTACATTGTCATGTCCTGCTGGCGGTAACCCCGTCACGAAGTCCATATTAATGACTTCCCACGGAGTTGTTGGTTCTTCGATATGTTGAAGCAGCCCCAGTCTCTTGCCTGTAGCTCTATTGGCTTTCTGGCATCTATCGCAGGAGCTGACGTATTCTTCTGTCAGTGTCCTCCATCCTGGCCACCAAGCTATTTGCTTCACTCGATCTATAGTCCTTTCGCTGGATAGGTGGCCTGACATCACATCGTCGTGGCATATCTTCAGAATGTCGGTCTTCAATCTCTGTGAGGTTATCACCATTGCGCAGGAATGCCTTTCTCCATGGTATAGTATTCCGCTCAATAAGGTGAATCTTCCTTCATCAAACGATTTTTTCCATTCTTTCTCCAATGAGGCTGAAAGGTCTAATGCTTTACACCCCTGCTTCATTATGGTTAATAGCTTGACAGTATTTGGTTCTTTTTTGTAGTCTTCTTTGATTTTATCGTAAAATTCTTCTGATAAATCTGATATAGTTATGCCCATAATTGGCAAGTCTCTGCTAATATCATCTGGATCCCATGCCGGGTTCTCAATGTCATTCTCGAGTGCCATTCTGCTCAAGGCGTCTGCGTTCTCGTGCTTACGCCCTTCCCTATGAGTTATCGTCATACATGATTGGTACTCCTGAATGGCTATCTGCCACCGCAGCATATGCCTATTAGGAGTTTTCATATTCAACAGGGATTTTAGTGCTGTGCAATCTGTTATTACCTCAAAGAAGGATCCGTCGAGATAATAATGGAACTTTTCCAGAGCCCAAACTAGGCATAAGTTCTCTAGTTGAGTGGCTCCGTAGCTCAGCTCGGACTGTTTCAACTTCCTTGATATGCAACTAATCAGTCCCTTGAAATGTTTCCCGTCTACAATCTGAATCTGTTGTAATGTGGCTCCCAATCCATCAAAGCTAGCATCTACATATACTTTAAAGGGCAGTTTAAAATCTGCGTGAAGCAAAAACGGGGCTTCAGTTAGTTTCTTTTTTAGTAAGTTCCATGATGCTACTCTGTCCACTGTCATTTCGAATGTGACACCTTTCTGTAATAATTTATACAGTGGACCACTTGCTTTGGCAAAGCCTTCTAGGTGAGATCTGTAGTAGTTTGCGAATCCTAGGAACTGTTGCACTTCTTTAACTGATTGTGGTATTTGTTTTTTCAACACTGCTGCTACTTTGTTTTGGTCTACCGCTATCCATAGGCCTGAGACTATATGTCCCAGAGCTTTGAGTTCTTCGAAGGCAAAATTAGTTTTCTGCAAGGATATCGTCATCCCTAAATTGACAAGTTTTCTAAAGACATGTTCTAATTTGGTTAAATGTTCCTCCCATGTCTTGGAGAACACAATAATATCATCTATATAGATAATGAGCCATCCTTCACTCAACTCCGTTGCAAATTCCGTATCCATCATACGTTGAAAATGTGCCGGAGCCCCTTTGATCCCGAATGGCATCTTGAGATATTTGTGTATGCCCATGTGAGATATAATTCTCAGCAAATATCTGCTTATTTCGTCTACTTCATTCTGATGAAACCCCTTCATAACATCCATGGTGGTGATGTATAGGGCCATACCTAGGTTTGTCAGGCAATGACTAATTCTAGGCATTGGGTATCTATCCGGCACTGTGAAGGTGTTCAGTGCTCGGAAATCTCCACACATCCGAGATTTGCCGTTATGCCAGGCTATGATAACAGGTGTTGTCACATCTACTTCCTCGTCTGCTCCTACTTTCCGTAGGATGCCATATCGAACAAGTTCGTTGACATGTTTCTCTATTTCATCTCTACTCCGTGGGCTCGCTGGATATGCCTGCTTTTTTAATATCGGAGGGTAAGGTTTCTCTATATTAAGTCTGAGCTTGAGTTTATGACCTTTAATGGTCCCTATTGGATTGTCTCCATATGCAAAGGCGCTTTTGTACTTTCTCACCACTGCTTTCAATGAGTGTAGTTCGGTAGATTTCAACCTAGGCGAAATGTTACATTCCTCAAAGGCTTTCTCAAATGCTTTGTCTGTTTTCGCTGAAACTGCTGCTATGGTTTGTTCTTTCATTAGACTTAAGAGGAATTTCTTCTTCTTGTTTTCGTTTCCTATTGTAAAGTATTTCTCTTTACTGTGGACTATATCGAATCCATACAATCGAAGGAATTCTCCTCCTAGGATAAAGTACTCTGATGTGGCGTTATCCATTATTACAAATTCTGGTTGAATTTGTACTGATCCTAGGTGATGAGGAAATATCATAGGGAGCTCTATAACTCCTATCGCTTTCAGTCTGTTACTACATCCTCTGAATGTCATGCTGCTTGGAGGCAACATCCGTTCCTTCCAGTCCTTTACGAATTTGTTCAGATAGTTCATTCCAACTATGGAGCACGCTGCTCCACTGTCGAGCAATATTTCCACTTTCTGATCCCCATTCACTAAAGCCGAGGTGAGGCAGTGATGACCTATTGTATGCGCTTGTCCTCATTTGGGTTTAGACATCATAAGTCGCGCATCTGATACTTGCGACGATGGTTTCGTATTTTCTTCCCATTGTTGGGGTATGGCAGCTTGTGATTGTAGCTCCGCTATATCACATCCTTCTGCTGCTTCCACTGTGATTGTGGCTATGTAACTTAGAACTCGTAGTCTTTCGTCCCATATATTTTGGGGTATTATTGGAAATTGAAATGTTTGGCTATCTGTTCGTATCTTACAGCGTGTTCTACCTCCTAGGTAGAGAGAGAATCCGAATTCTCGTAGGTCTCTGCTACCTAGTATCAAGTGATCTAATTCGTCGTCCCGTAATACCGTGAACTTGATCATCAGAAAGCACGGATTATATACGTGTTCTAGTTTAATCGGCATTGACACTTCTCCTAGTACGTCCAACTCGTCTGTGCCGGTTGTTTTCATATCTGTTGGCCATGTTGGCCAGTACTTGTTTAGGATTTTTGTCGAAGCTATTGAGGGTTCGATGCCTGTATTCAAGAGCATGTGGCTGCTGAAACCCGATATCGTAACTGCTATGAATGCTCTGCTTTCTGCGTTATCGAAGTTTCTTCGTTCTAAAAATGGCGGTGGATTAACTGATGCTGTAACTTCCTCAGCTATTCTCAAGTTCTTGGCTAAATCTTCTATTGACAAAGTTGGAGTTTGTACTTGTACGGTCTCTTCTGTAGCTTCTGATACAGTTGCAAGACACTCTTGTTCTCGGTGTTGATCCATCATATCGATGTTACCTATACATAGCCCATTCTCATCATCATCGGATGATTCCGTTCCCCTATGTTCTTGCTCTTCTGACATCTCTGTCTTTTCTTCGTCATCTTGTTCTTCGTCCATTTCGTTACTTATCACGTTAATAGATTTCTTCTCGAATCTGCTACCTTTATTGGTGTCATTTCTAAATGAGACTCTCGCTGGACTGTTCCCTGAAGGTCTACTCGGTCTATAGTCTTTGTATTTCCCGACCTCTGTAGGTTTCGGATGTTCGCTTGCTTTGTAATCTCTAAAGCTGGATGTCTTTTCCCTGCTTGAAAAATTATAATTTCGGTAGTCTTTTGTCTTCTGAAGGGTTTTACCTATCGAGGTATTTGTCACGACTTCCTGAAAGATGTTCACAAAACTTTTGAAGTCTGAATGGTCCGAAATACGAGACTGGACCGCGTGCTCAATATCTCCGTTACACAATCCCAGCACTTTATCTATTTGCTCCCGGATTGTAAGGAATGGCCATGCTGCGTCCATTCTGCGACGCTGCATAAGTAGCCATGCTGTCGGTTTTTCTCTATTCTCCCATTTGAATGTGTCTCGGTCGAATGCTGTGGCCATTTTTCTTTTCCAGATGGGTGTCCCGAAGTGATCCATGATCATCTTCTTCCATTCATCCCATGATCGCTTTCCTAAGCCTCTCCTTTTCACTGTATACCAGCTTCGTGCTGAATGTGTTAATATTACTCCTAACTTACAGGTAATCAGTGAATCTGGAATACATGTATCCTCCTTCGTATTATCAATCCATTCGATCCATTCTAGGTGATTATATTCCCCTTTGCCGCTGAATTTTGGCCAATCCCTTGCTGGGATTTGTCCTTTCTGTAGAGCTTTTTGTTCTTCTGCATCTGGTCCTTCCAGTTCCTCTTTTTCATATGTCGTTTCTTTTCTTAGAATCTTTGGTTCCATTGGTTTTTCCTGTTGTCTTTTCGGCGCTGATGCAGTGCTTCCTTCATTGCTCTGAGTTGTAACACCTTCTGCAAAAGGATTGTTTCCTAACGCTTGTTCTGATATATTGTCATTCAGGTTGTTCTGTGTTTTCATCATAGATATCATCCTCGTCACGTTCATGTGTAGCAGGACTATTTGGTGTGCTTGGTTATCCAACTTCTCACCTAGTCTACACATCATCTCACTGAGATGTGTGCTATGAATTTCCACTACTTGTTTGCATGTCAAGCTATATGCTTCGATGATCTGTTCCAGACTGTTCTTGCAATCTCCACATGTGTTCCTGGCTTCTGATGCCCTCAATCCTTCTTTCAACTTTGTTACATCTGTCTTGATATCGTCAAAGTTCAGATTTAACTCATCGTTCAGCATATTTATACCGAAGTCCCATTTTTCACTGAGCAAACGGATATTATTGTCAAGTTTGTGTTCCAACGATCTCTGAAGATTCTTCATCATGCTAGAGATGTCTTCTTTGTGTTCAATAATGGATGGGATTGATTTTGGAGATAGGCTCTCGGTCTGCAGTTGTAGTGCTTGAAATTTTTTGTTCAGGCTAAAGTGTTTGTCGAACGATGTATTACTTGAATTGTCTGTTTGTTCCCTTACCGGTCCTGCTGCTACAAACGGTGAGATGTTATCTTCAGTTTCTCTTATTATATCTTTGATACTTTTTGTTTGAATTATTGGTTCTTTTAACTTAGTCGTAATCAACGGTGTCTTCCCGTGTACTTTGTTTTCGAAGCTTACTGTTGATTGTTTTTTCTCGTTTGTTCTGTTTACCTCAAAGTTGAAGGTTTTAACAGTGGGAATCTCATCTTGCTCATTCTTACTCAAAGCGGGTTCTCGGTATCTCTCTGGAGATAGTGTCTCACTGCTTACTATCTTGGGTGGCTCTGTGTAGGACTCAACATGATCAATCATTCTTGGTTCTTTGAGCACTGGAGTGAAGGAACATAGTATTACATGATTCTTAATGCTATTATCAATGCGGGAGCTAAAATTGACAACTGCGTTCGCTACTTCCTAACTCGTCTGTGCTATACAAGACGCGCTTTGATGACAAAAAAGGACTGGGTGTGCTAGAGAAAGTGTTACTTATTGTTGGGATGATTGGCCGTTGTGAGTCGGTTTCTTCCCTTTGCCTTTCTTGTTGATTCCTTTCACAGCTCGGTAATAGGCTTTGCTGAAGGCTAACATCGAATGCATGTTCTCCGCATCTTCTTCCGCTTGCGGCGCTTTCTTGTACGGTTGATTGTTCTGTCGACGATTGTCGTTGCGGATTGGTCCGGCTGATGATGTCGACTGAACTGGTTCGTGGTTCTGTTGGTTGTTCAATTCTTGGGTAGGTGTTTGTTGGTTCAATCCGAGAGGGTTCTGATTCAGACCTATGTAGCCATTGCTTGTTTTCGCTAGGAGTTTCTTTTCCTCCACATACGGATCCCAGCCCAAGCTGCCTTTCTGTACTTCCTCCTTGCCTAAGATGACTGTAAAGCTGTCGTGGGACATCTTCCATAATGCAAGAAAGGTCATAACCCGCCGCGTGTTGTTCGGGTTTGATTCTTGGGCCAACTTCCAGTTCTTGAAATTGTGCTCGTGGAGAGAAATTAACAACCTTTGTTGTTCCGGTGGAACCGTCTCCTGTGGCTGATCTGGTAGGTCCTCTTGCATTTCGTCTGGTAGGTGCTGAGCTGACTGAACTTGCTCTTCTGGTTGTATCGCTGTAGGATGGTCGGCCGTACTGGCTTTCTATCGCTCGAACCCTATCCGATGTTCGTGGTGGCATTTGTATGTTCTACGTTAGATGAGATTTCGCGGAATTACTAGCTTGTAAAAGAGGTTACTAACTAATTTCTCCTATGGCTGTAGTGGTCAATATCTTCCCAGTGCTCTTGGTTTGCGTATGGTCCAGGGCTTCGTCCTCTAGGTGCTGGGTCGTCGGGGATGTAGATCGGGTTGTCTCTACTTCCCGCTGGTCTGTTTGGTTGATTGTCTTGTTCACTTGTTCAGTTTGAGCAATCGAAGGAACAGGAAGAAAAAAATAAAAAGAACGTTGCTTCGTGTTAAATGGAGCTTGTAGGATTATTTCAAGGAAGAATGGGTAAGATCAATTGCTTACTTGATTTCGTCTTCCAAGTCTCTGAGTTGTTGTCTAATTCTTTCGGCTAGTTCCGTGAGTTCAAGATATCTTCTTTCTAGTGCTGTGAGCGGTGGAATTTTGAAGATAGGGTTGGGTCTTTCTAATACGAAAGACTAAAAAAAAAAGAATAGGAAAGGATAAAATGATTCTGAAAACGAGGAACAAAAAAGGGAAGTATATTTTTGTAGGTTTTTATTGTTTTTTCTCTAAAGTAAAAAAAGAAATATATGTAAAGTGAAAAAATATCTGAAAAACAAAACGTTTTCTTTTGTTAGTCTCGGGTCTTTCTTAACCTCGATGAGGCCCCCAATTGTCAGGGTGGCAACAACTATTACGTACGTGAAGGTCTAGTCTAACAACTCGTACGAGTTTCCTGACTAAGGTATTCCGCTGGGTACGGGGAATACAGGTTAATCTGACGATAGGAATAAGTAAGTGAAGAGTTGCTCTTGGTGTCGTTTTAGAGGACTAATAGAATGCGGGCTCACTGTAGGTTTACAGATGATAGCTGGTCGAAGTCTGAGCCGTAATCTTCTCTCGAAACTGAAAGTTTGAGAGTAGCCTGAGATAGAATCGTCAGGGATCTTGCCAACTAGTGAGTTGCAAGACCTGGGTCCTTGACCAGGGGAAGATAGGAAAATTACTAACAAGTAAGTTATGCGAACGTAGTAACTTTCGATAGAATGGGGAGATCAAGGGTATAATATTTGACGCTGATTTACATCTACTTTTAACAATAAGCTATTAAGATTATTCTTTGAGAATTTCTTACAAGCTAATTAGTTGAAAGTACTAAGGAGTTTTGTCCTTGAGAAGTGTTCTTCTCTAACAAAAATGGTTATATGCTAAAAATCAGGTGAGGTTCATTCCCTTTTCGAATATTAGCCCAGTATTTATATCTTTCTCTTCTCATCCACGAGCCTGCGGTTGATAGAAGAAAAAGGATTCTATTTACTAGTTCCGCATTACTCCGGACAGGATCATTATCCTTTGTTACGTAATTTCAACTGAGATATGGTTCACTACGTCAATGGATTACATAGTCCTTGCGCATGAGCATATAGTTCTCAGGATCTATTCCTTGGCGTTATGATTGTTCTAAGCATAGTTAGTAGTAGGTTTGTTAGCTTGTGAGTAAGTTTTGTTTTACTCTTCCTTCTCTTATTCTTTCTCAATACGTATTACGGATTTCCTGATATTAACTTCCTTGGCTCGTCTTGTTGCTAAGGTGTCTTCTCCGACCTAGTCTCCTTCTTGGGGTACTAGGTAAGGTTATCTGTTCTTTTCGATTTCTCTTCCCTGAGAGTATTCTTCTCTCAAAGGTATGTTTCCGAGACTTTTGATACTAAGTCAATAAGGTGAGGGTTTCTTGGCTACATTACTTGTTCTGTTCGTTTTATGTGTTTTGGTTTTATTAGCGCTCAGCATTTCTGGCGGGTTTTGTGATCTTTGAAACTAGATCAATAAGTTGTATATATATTTTTTTAATTTAATTGGTATCTGTTATATTGTTATTAGGCCATATTTAGTTCTTTATGTTATTTTATTATTTACTTATATTTGTGGCTCTTCTGGTTCTTACGCGTAAGAGCTTGAGAGCTGACAGTCTTGGACCAGTTTTAAGTTTTTGAGCTGACCTAGGCCGGGGATTTACAGGTAACACTCTGGAGCCAACACCATTGTTTTATTAGTACACCAAAGGGGTATTGTAACAAAAATTATGAAAAATTTGCAGGAAAAGAGGGAAGCAAGTAGGAATATGATGGACGGTGACCTCTTTGTATATATTTATCATGATTTTGTCTTGTTGGGAGTTCTCTACAGGCAAATCTGCCTTTATATTTCTTTTCCGCACCCAACTTATTACTTTTGGTGCAGTGTCATCCTGTGATTTCTGTGGAGTTATACAGGTGCTGTTGTGCCTTGGGGCACTTGTAACATTCATTGATCAATGATGTCATGATACCATCTCCAATGTGGGCGTAAATTGCATTGACCCTCTCAGGTGCCAACTTTGGAACACTGTGTGATTTTTGCAGTGATTTAGCTGTGTGGTCAGCATCAAATAGATGAAAATGTTGGTCTGCAACACTTGCAGTCTTATCTTAGACAGTTTATGGAGATAAGAAAGTCATCAAGACATGACCTTCAAATAATTGCTGGTCAAAAAGTTATACACAAACTGATTGATCCAGGAAATTTATGTACATAGATGTGTCTTTATAATTGGTATAAAAATAGGTCTTTGGGAAACAGATTTCTTGGGTGTTTGGTTCTGCAAGATTTTGCAAGACGTGTTCATACTACAGCTCTGATGTGTTGAACTTGTATGACTTGGACAGATGAGGGCGGATGCGACTCGGGGTCGGTACCGGACACCACGCTGACAAAAAAGCGTTGTAAATGGGGATTTCTCGACTGGTGTGCGCCATCTCAGAATCAGAAGCCCACAACACGCTATCATCTTTTTTTGTTTGAAGGAACCTTGTTGACATCAACACACTAATGCCCACGCGACCACCGGGTCCCAAATCGGCCAGGTCCAAGGGATCGGCCGAAGAAGAAGATGCCCAGAAAGACGCTCGCCAGAACCCAGGAAATGACCCTCTCGCGATTTCTCAAGAGGTCAGCTTTTCTAGCTTTTCGACTCACATGATGAATAACTTATTGTTGGATTTCATCATTGGAAACACATGTAGGCTCTCAAGTCGGCAATATGGTTGGTTATACTCTCGTTTGTCTCTATTGTTTGCATTCGTGCTAATTAAGCTGGATGCTCTTTTCATCAGGTATACCGTCGCTCAGATCGTTCAAGAAGAAGAAATTGATCTACAACGTTCAGCAACCGAGCCATTTGTAGCCTCACTCACCGACCTCGTCTATGCGCAGTGTGGTACATATATCCTCTCACCTCTTTGGTTCTCGAACGGTTTTGTGGCTGACTAGCTCCAGGTCAGAGACGCTTGCGTTGGATCTGAAAGCCTTTGCGGCTCATGCCAATCGTAACACTATTCGTGCAGAGGATGTTAAGTTGGTGGCTCGAAAGACGACTGCATTGGTAAGTCTTGATTCCATGTTATTGTTATAACATGTTGTAGGCTAACTAAGCATGTTTGGTCTGGGTGGCTGTCTTTTCACGGATAGCAAGGAGAGATGAGGGACGAGCTACAAAGATACGAACAGGCATCGAACACTGATAAATCCACCAAGGCAAAAGCTGCTTTCAAGCCACCTGCACCTCGTGCCAAAGCTAAGCCCTGAGTGGTCCTGTGCTGGGGGTAGCGGGTTCCCAGCACCCTTGCCGGTTACGTGAAGTCGGTCATCTTCTTCGAGATCCAGTGGTGATCATCGACTCTAATCATCGACTGAAATTATCCGCCCTTTTGCGATACATGAGTCTTCCGACGCTAGAAAGCTTATTGGCTTTGTACCATAGATTCCTAATCTTTTGTTTTTTCATTACAGAGGCATCACGGAGTAGCATCACATTGTCTGTCATAGCAAGGTGCTTCGCCATGATACACTGCCAAGCTGTCCTCAAATACACCTTTTGAATAGGTGTTTATCACTGTCCAGTTGGCCATCAATGCATCAACGTTCTCTGTTACTACGCGTTGTACTGTCACCTCTATCAGAATATTCGAAAGATGATATATAACTAATACTCTGATGAACTTGTAATGAGCTGCTTAATATGCCCCACCAGAACGTATACCTAGCAGCTGGAGTAATATGAGAGAATGAAGGCAAATATGTACGAGGTGGGTGTGCTCAGCTTACCGGTCCGGTAATGACAGTAATATGAGAGAATGAAGGCAAATATGTACGAGGTGGGTGTGCTCAGCTTACCGGTCCGGTAATGACAAAAACCTTGTGCTAGAGGAGCAAATCAATCATTCGGGGCACACATTGATTCACAGGAAGTGATAGGCATGTCAAGGCAGCAACACCAAAAGTGTTCCCTTCAGGATGCATGCTCATCTTTAATATAATGCGAAGTTCCATGTCGAGTGATGAAACAAGCAAGGATAGGAGAATATGAAGCAGACCCTTATAAACAACCTATCCATGAAACCTCTCAATGGAGGCACTGATAAAATATGTCATCTCTGGGCTACCGCTACTCAAATTCTCTTGTCAAGATGCCTTGCATCCAAAACTGAAAGCATCAGCCGGTGCAGGTTCCCTCAGATTGTTTCTCCCTGCGCAAAAAAATCAAATAATACAAGTAGAGTAGATTATAATTTTACAAGTTGATAACCCCACTCAATGCTTGAACAAACAAACAAAAGCACCCAGGATGCCAATAGACTCGGTTGAAGCATGTTGCTCCAGTGTCCGATGAGGTCCGATGCCAATATCGCGGGATTACAGGCTGTTATGAACACGTCAATGGGGAGCCAACCGGTGACATAAACTTCAAGATTATCTGTCTGTATTGGAAAAGGTGGTTCATCAGGAATTAGGATTCAACCAAAGACATCGAACACCGATCAACAACAAATCACTCGATTCAAAATGCTCGCAGTCTACGTCTTCCTGGTTGTCTTTTCAGGTCAATTGATAAGCTGGATTGGAAGTACTCAACTTAGCGAATGGGTGAGCTCAAAATCTCAATCTACTTCAGTTTCACCTACAAACTTTGTTGTTAACATCACATTGGTTTCTACAGGCTCATAGCATTTATCTTTTCCTTACTCGTTCACCACTCGCTCGAAATCAAAAAAGCCTTCGAGGTACGATTCTAAAAACTAAATCAGAATTTCAGGCAACTTCATCACAAGATGAGTTTGCTAAATGGGCAAGATTACGTCGAAAAATGGATAAGGAGCTACAGGAGCTCGATAACCTCAGTAGGTTCTCACCCCTTTTGACACCATATTAATCATTCAAATTGATCTCATTAATTTATCTTACAATGCTGATTCTTGAATAAATGCTTTTATTGTTGGAATCGTATTGGCAAAACTTACTCAGATAAACAAATAGCCTCTGATCGCACCCAATTCACGGCACTCTTCTCAAGCGTCCTTTGGGTCTTCACCTCGGGTCTTCAATTCGTCTTGATTTCGTGGTATAGGTCTAGTCCTGTGCTTTTGTTACCACCTGGCTGGTTCCCTCCGACTATCGTCTGGCTCCTCAGTCTTCCATCCGCTCCATACGGTTAGCCTTTCGCCTTCATCTTCAGTACTGTCATGCCATCTTCGGCTTGTATTCATACATGATCGTTTTATGATACCAGGTGCTGTTTCTACCACCGTCTGGGCACTTGTTTGCAAGAGAGCGTTATCAGTTCTGGCCAAGATGATGGCTGATAGCCTTGGCGTCATTTTTGGTCAGTAGTCCCTTACATTTCTATATTTCTTGATCTGATACGAAATCGCTTTGTCTCCTCAGGATCTAAGCCAACGACGCAGTCACCTGAGAAACCCGTTGCGCATTAAAATCACATCGCACACACCGAATGTAGATTCCAGAAGGCTTCGTGTTTGCCAATCCGATCAAGCTGGAAAACGCATACACCATGGACGCAATCTGAAATTCGCAAGTCATCAGTAAGCCGAATCCGTTGGGAAAGCTTGGACTGTCATTGGATCATTATGCACACCACGAAACCTCTGGTAGACAGTGGACATAAATTTTCTAGGTTAAGTTGGAACCTGGATGAAAAGATTGGTGTAGAGGAACTTGAGCTCTTCTTGAGCTGGTAAGGGAGGATTCTTGGAATGCAATTTGTCTTCTGGTACCGCATCTCAGCTATACCATTATCCTTTTTGATGTATAGAGTGATTTGAAAGAAAATGACGCAAACATTGTGTCAATTTACCCGGTTTCAAAGCAGTTTCACAAGTTCTTCTAGCCATCTGCTCTGATGATGATAACGTTAGTATGACTGAAAAATGAGTGAAGCGTGCGCATGATGCTTATCCCCTTGATTTGTCTCAAAGTATACAATATGAGTAAGCCAAAGCTAATGAGACTTATGAAGTGATGATTTAGCGGTACAATCTTTGAGGGAGTGAAGCTTCGTAACAATCATATTGGGAATTGTCTCAAGCCAACAAAAACATAAAAGAGATCTGGGCCTACGATATATGCGATGGGTTTTAGTATCATAGACGTTCCTATCTCGACTTCTGCTGGCTTAAAGAGCCTAAACATCTTACAAATTTTGAATGCCAAGAAGATGGACTTTTCTAATGTTCAACTTCTCACTTTTATTTGTACCCTTTCCCTCACTCATGAGAATCTGATGGCTTGTGTCATGTCAATCAGATGAGGTCAAATATCCTGGAGAAAATCGGACGATCACAACTTGTTTCTTTTTGATAATTCCTTTGCCCTTGAACTATCCGACTCTCTTATTGATCATGACCGATTTACTCTCATCTTAATCCACGTTTAATGAAGTGATATTGGTTCATTTCATCCATTTCTTTATTGATTTTTCTCGACCCTTTAACCCTTTCTCGTTCTAATCATCAAATCATTAGGTACTTTCACTGCACTACCAGCCAAAATCCTTCGGGTTCTCGATGTCTGAAAACTTCTCGGAGTGGATTCCTCCGAGCCAATTTATCTGAGGTTCTTATAGCGATGAGTTACGTTTGCTCAGGTCCCACCTTCGACCAACATCTCAGAACACCTCTGATCAACGTCCCGCTCTCGGAAATGTTTCCTGCGAGACTCCGAGGTTTTGAATGAAAATACCCCGGATTTTGGTCATCCAAGAAATTTTTCTTGCAGCCTCAGCCTCAGGTGCTGATTTTTACTCTTCTTGACCATATCTGACGGAAGATTTATAGAGAAGTTCGACCCTAGGATCCAAAATAATTAGAAACAAGTGCCTTTATTGATGATACTGATCATGAGTTTGTTTTGTGTACCTCTAAAAAACTTGCACATCGATTGTTGCCAACTCGGTCCCGAATTTGAATCTTATGTTGGTCATGAATATAGATAGGAATCCACCAAGTTTAAAAAACTGAATCGGACGGGAAACGGAAGGATATAAGAAAAACACTTTTTACATACTCTGACTGAAAATTATAAAGTCATCCATCCCATCGTGTTGATTGTTTCCGGAAATAAAACCTCCTGATTTGATAAATATCAAGATTTCGAAATTCACGATTCTCCGCTTTTTGGATTCTCCGCTCTCCGCTCTCCGCTCTTCTCTTCCTCCGTCCTCCGTCCTCCGTCTCCTCCTTTCTCCGTTTCCAGACTGCAGTTTACTTCCCATATGATTTTGATTTCTGAAACTCAATTTAAACTTTTTTTTTTGGTCAATGGTTTTACATAAGTGTACCTACCTACATACATAAATTGACCGTTTCTTTAAACGTATCATCATCTTAATTGTATGCATCGGCAGTTCTTATCGATCATCGCTCGGTCGGTTAAAGAAGGCGAGCCAAAGTTTTTTTTTCTCTGCTTCCAAGACACATCGAGTATGGGAAAACTTAATACCAAATGTGAAGTTTTTGGAAAGGATTCAATGATTGAAACCGATCATAAGAACATGGACATAGATGATCAAGTGTTGATTTTTTGTCATTATGGATTGTACACAAGGAAAGTGATGAAATCCGGTAGAATTTCTTGAAATTAGGGATGGAGAATCCATTGAAATTACACCAAGAAAGAGAGGAGCTTACACACACGTTTTGAAGTGGTTAGATCTATGTACCATTGTTGTTGTTTTTTTTCCATTTTTTTTTTTTGTTGTGTATGTTTGTTAGTCTTCAGATCGGAATAAAGTTAATTATCATCTTTCTCCTGAGTTCAGATTGAGTTGTGTAAAGTACTGGTACATACGAAGGTTTTCTACAAGATTGATGGTAGAAAAGATTATTACTTTAACTTTACTTTACACTTTAGAATTGAATTTGAGAAGAGGTTTCAGAAGATAAGAAAGAGTATATGTTTTAAGAATGGAATGGATTTAGGTAGCATCCATTGGCTTTGTGAATGATATTTAAACTCAGTCAAAATAAGAAAGTTTTGATTATAAAAAGTTGAATGATTTAATCCAAGATGGTAAGGATGAGAGGATTTGATGATTTGTAAATTATAAGTATATGATTCTTACGTACAATCCACTTGATTTCTTATCTTGATCATTTCACCTTGTTTGATTTCTCACCTTCATCTACTTACTACTTTTACCAATCTCATCATCCTTTCAGTTTGATCTGTTCTGTTTGATTCGCTTAGACTTGATCAGGCTCATCTCAGAACTTGCTTAACCTTTGGTATACAATCATCAAGCAAGATAAAGAGGGATTTGATTTGAATCGTAATCAGTTGATGGTGTATTCTTTTAACTTTAAAACTGTCTCTTCTTTCAAGTTGAAATTCTACTGATCATCAACTTCAAGCTGAGGTACATAGTCTTCTTTTACCAACTGCTTACCAGAATTAGTTTGAGTAGATCTTGTTTAAATTTGAGGATCGAATTGTTAAGCTATCAATCAATCAATCAATTCTTATTAGAGATAGATACATAAACAGTTGAAGATTAGTTGATGAACGTTTGAAGATCTTGAAGATTAGATATACAAAATCAACCGATGATTTGAAGTGCTTGACCGTTAACTTGACTTCTTTCCTCCTAAATTCACTTTCACTCTCAATCAATCAATTCTTCTTCCTTACTCTTCTTCGTTTACCTTCTCATCTCTCTTTACCTACTCATCAATCAATCAATCAATCAATCAATACCTCAAGTTAACTCTACTTAGACTAACTTACTAATACTTATATCTTATATATACTTGATCATCTCTCATTACAACTTGAATACTATCATCATTCTCATTCCTTTGATACATGGCATCATCCACTTCATCTGGTTCATCAACTCCAATTCAACTGGAGTTTAGTCACTTGGTGTTTGAAGAGGAATGCGCGTAAGTCCCTTCATGCTTCTTACCATCACATTTTATCAAGTGGTAGTCATGATCATCAATCAATCGATCTTGATCTGAAACTTGATCGAGGCTAAAGATTAAGAAAATTGGTATTGACTTTTGATTTTCTTCATTTCTCGAAAATAAAAATGAAAAATTGTTGCATACACACCAAATCCAAATTACCACTTATATCCAAACCAAACCATCGAAATGGAATTGTAGACCAGCTACTACTGATCATCAATCTTCATTCTCAAACTCAACTTCAAATCAACTGTTTTCTAACTTCAATGAGTCTAACATCAATAATCTTTCAAACTTTCAAACAAGATCAATAGAACCTCAACAACAACAACTTTTACAACAATTACCTCATCTTATATCCCCTATCGAACAATACCATCAACACTCTCTTCATCATCATCAACCGATCGAAGGTCTCATTCAAAGACCTCAGGATCATCATCTCAGTCCAACTTTTGACTATCTCTTTTCAAATCGATTTGAATCAATTCTCAACGATCAATTTCCAAAACAACTCTTCAGCAATGATCATCAAATTGAAAACATCAGTAGTAACCTAATACCCACATCCGATCTATCAACATCAGCGTCAACGTCATCTCATGAGTCATTCTATCCATACCTAAATACGCATCAAAGTCACCAACACAACAATACTATCGAATCTCATGATCATGTCAACGTATCAGAACCACCTCCATCACAACAGCAATACTCTCTTGCAAACTCATTCGCACCTCTCACATTCTCAAGTCCAAAAACACCGATCACTTCTATACCTTTCTCAAACTCCTCTGATCAAGCTTTGGTACTCTCAAAAACTCCCGATCAACACGATCTTCACCATCAAAACATAATCCATTCCCATCAAAATCCGAATCAAAACCACAACCTCAGTCAATTTGATCCTTTGCTACCTGCCACCTCTGAATTATCACAACCAAATCCAATACAATTTGACAATAAGAATCATTCACATCAATCTAATGTACCAGCCGCAGATTCAAATTCCCACGAGCCTAATCCCAACAAGAAGAACTCGAAAAATGCTTCATCTGCATCTTCTTCGTCCTCTTATAATTCTTACACCATTCCACCACCATGTGAAATCGAATCTCTCATTCCATTTGTCCGACGTCTACCATCTTGTCTTGCTCCTAACTCTTCCTCGCCTCCTTTCGATCTCGAGGATCAAAACATTTCACTTCTGATTCTTGGATTACCAGATCAGGGTGCCAAGACAAGAGTGGAAACTCAAATCAAACTTACCTTGGTTCTAGTAGTCGGTCAACCACCTCCAAGAGCACCGGATGGTAACTTATCGCTTGATGTTCAAAACACTCAAAACCAACAGCTCGCGAGGATCTCGAATTGGTCTCATGTCAAATTGCCTGCTTATTCAGCTATCAAACGCAAGAGTAAAAAATTACTCAAGACTGGTCAGTTTTCTATTTCAACCCTTTTTCTTTCTTCTACATCAAGCGTACATGGCATCAACTCTTGATTCTCCCTTTAGGTATTCCTGCCCAAGAAACGCTTTTCTTGGAATTCAGCGTGACTCGTGCTACTGAGCCGCATACCGAGATATTATGTTGCCCGAATTGTCAAATTCGTGAGGTTAGTATATCTATACATCTTCATAGCATTCGCACTGAACACATCTTCTGATCCCACTTTCTCATCCCTCAACTCTTTAAAATTTTTAATTCGTAGCAAAAACGCACGCAACGTAAGCGTGATGCGCGTGTGCGACCTGCCCAAGAGATTGAAAGTGACGAAGCCGAGGCGGAGGGTCCAGATGATGAAGCCAAGAAGATTGTCGTATTCAATTGTGGTCAATACCTGGATTTCAACACTGGTCAACTTACCTTACCGACTCGAATTACCTGTTATTGTCGTCACCATCGTGAAAAGAAAGGCTTTTGGTATGTCATATCTCTTGTTCCCCCTTTTTTACTCTTAACTAACTTCTTTTGTTTTTGGTAGTGTCAAAATCACATTGCGCGATCATCTTGATCGAATCGTGGCTGAATCTATCACACCACCTATCATGATCACCGATGATCATAAGGCAGTTGCAGCTGCTGCTAAAGCTAAATCTGGCTCCGATCTTGAAACGTCCCAACCTCGTCAACGTCAGATTCGTAAACTGCCTAGCCTTTCTGCCACGAAGTCGACTGGTAAACGTCTCAAGAAGAAGACGTCTGATCCTTTCGCATCTCTTCCTCATACTCTCGATCTCGATCAAGCGGAATCACCTTGGTCAAATTTACCTGATTTTCGTCTTGCGCCTGATGGCTCCCTGCTTGACCTACCTGCCAAGGGAACGAACTCAAAACGAAAAGCAACCCATGACATAGTCAATCAACGTACCCCTAGTGGTCGGCTGATGACCTCGAATCCTATTGCCACGCGTGCTCCCATCGTCTCTCATCATAATAACTCTACCCAATTTGAGAATATGCCGTTGCCTATCAATCCGATGTTGACTGACCCAAGTGTCACCCGCCCTTTATATACTAACGCTAACCTTGGTCTACATCCGGTTTCGAATGGCGATGACCGAATCGTTGATGACTCATCTGAGTCATGCTCGTTCCTCATCTCGCCTTCCCAAACTTCAAGCTATCAATGCCAGCCGCATCTTCAGGCGCCAAGTCGTGTTTCCAATCTATCTCGCCGACGCTCGTTGCTCAAACTACCGCAAGTACATCGTGATACCAAACTCCAGGAGCCGAGTTCGCTTACAGAACATATCGATCGTAGTCTGTCTCAACCAACTCGTTCACTCAATGAAACTCAGCATCAATCTGCACTTACCGCGGCTCTCAAGTCGCTCATGCCACCGGGATTTGAGGACAAGCGCCTTTCGGGTCCGACGGACTTTGCTCTGTTTTCCTCCTGCAATAACAGTAATACCGACCTCACAGCCTCTTCGAGTTCTTCACCTGATCGGATGTTTGCAAGATCATTCGAATCTCGAACTAACACTCCGCCTCCTTCCAGATCGTCAGGGACAAGTCCAGGTCCATCATCTGGACCAACTCCTCTGTGTCGCTCCGGTAGGAATAGTCCGATCAACATGACAATCCCATCCCATTCGATGTCATTTGATTCAGCATCTCTCAAGGCGCCTGTGCTCAACACAATAGATCAGTCTCGTGAAACAAGTTACCCAAGCAACAACACCCAGCCCGGCCAACTTCCTGCCCCCAGCCCCTCTATTCATTCGCCAATAGGGATGCTAGGTAACGTGTTGAGCCATTGGAATGGACTTTCCACTTTTTTTCCCACTAGCGCGTCTACTCAACCACATCAATCCCAGCTGAGCCAGGCAACTCAACGCTCATCTTCCAACGAGATCAATCAGACTCGGAATAACATCAATCCAATCCTCAGTCAACCTGATATCACATCTCTGGACTCTAATATCTCTTCGGATTTACCAAGGCCAAAGATTCAAAAGCTTGTACCCAATGAAGGACCATTACATGGTGGGATCGAAATCACTATTCTTGGATCTGGGTTCGAGCGTGATCAAGCAGTTGAATTTGGCTCAACCATCATCCAAACTCAATATTGGTCTTCTGATACCTTGATCTGTATTCTACCACCTGGTACTCAAGCTGGACCCGTTTCAGTCAAGGCTTTGGGGGAAGAGAGGCACAGAGAATCCGGTGGAGAAAGAGGAGATCAGGTTTTATTTCGGTATGTTGAGGATACCAATATGGAGTTAATGGAATTAGCATTAGAGATTATTGGGATGAAGATGTCTCAAGAGATGAAGGAGAATGCAAAGAAAGAAGAAGACGTGTTACTCAAGTTACTCAAGGATGGACGGGATCAAACCAAAGAGAGGATCAAGATGGATGAAAGGAATCGATCGGGACAAAACTTATTACATTTAGCAGTTTGGTTGAAGATGAAAGGATTAGTTGAATTCTTGGTTTCTGATCCTGAGTATCGAAAGAAGTTGGTGGAAGCTAGAGATCTCAATGGGTGTACTCCATTACATTTTGCTGCTTGGAGATCGGTTGGAAAAGAGATTGTCAAAGTTTTGTTGGAAGCTGGGTCTAGAACTTATGTGAGAGCAGGTGGGATGGAGGATATGACTGGATTGGAGATCTTGAAGAAAAAAGGCACCGTGGTTGAAGGTTTGAAGAAAGAAAAGAATGAAAGGAAAGAAGAAGAGAGTAGTGATGAAGAAGAAGAAGAAGAAGAAGGAACAGTAGAGGAAAAAGTAAAAGAAAGAAGTGAGATTGTTAAACAACAGAGTATTGGGGATTGGAAGATGATTGGACCGATCAATGAGGCAGAACTTGAATTAGATTTAATGCAGCATCATCATCAACTTGTGGATCCGGATCGGATCTCTAATCTCTCTGGTTCAAAGAAGTTGCGTTGGTTTAAGAGTTTAAGTGGATTGATGTTTATTCAAGCTAGACAGAATGATGAAGATGTATTCTCGCATGTGGTTGTGAAAACCAGTAGGTTAGGATGGATGGATGATTGGGTAAGTTGGCGTCTTTTGAATTGTACACTAGTAGAGACTCATGGAGTGTTTGATTGGTTTAGATCCTTTGGTTCGTTTTGGTGCCTGTGTTGGTTTTCGGATTGGTGGTTGGGATCCAATTTGGTTTGAATCGGATTGGAAAACAGGTTGAGATTGGAATTAACTTTTGTTATTGATTGATTGATTGTTTCTTTTAATATAAAGGTGGGAAAAAAGTGGGGAAAGGGAAATGGGTTTTTTAGGTTGAAGAAGAAGTTGAAGGGGTGGAAGGTTTTGAAGGTTTTGAACAAATTGATGCTTGGTTCTTGATGTTTGGTTTTTTTCTTTTTCTTTTTTCTTTTTCTTTTTTTTTATTTTTGTTTAAACTCTATCCCCAAAACCTCCCCCCTCCAGAAAAAAAAGTATTAAATAAAAAACTCAAAAAGAAGATGTATGTCAGAGAAAAAAATGAAAGTATATTCAAGGAAAGAAAAAAGTGAAAAAAAATTGATTGATTTGATTGGTTTGATTGATTTGATTGGTTTGATTGGTTTGATTGGTTTGATTGGTTTGATTGGTTTATTATTATATGGTATCAGCTGAAACTTGTTGTTTTATGATTGGTTTTCTTGTTTTTCTTGTCTTTTTTGTCCTGTTTTTCTTGTTTTTCTTTTGTCTTGGTTTTGGTTTTGGTTTTGGTTTTTTTTTTTTGTTTTGGTTTTCAAGTTATAAGAACAATTAATATTTTATATCATTAGTTTTTGGTTTACGTATATACTGGTTTTGAAGTTTGTTATGAATGTATCAAGAAAATTTTGGTTTTGGTTTTGGTTTTGATTTTAATTTTGGTTTTGATTTTGATTTGATTTGATTTTGATTAGAAAATGAAGTTGAGAAAAGAAAATAAGAGTAGAGAAAGAAAACAAGAGTAGAGAATTGTTTTCACCCCATAATCATTGAGGATTTTGAGCTACTTCTTTCATATGACAACTTTTGGGTTGTGGTTGCTGGTGTTGGAAATCTTCAATCTGTCATGAGGATCTGAACTCCTGTGCTTTCTAATTCGCCTCATGGTAAGTAGCAGATTTCCTACGGTGCAACACATTTAACAATGCTGGTATTGTTTTTTTGATCTCTTTATAGTTCTTCCTAATTGTTTACACATATCAGCTTTTTAAAGGGCATGTTTTTTATCCTACGCCTTTGACCTGGGTCCTGAGCTGAGGGTGTCTGAGACTGTGGCTTGTTGTGGGGGGTTAGGGGTTAGGGGTTAGACCCCTAACCATGTAGGACTGTGACCCGGCCCTGAGAGCTTGTGGCCGGGCTGGGCCCTGGGTAGACCCAAAGCCTCTGGTTATTGGACTTGGGTTGATCAGGTCACGCCCTGAATCTTAGGACTCAGGGCCAGGCAGGGCTCACCATGTCAATATTTGTGTAGCACGTTGATGTGCACACACAGAGAGTTTTGATCTAAATCTCAAAGTCTTTTGGTCGGATTTAGACTGAGAGTGTTGTTGTGCACCCTTTGTGAATAGTGGTTTATTCATAGGATTTGCGGAATCCTTTGTCATCAGCTGGGGTCAACTGATTTTCAATGTCCCAGTTGATAAGGGGAAGATGCACCTGTTGTGGAACCTCTTTGATAGGTCTTTACAGGGTCTAAGGAAAGTCTTTTGTGTGTGCACGTCAACATGCTACACAAATATTTACATGATGGCTAGGCCTAATTTTAAGAGACAAGGGGGGGCATAAATTCTTCATCTTGTCTTTATTTTAGGCAACAAAATCACTTGACATAAACAAATTGTAAAGAGAAATCACTCAAAGACAAAGAATTTTTTGAAGTTATATAATCCTACTTAGAAAGTCAAGAGAAAAATCAAATTTACACAACAGAGACTTGTTTTCAAGTGATATAATGAGAACTAAATCAAATTCACGCAACAGAAACTTGTTTTTAAGTAAGATATTGAGGACTAAATCAAATTCACCCAATAGAAACATTCTTTTAAGTGATATAATCTTGAGTTGATAAAAATTTCCTACTCATTTGACTCCTAACACCTTATTCCAGGTCTGGAGACACACCTGAGCCTCAAGATTGAGGGGAGTAAATGATGCACAAAGATCACTCATAACTTGTAAGGCATTTGAAAAGGTACTTTTGGATGGAGCACTAGTGGCAGAAACTGCAAGCATCACAGCTGCCATGCGTGACAGGATAGGCCAATGATGACAATGGGTAATCCAGAAATGGAGAGGATCACATATCTTGTCTTCTTGAGGCGCAGTGAGATATTCTTTGACCTCATCCTCAACTGGAACAGTCTTGCGGCGCTTGATGAAGTGATGAGGATGATCTGGGTTGATGGCTTCAACTTTGGGTTTGACCACTTTGATTTCAGGATCAAGGATTGGTCTGAACTTGTCGGCTTCTTCAGTAAAGTATCCAATCAAGTCCTCTTGACCCCAGCCAAGAGATTCTAGAGTCAAGCCTTTGATGGCGTTGATTTTGAGGCAAGGGTCAAGTATTGTCAAACAACCGTAGACGGACTTGGACTGAGCAGCTTTTTGATACTGCACATCCTTGAGTAACATCGGAAGGATCACAACCTTCAATTCCGCGCAGTCAGCGTTGTGCCAGGCCTGTATACAAGACAGAAAGATTAAGTCAGCATTTGATACTTGTGAGAATTAAGAAAAATAGAAAGACTGACTGTTTCAAGACGTTCAACCAGCCATTGGTAATCTGGCATCACCTGTGAGAAGGTGGGGTACTTGTGCCCTTCAAGCAATTTGGTGACAGCAGCAAGTGGAGCAAGGAAGTGAACAATACTTTTCACAAGGTCCCATTCCTCATCCTCAAGTAGGAACTGTTTGAGTGAAGGATTGCCTTTGCATTGATATTTGATGACTTTTTTAAGTTTGTAAAATCTTTCAAGCAAAGCATGGGTAGATGACCAGCGTGTCGATACTTTGTGGACCCATCTGACCTTGCAATCCAACTTCTGACAGCTTGCAATAGCGTTGTCGAGTGCCATCTTGAGCTGGCTGCTATGCTTGACTTCCTTGTGGAAAGCACAAATTCAAGTGAGTATGCTAGTGATGCTGGCATTTGGGGTAGGCTCAATAAAAAGGGGAATAGCAGAAGGATTTTGATGAGGTAAGGTGGGATCAAGAGTGTTCACTGGAGCAGGGGCAGATCGACAATTGAAGACAGATAATCCGGCTTTGGCGATTAGATTAATAACATGAGCTACACAGCCGTGTAGATTTTGAGTGGCATCAAAATGCGGAATCATTGTTGAAAGGTGTTGGCCCATAGTCGTGTTATTGGAAGTGTTGTTGGCAGTAATACAATACAGCCAATTGGTAAGTTCATATCAGTCCACGATATGCTTCAAGAGTCCTGCAAGATTAGAGCCGGTGTGAGGTTCCTCAATGGGTTTAAGAGCAAGAGTAATACCGTACATCTTGAAGTCGTCCATGATCCAATGAGCTGTGACGCCAAGCATGGCGACTTTGCTTGGTGCAGTCCAGCCATCACAGGTGATGCTGATGTGACTAAGAGAAGAGAGTAGCTGGGCAATAGCTGATCGAGCGGATCAAAACTTGTTGACAATCCCGTCATAGATGCAAGTGCTCTTAGATAGAATGGGAAGGGATTGTGCATTGATCGTTGTAATCAGTTCTCTAAACTCCTTGGCGTCGACTAGGGAGATTGGAAGTTCTTGGTTCACAACCAATTAGATGAGGGCATCCTTGAGATTGGATTGGTTGAGGCTTTTGACCTAATGAAAAAAAAAGATTCTGTCAGTGAAAAGTAAAAAAAGGTTGGAAAAACAAAAGTAAGAAAAGAGACAAATTATTAAATGAATGACTTACATTGGCAATCTTGCCATTCATGAAGAACACCATCATTGTATGTTGATCAGTATTGATGGGTGGTTCAATGTGATGGCATCTTGACAAGTGCTGGATCATGGACTTTGTACTGGTGTGTCAATTGATAGCCATTTGGCGGTTGCAGAGGGCGACTCAAGTGTTGGGGTCTTCTTCATCAGCAACTGTGACACTATCGACAAATCCTTCTTTTGCAGTACACACATTCTTCAAGACACCTTTGATCAATTGCTGGGTGAAATATTGCCAAACCCACAAGGTGCAACCAGTGGTTGTGGCTTCAGAAACCACCTCAGAAACGGAATCTGAGGGAGCAATGGAGGTAGTAGACAAGGTAATAGTAGATAACGACATCGGAAATCCAAGATTGAGAGAGATCAGAGTTTATTAAATAAGATGACAAAGTCCAATGTTGGGCAGCTGGGGTATCACAGTATATTGAAACTTAAAAGTTAAAATAAGGTTGAATATTGGGAATTGGATATCCTGAGAAAGCTTCTTTTTTGAGAAGATATATGGACAGCAGCCCTGCGGGCCGGGCCGCCAGGATGCCCGCGGGTCTTTTGTATATCTCATCATGTTAGGTTTAAAGAGACCAGGGCGCGAACTGTCTGCCTCAAATATATTGTTAAGCAGACCAGGTTGGGCAGGGTTGGGATCTGGTCACAGCCCTATAACCATGTACAGTACATGACTGTGCCACAGTGTGTTACGTGTTGTCCGTACAGTTTCTTGTATTTATGTTTACTCCAATCTTTCAAAAGCTTTCACATAACCATATCTTGTGAAAGCCAACATGATGGAGTCAGAACTGATGTGCTATTCATTGTACCCATAGTGGTCCTCTTTTTTAATGCCTTGGAGATGTTGCACATGTACCTTATAGCAATTGTACTATAGTCCTTCTATCCTTAGTTTAACACAAGCCCTTTCTGTGTAGCCACATCCACACACCTTACAGAGGTCCTTGCAACTTATCCTGAAATCTTGGCAGGCAGACTTCAAGGATCAAGTCCTCTTATGACATGTTTTAATTTTTCATGATTTGCTTGCTGATCATAAACAACAATCAATTTTGTCTTGTAGGCAAAGTTTAATGATTTTGTACAAGCTGTGTCCTACCAGATTGATCAACCAAGAAGAAACACTCCATCTTTGAATTCTTGAGGATTACTTTTCAAACTTTATGTATGCCCAGGGAAAAAGTAAAAAGCAACATAAGAGGACTTAATTGTTATAATCTCTCTCTGTGCCAGGATTTCAACATTAGTCTCAAGGCCATCTGCAAGGTGTGTGGATGTGGCTGTGCAGAGAGGGCTTGTTTTAAGTTAATTCTATTCATACATTGCAACCACAACACAGAATCCATCCTGAGGGGAGATTGAAAGCTGATGATCATGTGTTGGTTCAAACCACGTGAACATACCAAAGTGTGTTGACCATGACTTTCATTGAGATTTCAGATCAAAATCATGTGAAATCATGCCAAAAATATCCTCAGACCCACCCACAAGAAAATCTTGTGATTGGTCCTAGTTTTTGTTGGTAGTCACAAAGCTGGATGAGAGCCATGAACCATCCAAAAATCCAAAGGGGTTTGGGCACCCAAATGATCACCATCATTCATTGATTGATCACACCAGGGTTCCATGGTTTGATCATGGGTACAACCATATTTACTACACAACTGGTCAGCTTCAGAGTGAAAAAGGGCTGCCAGGGTTTGATAAAAGGCTATGTGAGTCTCATAGGGTCAACTCAAATTTTGGATGGCTATCAGCAATATGATACTCATAGCTTTGCAACTTGTAATGACATGACATCATCCAACATTGTAGTTTAGAGTCTTTGACCCTCTGTGACCTAGGCTGAAGGTCAAATCTGTTTGAAAACCAAACACATCATGATCAGTTTTTCTTCAAAGATATCTCACATATCATATCATCCAAGTGGATTTGATCAATCTATAACTTGGGCTTTGAATCCTCATTTGTTGAAGGTACATAACACATCATCTCTTTCATTTTGAGACGTTTTGAGCTGACTGTTTCTTTTGTATCAGATTGACTTGTACATAGTCAGCACTTATCAGATCAGAGATTTTTTCAAAGTAAATATAGGTGTCACTCCCTTTATTTTTCCTATAGCTACTTTACTTAGAACAAACATGCTTGTGTGTTAAGATTTCACTTCCATCCATAAGCATTTGTTTGTGTACATAGTGTTATTGCATCTTTGGAAATCCTGTCTCTGGATCCTTTTTAGATTATTCCTGAAATGTCATGAAGAAAGGTGAATCACGCTCCAGAAATCCAAAAGAACAACATCTTCCAGGAGTTCCACTGAACTTGGGAAACACTGATAAAAAAAGTGCAAAAGGAAAACCCGGTACTGGAACAAACTTAACAAAGTCCCTCGCCAAAGGCCCGAGCCCCAGCGAGGGTAATGGAACCCGTCACAGAAAGGAAGACATTTCAGGAATTGAAATTTATTTCCTCAACACTTTTTTGTCGTCACTCATCGGTAAGACGAAAAATCATCTTACAAAGAGATTTTTGTGTTCTCCCACTCACCCCAGCACCCTCCTAGCGGAGGAATCTACCAGGCTACAGCCCAACAATTCGCCCCCAAACACAATAAATACTAGAGCTGTTTTGACAATGGTTGATTATTTTTTCATCGCCAGTGGTCAACACCAATCCAAAAAAAGCACTTGGGTTTAAAAACATCTTGACAGGGACTATACCCTCTGTATCCTCAAAATTAGCAGAGAAACCAAACTTGGTCAAGAAGAAAATTGGGTTTTGCAACATGATGCATCTTTCATTATTCATTCTCAGATCGGCTGTAACTGATTGAGATAAGTTTTCAGCAGTAGATGCTCAGAAAGTAAAAGCAAAAGAGCACATCCCCTGAAGAGGTGGATCGACTTCGTTAGTCCCAAGTGTACATCGCAAATCACCTAACCAAAATAATTCACCTCATAGTGAGTTTAGCTCAGGTCACGTACAACAAGCAGCACCCAAAGCTATTCATAGGTTTTTGATTTTAAATCTTTCCATGAATATTCCACCGGTTGAAATATCCCAGCTGTTTGAGAATACAAGTCAAATCTCTCACATGATGGCCCTGTCATGAATCATGATCAACCAATCTGAATAAGTAAATTGACAAGGCGTGGTGGACGGTGAGGGTTACTTACTTACTTCAGTTGAGAAGATGATGATGAAAGTAAGTCCGTTATGAGTAAATTTGAAAACTGAAATCCCGATTGGACAATGTAATTTAAATCGGGTTTCTCTTTTTGCTCATTTCATAAAATTGAGGATGAAAAAAATGAATTGGTTTAAGAAGGTTCGATTGAAAATTTGATTTTTGAAGAAAGTCAATTTGAATGAGAGAGGTGAGAAGATGGTAAGTATTGATCACTACTGATGGAAATAGAATGATACAAATCAAACCTTTAAATCTCTCAACCCTTCAAAGAATTCCTCACACTAGTAAACTGTTAAATTGAGAGTGTCAGTGGATTCAAATTTCAAACCGATTCCAATTGACTTTAATTGATTTCCAACCATTACTCATAGACGTTCAAATTCAATTCTTTGAGTTTTATGGATCAAAGCTCCTATGTTGTAGATGATTTGTCGTTGATATTGTAATGATTACGTAAAGTTCTTTGATCCGCTTCTGTTGTACTTGTCAAATTAGCCAATTTAGTTTTTCTTCTTGAAATTGATTTCTTGAATGTATGTTGTATGTAATTCAATGAAAATTATGATTTTTTAAAGTGAAAAAGTGAAATAACTTGAATAATCCTTTTTTTAAAATCATCTTCTTTCTTGTTCTTAGAACTTCCTGTCGATCTTCACCTTCATTTTTTCAATCAATCAAAACTTACTGAGTAGTAGTACATACAACCCACACACCCACCCACGAAAATACTCAAACCCACTTAACAACAAACACAACTGCGCATTCTTATATTCCTATATCACTTCGACTCTTCTCACCAATCCCATTCATCCTTTCAGCCTCACCGTAGAAAGTAATAGACTTATACAGACTTCTTCCTCTTTCAAGAGATCCCCATTCTTCGATCAGGTTCATACACACCCTCCTTTCTTTCATTTTGCTCACAGCCCTAAAGCTCTAACTCTTTGGATCCACCACTTCTTACGTGACGACTACAGATCATCAGAATACATAAATCTTTCATCTCGAAAGTTTTACACTTCAAGTTTAATCAAGAACCTAACTGATTCTCAACTTCTTCAATTAAACTTTCAATTCAATCTTTTTTTTTTTTCATCATGGGATGTTCTTCATCAAAGTATCCTGCCGATAATGATGCTAATCAACGAAGCGCAGCCATTGATGCTCAAATCAAAAAGGATCGTAATAATGCTAGGTGTGAAGGATAAAGATTCTCTATTATGATCACAGAAATTCGAAATAGATTAGGTTACACTTCAAATCGTTAACTTTTATTCATCTTGTGTTTTTTTTGTTTATTGCCTTTTTTAGAAAAGAAATTAAGATCTTATTACTTGGAGCTGGTGAATCTGGAAAGTCAACACTTGTGAAGGTAAGTTTGAATTGAATTCTACTTTTTTCAAGATACTCGTAACAGTCACAGAAGCTCATGATGGTTTTTTACTTGGTTTACTTTCTTTGTATCACTTTTTAGCAAATGAAATGTCTTTGGGATAGGCCTTATACAGTTCAAGAAAGGGAATCGTATCGAGAAATCATCTTTGCAAATACCATTACTTCTATTCAAGTTGTTCTTGACGCTCTTCCTGCATTACAAGGTATCGAAATACCTGCTGAAGTAGGTGATGCTGAGAGGATCGATTTACTACTCGCACTTCCTGCCGATGCACATGACACCGATACGCTCGATCCAGAAGTGACTAGTGCTATTTATCATCTTTGGTCTCGAAACGGTCTTAAACAAGCTGTTTCACTCAGTCATCTCTATCAACTAAACGACTCTGCACCTTAGTCAGTCTTTTTTTCGACATTGTTTCCTATCTTCTTACACAGTCCTGACTATTATTCATTTCCTTTTTTTCTTTTTTTAGTTATTTCGATAATATTCAAAGGATCGGACAACCTGGTTATATTCCTACAGAACAAGATATTGTTCGCTCAAGAGTCAAATCTACAGGTATTTCGGAAAGTACTTATAATGTGGGTCAATTGATTTGGAAAGTATTTGATGTGGGAGGTCAACGTTCTGAACGAAAGAAATGGTAAGCGTTCATCGGTCGATCATTCATTCCTTGGCTCTCATTGGAACTTATCTCATTCGGCTCATTATTTAGGATACATTGTTTTGAAAATGTGAATGTGTTGATCTTCTTTGTGGCCATCAATGAGTATGATCAAGTTTTGTATGAAGATGAGAGTGTCGTAAGCATCCCCCTAAAGCTTTACTTCAATCGTATACCTTCTTACATATCTCCGTCTCTTTATCAGAATCGAATGGCCGAAGCTGCAACATTATTTGATTCGATCTGTAATTCCCAGTGGTTTCGTCAAACACAGATGATTCTCTGTAAGTCCAGAAGATCTCTAACCACAAAAACAAATCAAATTGACAAATGTCCTTTTTCCATTGGTTTTAGTTTTTAACAAAATCGATCTTTTCAAGGCTAAACTTGCTACCTCGCCTCTTTCACATCGGTTCCCTGAGTATCGAGGTGATAGTTCATATGAAGCAGCCTCTAAATTCATTCATCGCAACTTTTTACTACTCTCACGTGATCCTCAGAAAGATATCATCACTCACTTTACTTGTGCTACAGATTCTCAGCGTGGGTATTCATTGATTTTATATGAAGGTTTTGATCTCTTTACTTATTTGGTTTTTTGTCTTTTTTTTAGAAATCTCGGTCATTTTGTCTGGTGTACAAGAATCAATTTTACGGAAAAACCTTGCAGCTGCTGTGAGTATTTTCTTTTTCACTTGCTCACTTGATCTTCCTTTACTGAAACCCGAAACTTGAACTTTTTGAAACTTTTTGTAGGGTTATGTTTAAACCTCTTAAACCAATCTCATCATGACTTTCAAGGTTAATTGTTCATCTCTTCTTCTTCTTCTTTCTCCTACTCTCTTTTCATCATCAATAACATTCATTACAGATATACATATATATATATATATGTGTGTGTTTAATCGATCCCATTTTTTTTTGGTTTTTGAAAGGAATGGGAATGGAAGGAATAAAGAAGAAATAAGAAAAAAAAAGGATTTGTAGTAGCTTTGGTTTTCAGTTTGTTGTAAACTTGGCTCTTGGTTGATTTCTTTTTTTTGATTTCGATACTTTTGGTTTCTTACTTTTCTTTCTTTGGTTTCTTTTCCTTTTTCTCGTCGTTTTTTTTTCCTTTGGTTTTTTGACATCTATTATCTAAATAAAACATTACATAACCTTACCTTACGATTCTTTCTTTTTTTAACTCTACTTTTTATTGTGTATATGTTCAAAGAGAGAGAAAAAATCTAAATTCTGTTTATATCTTGGAATTACCTTTTCTTTTTTTCTTTTCTGTTGATGTGATGTGATGTGATGTGATATTTGATGGATTATTTTGGATAATTTGCTATTTTTTTTACAATAAAAAACTTTTTTCTTTTGTTTTTTTTGGAATTTATATATGATTTGATTATTTTCTTTGAATTTTTTGGTTTTTTTGACTTGGTTTTTTTTTTGAAACAAGAAAAAAAGAAAAAAATTAATCATTTGTTTCATTTATCAATTTACTTTTCTTTTCTTTAAAAAAAACCTTTCCTTTTTTCTTTCTTTTTTTCTTTTCTTTTTTTGTTTGATTTTTTTTGATTTATCATTTTTTTCTCATGTTTTTTTTTTCAATTTTTGGATGTTTAATGGAATTTGATTTGTGAAAACTGAAAAAAAGGGGTTTTCTTCCTATCTGAGTGAATTGTTGACTTTTCTTGGAAAATTGTATTGGATTTCTTTTGTCCACCTATTATTGAGTGGTTTGTGTTTGGTGCCTTTTTGAGGGTTGAGTACTGAACTGTGAGGTGAGGATTATGGGCATGGTGTTTTGAGCAGTGGGCCTGGAAGAAAGTGTATCTTGGACTTACATTGACTGATTTGAATAATTGCTTTATTTGAGATACACCCTCATGCTATGAAATGTATAAATGTGGTGTAGGTGGTAGCCCATTCTGTGTGAGGTCAAAACAAGAACAAATATGTTCCAAGATTGTTCAGGGAGAGAAAGAAAAGACATATGTATAGAAGAACACATTGAGTGACAAACAAAACAAACAAGCAGAGAAACATGTATTATTGTTGGTCTTGTTTTAGTCATATATTCATGATTGGTTAGATATTATGTACTGAGTTGTGGTATTTCATATCAAGATCTTATTATGTTAGGAGTGATTGGATTTGGTTGCTGGATGCATACTGTTACTAGGATTTGGTTTTGTGTGTTGCGGATTGTTGTGTGTTACAGATTGTTGTGTGTTACAGATTTTTGTTTCTTTTTATTTCATATTATCTTATGTGTGGTCTTTTTAAATTTCTCTTCTTTTGTTTTTCAAGACTATAAAGTCTTCTACATATGTCTATGTACCAAGGTTAGAAGTTAGAACCTTATTTTTTGGAAGCTTTTGAATTCTTGATTGCAAACTCACTTAATTTTGTATTTGTGGATCTTTGCATGACTCATAGGTATGTTTTTTTATCTCTCTGTCTTATTTCTTTTCATGCTTTGTTGCTATATTTTTACTTGCTGTAAAATAAACATTATGATCTGTTTGAAGGTTTGACTTCCTCGATCACAAACTCACTTCTTTTGTGATTTGAAATTGTGGATCTGTGCATGACTTGTATCTATCTGCTGTTGGTACTTAGCATTTGACTCAGGTAATGTGGGTTGTCTTGATGGTCAAGAACTGCCCATATATCTGTGGAAAAGGAATTGATTGAGCCCCAGAAATGAGACTGACAAAATGGTTGCCATTCACATATGCAAGGATGATGGGTTTCTTCAGGTGGTGTGTGATACGGGAAAAAAGTAGAGCAATCAACCCCAAAGGGATCAAAGACTACAACTGGACAGTTGTAAGGACTGTCAATAAGCTGTACACCAAGTGCATGCCCGCCGCTCAAGTCAACCCACTAGGTCCTCAATGATTTCTGTTGCATAAGTTTTGGCATGTTGGGTCTCCACTCCACCTTGCATCTTAGGAGTATGTGTTGCAGAAACATTTCAGGAGTGAGTGGGGTGGCATTCACCAAGTCAAGATGTGACTTGGAGGTGATGTTGTTGATGAAGAGTGACTCTAGTGACCTTAAAATAATCTGATATCCTTGATCACCATAACTGGAACAAGTAACACATGAGTTCAGAAACTATTTGATGAGCATGGATGAGGCAGAAGATTTACACTCAATATCAAGGTCATCCAACCTCAAAGTGCGCACATGTTGCAGAAACATTTTGGGCGTGATTGGGGTAGCCTTCACCATGTCAAGATGTGACTTGGACTTGATGTTGTTGATGAAGAGTGACTCCAGTTTCCTTACAAGAATCTAATGTTCTTTATCACCATAACTGGAACAAGTGACACACAATTCAAAAACTATTTGATGAGCATGAATGAGGCAAAAGATTCCAATCAACCTGAAAGTGGGCCTTTTGAATATCAATACCCATCATGATATTGCCTTTATCAATCCTTCTCTTCTTGGCATCCTCATAGTAAGAAGAACTTTTGACACTGTTGATGATGTTGCTCAGAGTAATGTGATGTTTATTGATGCAACTGTGGTGGAAATAAGGCAGATGGTTGCTTAAGTCATGAGATTTGAGATGAAAGATTGATGAAATAAACACTGGAGTGGACATACTTTGGTACTCCAACAAAATAAATTGTGGGTGGCCACACTTTGCTGTAACCTAATGGAATAATGTCTGTCTTGGCATGATGAAAATAACAGAAGTCAGTAGCTTGGGTGAACCGTTCAACAGCAACAATAAAAATTTGAATAAAGCACACCAACATAAACATGTACAATGAGAAAGATACTAATTACAGGCAGTGACAAAGCTTGTGCATGTCCAATTCTTTTGTAGATGTTTGGAATTGCTAGGAGGGTATCCTTCATTTTGATCAGCTTCATTGCAGGATCCTTTGGATGCGGCTGGTAACAGGAAGGCCAAAATTCTTCATATTTGTTTGAATTGTTCTTGGTTTCTGAGTCAGGTAAAGGTCCCTTGTGCTGTGAGACTTTGTGTGAGTCCACATCCTGTACTTCATCATCATCCAAATCATTGATATGCATGAAGAAAGTTTATTTGATGATCTTTGAATTTGGTGACTGCTGCAATTGATTATAATTACGGGATACAAAGTTAAAACTGGGATTTTTTTCCCAGTTTCCCAGTTTTTGTTTTTGGCTGTGTTTGGAACTTTCCCACGTTCTCCCAGTTTCCCAGTTTGCGTTTTTGGCTGTATTTTGAAAACTGGGAAACTGGGAAAAAACTCCCAGTTTTAACTTTGTATCCCATAAATGAAAGAGTTTGATGCAGATTGATTTTCAACACACTACAAAGCAAAGGTATGAACCTAGATGGACAGGTTAAAGATCAAGCTCTGGATGAACTCAACAGAAGTATACATAGAAGAGATGATCATGCTCTTATCTTCAAAGGAGCAGGAAGAATGAAAAGATGTGGAAAAGTGAGCTAGGTTGACAAATTGGTTGAAAATCATAAAAGAAAAAGACTTACTCTGAGTTTTCACATTCTTGATGGTGACAAACTCAGAGCTTGAGAGAGTACATGTATATATGACTAATGATTGGAAAAGAGAAAACAGCAAGGACCATGGACATCAAATGAATCTATACAGGACCCCTGAATGCTCCTACAAAGGGTAGTGAAAGAAAAGTACCTTTTTGACTTCCGCAGATCGCCACCCCTACCAAACGGCTAAGTGTGTTCCTGGCTTTACCCATAGCTCTAAGGGGGTCTTGCTTTTTACTTGGTCTTTCTTGAGACCTTTCACGAGTCCTTTATTGACCTTGAAAGTACAGAGACAGATGTGAGGAGGGGAACTTGTATGCACTGAGCGCTGCAGTCCAACATATGGTAGACTAACTATTCTTAAGCCACTCAATAATGTTTTGAAAAATGGACTTCATGGGGTGAATTTTTTTGTTTGCATTGAGCTTTTGCTTTTCACATTATATTAAAGATGTTTTGAACAATTGTTAAATGGAGTCAATAAACAAAATCAACTTGTTTTTTGAAAAAGCCATCATTTCCATAAGTGACGCCTTGCTTTGAAAGCGCCTCCTGCTTATAGATGAAAGTACTTCCTGCTTTTGATTAAAAGTCCCTCTCGCTGACAACCAAAAGTACCTCTTACCTTCAGTCAGCTATCTTCAGCCTCTAGCTCAATGGATCATGGGCTGTCCGCTATCTCGGCATTTTACCCAATTTTGAAGTTCCAGCTACTCTGAGTTGCGGTTCCATGTCACAATGTGTACAAGAACAGACAGGCATCTGTCAAAGGCTGACATGGATGGCAAAAACAAGCAATCAAATAAAGCAGAAATTGGGCAGAATCAAAGCGTGCTGGTATAATCCCATGAATTTTAACCCTGTGGGAGTCAAAAAATGAACTTTTTTTTTACTACCCTTTGTAGGGGCATTCCGGGGTCCTATCTAGACCAAAAGGGACAAGTTAAATGGGAACAGGAAACATGGCTACAAAAAATCCCAAACAAGGAATAAATGGAAGTGAGCCCTTTACTAAACTGTCTTGATGGAGAACATGCCAGAGTCCAGACAATATACCCAAGGGTGAAATTTCCACCAATTTGTTGAGGCCACAACTTATGGAGACTGAGGAGGTGATTACTAATTGGAATAAAGCTGAAGGGTTGAAAATTGGTTTTAATCAGGAAGATGGTATTTGTCTCAAGATTGTGGAGGATGTGGAGATGTGGAGGATGTGGAGATCCAACCACACTTGAGATTAGACTTCCTTGGTGCTCTTTCGAGAATCTTCTAGCAGGTATTAATTCTCAGCATCCATTTTGAAACTTGTGAATTCTTCTCTTGGTTCTTAATATAGCTAGTTTCCTTTTCCTACCTTATAGTGCACTTCTTTCTAAGGTAGTAATCTAGGTATGGGGTACAGGCATAAAACCTCTCACAGAGCTCTTCTTAGAAATCAAGAGAGTCTCTTGTGAAGAGTTAGTTCCAGAGAAAGGAGGAGAGTCTCTCTTAACTCATTGGTTAGTTTTAAGGAGAGAGTCTTGGGTTTAGAGATTTTATCTGCCCCTTGTTACCTTTCTCTTGCATCTAGAAAGGAACTATGCAAAAAAGGGTCCTGCAACACCAGGTGGTACTTATTTGTAGTGTGGGAGGGAGGTTTGAAAAACTAAGATTCAGGGATTCAGAACTAGTAGGGTTATTGCTAACAGGACAGGGATAAGGTTGGTTGAGAATAGTTTATTGGAGTGAAGATGGAAGCAATGATATTAGAAAACTTGAATAGGGAGACAACCAGGGAACAAGCTGTAATACATTGGAGGCCTTTCTTTTATAGATCCTGAGGGCCTTTGAATCAAGCGGAGTTACAAGCATATGACTCTATCCAGAGATCTTCCTGTGAGTGTTGTCATATAACCACAATGGTCTTTAGTCTAGACTCTCCCTACTGAGATCTAGAGTGTAGGTTGTTCTCTCTTGTGTCCAAGTAGTCCGCTTTCAAGCCTTCTTGAAGTCAACCACCCTCATGGACACATCTAACACTTTGTGCCTTGCATAAGAGGCAATCCATTTTCTGCTAGAAAGAAAAGGAGGTTTGTACTCAGTGTGTGGCCATTCTTGTCAGCCTTCCATGCACAATGAATTTACATGTTTGACCTACTATCACTATCTACAAGATTTCAATAACACCCAACCCCAGCACAGGCCAGTGCAGACTGTGCTAAACTGTGCTGCACCAAAAATGTCCAAATTTCACATACCCACTGCGTTGCTCTGGTGTGTCATTACCCAAAGTCTTGGAGGCCCCTGTGGTGTGCTCCAGCGCAGGTAAGGTCAGCGCAGTGGGCAAAAAACTGTATTCAGTCTTTTGCAGATGGCAAGCATAATTTTTTGATTTCCCAAAGCAGAGCATAGGTGGGGGTAGTCAGAACCACTGTGCTGCAAAAAGGCACGGTGGTCAGAAATATCAAAGATCCTGCGCTGTTTATTGGCACAGTCACAAAATTTCCAGAAACCCCAGTGCTGAGCCACAGTGCATGCGCAGTCTGCGCTGCAAGTCAGGCATTGATGTCAAGTATCAGTTTATGTGTTTTATCAAGCTTGATTTCAAGGTATCTTGTCTTCCTTCCTTTCATAGTTTACCTGTCAGTTCTACTTCTTGCTAGGACTCTTATTTATTAACTTGTCACACTGCTGGCCCTCTTGTTGCAATAGCTGCAGTAAACTACTTTGACATCAATACAAAGAAATGCTCAAAATGAGGGATACCAACTATCAGATACAAAAGTAATAGTGGCACTCTTTTGTATTATTTCATCATTGAATTTGTGATTGCTCATGGATTAAAGGTTTGGAAAAAGCTCAAGTTGAATAATGTAGAGATGGTGTTTTCCAGTAAGGTTTTTCTCCCAGCTTCATGATATAATTTCTCAACAACTTGTTTTCCTTCATAGAAAACTACTCATTCTTATTGTATTTCAAATCACAGTCTATATGTACTCCTCATCTTGGACAAGTGGTTAGTTTGTAATTCAGATGTTCCACTTGTATTTGAAAGTCAAACTCAAGTGGATCATTTTCTTTAGTCATATCTATCTATGGGCTTTGTATTGCATCAGTGAGATCACCCACTATGGTTGCATTAAAGACATGATTTAGCATCAGTTTAACACTAAATTATACACAGGTCCACTCTGGACCTGTTTCAGACTGGTGGTCTGCACAACCGTGTCAAATCTTGCATTTCACCCGTCCAAATCCACAAAATCCTACAACTTGGTTTATCATACTTTTGGAGCATCAAATTGGTCAACTCGATCCATCCAACTCTACACCCTACACCTTCACTTAAAAACTTCCCTCTGACCTTGAGATACCAACATATCAACAGTGGGTCTTCCCTCTGAACCTTATCATGTTGTGCTTGTTTTTTCAAAAAAAGCAAGCTTACCCAATTGATTTTACTGAAATCATGCAAGGTAGTCTTGTTGCTCATGCTCAACATATGAAACCTTTGGTTCACCGTCTCAATATCCTTGTAGCACGTCAACGTGCACACACAGAGAGTTTCAAAATAAATTTGAAAATCTTTTGGTCAGATTTAGACTGAGCTTGCTCTTGAGAACCCTTTGTGAACAATGATTTTGTTATGGGATTCACAGAATCCTTTGTCAACAGCTGGGGTCAACTGACTGCCAACATCCCAGTTTATAAAGGGAAGATGTGTCTGTTGTGAAACCTCTTCAATAGGTCTGTCAAGTGTCTAAGGAAACTACTTGGTGTGTGCATGTGGATGTGCTCTAAGGATACAAATTAACACTGACAGGCATCAATCTGTCTGCTCACAAGAGCAGTCATTGGTGAGGAATGAGATACATGAGGTGGGTAAGACACAATACTTTGATTGGTGATTTTGTCATGGGGTGTAGCATATCCTAAGACCAGATTATCATTGGTAAATCAGATGGTAAAGCAGCTCATAGTTGGTTTCATGTTAATACCAATTCAGTTGCAACATGCATGATCAGATTTTGAAATCATGAACACAAACCTTACAATAACACATAACTTAACCAAGTCCCTTCCTAGTGTCCAGGGGAAAATTTTTAACAAACCCCAAATGCATGTCCAGGGTTTGTTGTGTTTTCCCCCCCAGACACTAGGAGGGGACTTAGTTAAATTAGCAATAACACACCCTCATGATAGTGGGTGCTCTGAGATCAATCAGACTTGAGTTTCTCTCATTATATTTACTAATCTTGATGATACTACATTATGAGTCTTTTTCTTTTCTCCAATCTGTTTCACAACTGTTACTGCCCAATATGTTGCCTCTTCCAAAGGACAAATAGTATGGTAGATCTTTTTATTCTCATTTATATTGTTTCTTGATATCTTTGTTTGTAATCTATGTCATAAAAAAATTCATCATCAAAAGAAAGAAAGAAAACAAAAAGGATTTCTAAGTAGGAAACATTTCAATTCAATTTCATTCTAAGAAATTCTCAACAAATCTTTTATAGAAAAAAAAACAATAATCCAAAATCTTGACTTTCTATTAATTTGAAACAAATTTTAATGGTTAAGAAGAACGAGTATAAAACAAAAGATAAGGAGTTTTTAAATCTTGATTGAAATCTTCATTTGGAAACTTTTGATGATGATCTTTAATGATCGTATCATCAAAATAAATCCATTCATCTGTGATTTGTTGTTTGATTGAAACAGTATAATGTCCTCCAGATGCCATTAAACCATGATGATAAACAACTATCAAAACGCAAAAAAGAAGCAAAAAAAACCAAAAAAGTTTCTTTTTCTGAAATAAAAATTATGAGAGGAGGTAATGACAAACCAGCAAAAAGTTTATAAGACACTTCTTCATTCCTTTGAGCTGGACCTCTAACCGATGCAGGAATCTTTAAAAAATTACCAAACTTGATGGATTTTGAATTTTTCTTAACTTCACCTTCAAAATATCCAAACCTTTTTAAATGTAAAATAAAGACTGGAGGAAAGGATTCAATAAAGATTTGTTTGGTAGCTGATGATTTGATTCCATTCTTGTTCATCATATCAGAGATGATTTCAGGTGTTGAAAAATTCAATAAGGCTTCTTCGATGGTTTTGATGTTGGGTGATTCAATGGATAGTTGTAACATGTTATTCGGTTCGAATGTTACCGAATCTTTTTGTTTTGGTTTGTGTAGGATCGAACGTGTGTTGAAGCCAAAGATTGAAGTGAGAGGTGATAGAATACTATCGGTCTGTTTACACAAAACGCACAAAATGTGACATTAAGATTTGAACAGGGTTTTATGGATCAGAAGAGTGATTCAAAGACTTACTGATCTAGTAACTGAAGGCCGTCCCTTTGAACCTACTTCCATCCATCCATCAGATGATGAGTTAGGCTGATCGAGCTCATTAGCAGGTGGCTTGAGATGATTATCCTTATTAGTTGTATTCGTAGCAGCATCAGCAAGCTGTTGACGTAAACGGATAGGTCCATCATGTCGATCGATGGCTGTTAATAATTCTTCATGTAGAGTATCTAAGAAGAAACACAAAAACTCTTGTGCATCTTCTTGTTGACCACCCTGAATAGAAATCAAAAAAAGTCGTAAATGATGAGAATACGAAAAAAAAGATGATCGAATCAAACTTACCCTCATGGCATCAAATCTAGAATTACCCTTGGTAGCAATCCAAACAGATTCAGCAATAAAAGGTTCACCAATTTTCTTAAGATGTGTAGGAAGATGATAACGCAAAACGTTTGAAGTTTTAGGATCTTTGATCGGTTCAAGTTCAGATAAAGGAATTGATTCGAATTCGTTTATAAAACCAATCATAGCATCTAATAGAGGAGTTTGTGATTTGAAATCATGTGAAGTATATAAATTTAAATGTTTCAATAAGTTATAGAATGGTACGCAATAAACCAAGACCTGTAAGATCTAGATAGAGGTGTTCAACATTATCATTAGTGATCTTTCTTAATCTATTGCTAAAGTAGATAAGTAGGACTGTGTTGAGACTAACCGCATTGGCAAAGCAAATGTTACCATTGTTGATCAAACCTCTAGGAACGATAAACGGAACATGTTTCGAGTTCTTGATAGCTTGAAGACGTTCGGACAGTAATATTGATGATGACTTGAGATCGCCCATGTCGGATTCAAGTAATCGAGCAGAAGACTGAAGGTTGTTGCTAGTAGGATTTGTTGTTTTAGCTTGATCGGAAGAAGTAGAATTAGATGGTAAAACTGTTTGACTTGACTTAGATGTTCCAGTTCGAAGTAAATCGGCCCATGATTTCGGTTTGGCAGGAATTGGATTTGTGACAACTGGGGTTGAAGTTTTGTTAGATTGGATCGAAGGTGATGGTGGAGAAGGTGGAGAAGGTGAAGAAGCAAGACTAGATTGATCATTTGATATATTCTTTTCAGGAGTATTATCAACTTGAGTTGGAATTGAATTTGGTGAAGAAGTTGAAGAAGACGAAGTTGTGATTTGAGTTGAAGATGATTGATGATTAAGCTGTTTCGATGAAGATAAAGTGATCGAAGAAGAAGTTGAAGAAGATGAAGATGATAAACATCGATTGATGATTGAAGTCGATCGAACGGTACCAAGATGAGAAGAATGATTGGAAAGCCAAGATGCAAAACAAACTCCAGGTGTGTCTAATAGATGATCAGCATGTCTGATTTGAGTTTTGATTTTATTTGGATTCCTTTTTGAGATTGATGATGAATGAGTTTGATTGATTTGTTGTTGTTGAGATTCATTTGAAGCTATACAAGAGAAGTTTAAAAAAGTCCATAGTTAGTTTTAATGAATGAACATCACTTTTGAAGATCAAAGACAAACCTTGATGTTGATGTTGTGAATGACCAAAATGGTATAAAGGTGATATTGAATCAGAAGGTGTTGTTGTTGATTGATTTGTGGTTGTGGTTGTTGTTGTTGTTGAAGTTAAGAATGAACGTGGTATAGATGGACCAGCTATAGGATTGATGGATGGATTCGAATGAGTTTCTACTAAGATCATCTTGAATGTGAATCTGAATGAGATGGGTTTCTTATTCTGGTTGGTTTGTTGGTTTGTTTTGTCTGTTTCCTTGGTTGGTTCTTGGTTGTTGGTGGTTGGTGATTGGTTGTTGTGGTAAGTTGTGGAGTGACTAATTGTGAATTTGCAATTTTTCTTTAATCTGATCCGATTCCGATCCCTGTACTACCCTTCGATCATCAGGGCTATCGGAGCGGTCGGGTCAAAACTTAAATTATACAGTTACATACAAAAAACACAGCCTGCGACTTTGAGGCATGTGAATGCTGACCCAGAGTTCAAAAATGGTAATCCTTGTGGGTGCGATGTCTTGTCTGGAGGATGAAGAATTCGCATCTTTCTCATCGTTGATGGCGACGCACAGGTCAGGAATCAATTTAGCAATTTCTCCTGAAGCTATACACCTTGCTGGTATATGATATTTTCAAGGATATGCTTGGAAATTGGAAGGTCTCAAGGAATAAAATTTATCACAGCGGCCTCGCTATTACAACATTTCCCTATTATCCATAACTTTTTACAAATTCAAGAGGGTACAGGTTTGGGGAAGTGCCTGACCTGGTCTTTGGTTCAGCTAACCAGCAGTTGGTTTTCTGGAACCACAAAGTTAAGCTGAGGTCCTTTCATGGATGGTAGAACCACCTGTGTTATGGTGGTCTGGGTCACGTTGCGCACAACTCAACTGGTAATGCTGTGTTGCACTGCTCTCTTGGTGTTGCTTCTAAAACTATCAAGATAGATGATTCAAAAAACCTGGAATCCAACAAAAAGATCAAATGGACACCCATTGCCAATGTTCACCGGCTGGACCTTTTATCTATCCTCAGACATCATACTTACCAAGCAGCCTTTCCACTTGCAAAGCACAACATTGGAAGATACCTTGACCATTTCCTCAAACAAGCTGGCAATCCAAGTAGGACCATTCACTGGAAAGATGCACCAGACTACAACACAACAATCTGGCTCAATTTATTTCTCTTGTCTCTCCTGAATTCACTTTGAAGACTGGTCCCACAAAGAATTTGACAGAGTCCAGGGCAAACATCTCTTTGGCAAAGTCGGCCGGCTGGGAGAAGACATCCCAACCCTCTCATCTAGCCAGCCCAAAGCCTCCCTATCTTCTTGGTCAAAGCCAAAATCAAAGCCAGCACCAAAAGCATCACACTTCTGGATCAATTTTCTGTACAGCATTAAGGGTTCTAGAACTTGGAATAAGAGCAATCAGTCTTGTGATAAGTCAAACACTGATGGGTGCAAGAAATCAGATGATGACTGCAACAGAAGGCATTGTTTTCATGAAGGAGTAAGACTACAAAGCACCAATGACATCACACATCCTTTTTGATTGAAATTCATCTCTCTTTGACACAGCCACACAAAGAGGGCCTCTTGAGCTAATGTTAAGGGTGACAAGTTTCTTAGGAGCAGCTTCAGGGTACATGATTTGAAAGATTTTCAAATCATCACTCAATCTCAAATCTCTCATGATCTGTTCACCAAAACAATTAAAATTAATCCAAAAAACACCCATCATCCAAGATTCAACCAAAAAAAAAACCAAGATGATAAATAAAAAACCCAACCTCAAATAAATAAATAAAAGATAATTTCAAACAAACAAAAGAAAAAGAAAGAAAGAAGATGCACATGTGAATAAAAGAAAAAAGGGATAGGAATCATTAACCTATACAAAATGGTTTACATCAAACATTTTTCTATCAAAGCAATTTCAAAAGTACCACAAAACACACACACACACAGATTAGCTTCCAAGTCTAATAAAAACAAAACCTAATTAATGATGAAAGAATGAAATGATTGTTCATTTTGAATCATTCAAAAGTATTCAAATACATTATTCATTATTAGAAGTGAAGAATCCAAAGAAAAAACTTCAAGTTTATAACCCATACCATTTTCTGCAAACGAATCAAACCACACACACACACGAACAATTAGTATTCCACACTTCTGTTAAGAAAGAGGATGAAGAGAAATCAGATTGGGTTTGTAGGATTGAAACTTAACTGAGCATTAAGTCCGAATACATTATCTAAGGCTTCACCTTCTAAACCAAGTTCTGAAAGACATTCTCTGAATAATTCAAATTGACATTCATAATAATTCGATTTCAATCTTGAATTGATTTTTTCTTCTTTTTCTTCATTATCATCAAACAATGAACCAAATCCTGATAAACGTGATTCAGAAAACAAACAAAAAAGTAAACTTTTCTTTTTATCATTATTTTACAAGCGAGAGAGAAAGAGAGACAAACCAGGAAAATCACTTGAATACATAATTCGATGATCACCAAATGCTTCAAGGATCGGTTCAAGATAAAACTTCATACGTTTCTTAATTTCTTTCCAAGCCAAATCACTTTCTTCTTTACCATTATTAGAATGATGATCAACAACATCATCTTTAATTTCATTGACTTCTTCAGTAGAAGTATAAGGTTTAGGTGCAGCAGTGTAACCTGATGCATGATAAGGTCTTCGACATCGATCATAATAAGTTGAGGCTCCTTTGGCTAATTCTAGATCGATTAAGAGTGGTAAACCTGATAATTTGATACTTAGGTTTGAGAATAATGAAAGTGAGAAGAGGTGGGATAGAATTGATGAATATGAAGCTGAACTTGGTACAACTGAATGAGAGGTGACCATATGTGGTTTACCTATCAAACCAATTTCAAAACGTTTTCATTTAGCCATTTGATCGATGCAACTTAAGATTGGTAACTCAAATTGACTTACCCATTTCACAAATTGAAAATTTAGTTTCTTTACCAAGCTCTTGATCATTCCTAACAGCTGAAACACATTCTAAGATTTCTTCTAAAACACTTGGAGCTGATCTATCTAAATTACCTTCAACTAAAAATTCAACACTTAAACCTTTTTCACCTAACGTTTTTAAAGATTCGATTAGTTTTGGATTAGTTAATGAAGTTCGATCTGAATGATTTGTGGATTGAATTGAATATGAACATCCTAATAATCTTCGGGTTGGATTTGATTTCATCACATCTTGGATCTCGTTTAAATATTCGATCAATACTTCTGATCCTTCGTTTAATGGTGCCCATATGATTTCTCCTAATGCCGGACTGATTTCAATCGAACCTAAATCGAATGCTTTCCTTGAATCGAAAAAAAAACTTTAGATGATTTCTTCGATCTCGGTCTTCACATCAAAGGTTTTCAAATCAAACTTACAATTTCTTATCTTGATCCAAAGTTGAGGTTTGATCATGAACAAAGATAAAACCAAGAAAAGGTGAAACCGATTGAGATTTCTTTAAATTCAAACTCGAAGTAGATTGTGATAAAGGTCCGATAGATTCCACTTCAGGTGAATTCGATTGAAATTCAATAAATGATTTCCTCAACGTTAAAATCGAATCAGACCAATCTTTTTTAAACTCTTGATGATCTTCATTCTCTTGATGTTTAACATGAGAATCTATGATGAAGATTGGTTTGTTTCTTTTGTTTGGAATTGATGAGATTGATAAGTTTGGTGGAGTGATGGGTGAGAATGCTGAGATGGGTAAACTAGGTGGCGTTTTCTTTGGCATGATGGTCGATCTGGTTTGATGATTTGATTAAATTCTTGGGTTTCTCTTGAAGTTTAAGATCTGACTTTGATCAAACGCTCAGCATTAAACTTGAAATGAATTTTTGTCTTGTTTTGATGGAATTCAATTCAAGCCAGGTGGGTAAATACCAATATAAGGTTCAATTTAAATATCCTTTCAATTAACCATTTAACCATTCAAGACCATTCACCATTCGATTGAATAGTTATGTACAACGAATGACTAAATTTTTGCATTTTAAGACTAATCAATCAATCACAAAGGAGAATACTACAAAGGGAACCAATGGGTCTACAATCCTCTCAGAGTTTCATTGGAGCTGGAGTGCCGCATGTCTTTAAGTCTGAATCAGAGTCACGGTCACCAGTGTCACTGCGGCCGCGTGTGTACCACGTGACTCTGAGTAATCACGCAGCGGGGGATGCACACCGCACTCCAGCTTGACTCTTGAGTGACATTACAAAGCCTCCCAGAGTTTGATAGCTGGTTGATTTTCTCAAAGTATCTCTGATCAACATATGTCTTGACATACATATTTGTAATGAGAAATGAGGACAGGCAGAAAACAATCAGTCTTATCTCATGCTGTAACTGAAATCTTGTGGTTTTGCCACTTTTGAGGAGCATGCTTTACAAGTATGTAAAACATTTTGGGTTTTCATGCCACTCCAAAGGTGGAACCCATATAATGTTTTTGTATGATTGTCCTGTGAGACTTCAAGAACTGGTAGTACCTGCATCAACCTAAGGACCATCTATGACTCTAGCAGTGTCCCCTTAAGCACTGTTTTGCTGGGTAGTGAGACCACACTCCACAAGTAAATTATTTGCAGTTTTCATCAGCCAAAGAGTTGAACCTGCATTCTATTCTTAGAGCATCATTATCTTCAATCAAAAAACAATGGCAGTCCTTGCACCAGCCACAAGTATGTAAGCATGACCCCTGCTTGCTTGGGAGAAGGGACCACCAGAAATTTACCCCAAGGACTGTTCAAAGATGGTCCCTGGCTTACAAACCACTCCCTTCATGCCAAGGATTTCAATGTATATCCTCAGACCTTCCCCTGCCACCAAAAATCAGGGGATTACCAAATTACCTGAGTGTCTCCATCCATGATTCTCTTAATAGGCAAGCTTCAGTCAACTATATACTTTTGTATACTATTTTCAGAAAATATGATTGCCTATTGTTGTTTATGAGTGGTTATTGAGTCACAATCCTCTTGGTCTGCCCTTAATATCACAGCATTCCTCAAGAAAAATTGAGCATTTTCATACCTCAGGCTGGCTTCTGCCCCGCTGGATTTGGTATGAGGTGAGGAGCTGAGATATAGTGCTCAAAATCAAGACTGGCATAGCACCTGGTATTCTTTCAAAACCTGATAACAGGGGCAAGTTTCCACTTCCTTGGGTTCTGACTGAAGTTTTAAAATTCAATCATTGTCAGCTATCCAAAACTGTTCAGATTTTTTTGTACCATTGAATCTCAAAGCGGTATGAGATTTCCAATGACTTATTTGTTGATTTTTAATTTGAAGTAAAATTGTTCACTGGTAGGTTGGGTGGCACACAGTCATGTGAGAGAGGAAAAAACAAAAACAGGAAATTTTACAGGTGTGAGCCAGATTTTTCAGATTTCATGACAAAAAAGCAACAAAAGACAAGAAAAAACTTCAAAAGTCACTGATCATGAGCTGTCAGTCTCAGCATCCATGTCAGCTGTGCCATAGACCCATCAATGAGACTGATACACATGGATTGGGTGATTGGAGTTTGTTGCTTGTTTTTGCTGATCACCATTAATATGATTGACTAATGCAAAACACATCAGAAAAAGTGTGAATGACTTGTAGCATATGATAATTACATGTACTTCATCTATATTCCATCAATGTGTTAAAATAACACCATATTGTGAGCAGTGAACAAGAGGATCTCAGTTTTTCAAATAAAGCTTTTTGTTCCCTTATTGATCAACAAGCATGATTTGCTTTGCAATATCCTAAGACAGAAAAGAAGGAGATTGTTCATGATGATCAGCAGTCAAGAAATGAAAACCAAATAATTTACAAGGTTACTCACCTTTCATTATGAAACACCAATACATTCAAATGTAATTCAGCTCACAAGGAAACTTAGCTGGGAACATACATAGACAACAAGCCTCCCCAAAAGTCATTTTCTAAGTGGCTTCTGCTGAACAAAGGCCAATTACATTGAAAGTATTTTGGAAGTACAGCAGTCAATTTCATTGTGATCATCTGGTAACTTGGGCATCTTGTCTGTAAAGCTTTCAGGAAAGGAATCCTAAGATTGCTTGGGGAGAGATGTAGCTCAAGAAATTACATCCTTTGCTTCCCCTGACTATTTGTGTACTGCACATTGATAAGCAAGGAATTTTGAGCCTTGAGACATCTTTGAATTGGGGGATGGAAAGACCATGGATTGGGTCTGGCCTTGCAAGTGTGTAGGGATGTTTGGATCATCAAGAGGCATTTATTTGTATTGATGTCAACCCTGCTTGCCTCCAGGATTGAGATTCATCTTCTGAACTCAAAGTGCCACAGTCCAAAAGACTTGTGAGCCAAAGAACAGTTGAATATAAAGAGGGCCTGAGCATTGGGGTGGAGAGTTTTGGTAAATCCAAACAACTTCTTTATCAGAGAAGCCTAACACTGATTCAATAATCTTGTCAAGATGACATCCATTGTACTTTTTCAGACAAAGACAGAGGCTGGTGATCTTTTCAAGATGCTTGCGCTGGTATAGACAAACATCAGGTTGTTTTTGTCCAGTGTAATAGATGCACTTCTTGAATGGTTTTCAACCCATGCAAAGCTGATGTATCCATTGATTTAACATCATATACACAACATGATCTTGAAAGTCAGGCAAATCAGGCAAAATCTGAGTGTTGATGATATAACAAGCCTGGTATAAGCAAGCCTGATGGACTGGTCTTTAAGATACAAATAAAAAAAAGTGATGGGCATTGGTCAGTATCTTCTCTACCCGGTCGCAACTGTATATTTACAAAGATGAGTTACATTTCTGGGCAGTTATTGAGTCAGTGATATATTTACAGAAATCAAAGTTGCCATGCATTGAGAGGTGATTTATTGATGTAACAAGGCCATCAGGAATCAGGCACTTCTGGGAATGGATGTGCTTGGCTTGAGAGCTGCATGAGAAGTTCCACTTGTGAATTCTGGGTTTGGATTACAATCTTGGAGAGATGAGCTGTGTACAAGTTGCAAATATGATTCAACTTTTGATGATCAAGGGTTATAGAGGTTCAGCTGCCAGTTGTGGTAGTTGAAGTCTTGCAGTTCACCAAGTATGTCAAAGTAGTGGTTAGGTAGTGAGATGGTGGTTCATGTGATTTGCAATAGATGGAAGCTTCTTCAATAGCCTCATCAAGTTGAGTCCAGGCAATTGATGTTGTCTTTTTCAAAGGGGATCTTGACAACTTTTTCAGGTCCAACTTTAGGGAATTGAGAGTGTACTGGCATAGGATCGATACATGGTGAAGGTGCTTTGAGCGGAATGTTTGATCAGGAGAGAAGCTTTCTTCAAGATTTCTATCAAAGTCTGAGTTAAGAGATCAAAGAGTTATGAATGAATTTTGGCCACTTGGAAGGTCCACAATATTTGGAGCACTGCCTCTGTGCCTTCTGAGACCTCTTGAGTTGCATAGTCAATAAGAAGAAGATATTAATTTGAGTTGATTCAATGTTGTGTTGCTTTAATCAGACTGATGATGGGTCTCAACTGCGGTTGAGACCAATCAAAAGTTGCAAGGAAATAGCTGCTTGAGTCTGGTCAAGTTTCCAGAGCCCTTGTTGCTATGATCTTGATTGATAAATAGTTGAGTGAATGGGTTGATGGGCGAATAAAGCAATGAGGTAGCAGATTGATGAAGCCATATCACTGTAAAATTCATGAATTTTTGAAATTTCAAAATTGACCTGGCCCCACTCAAAAACAAAAAACATAATCTGGTGCTACACCAGTCTTGAGGTTGAGCACTATGGCTTGCCTGAGGCAACATACCAAAAGTACAGGAGCCGGAGATCCCTGACCCCATGACAATTGGGGTTCATGCTGAACCACAAGAAAGACACACAATTGGGTTTTCTTGTAATATGTTTTGAACATGATTACTCTTTTGTCATTATTGCCATTCAAAATTTGTTATTGGGTGATCAATTGTTTTGAATTTTGACTTGAATAAGTGAAGACTTTTTGTTAAAAATTGAGAGCAAGAGAAAAAACAAAAGTAGAATGAGTCCATGATTGGTTGCTTTGGGCCAGCTTCATTCCCTGCATATAATGCATCCAAGTCACTTGTGCTAGATCTGATGTGGGTGGAAACATTTTTGGTTTTTCTAATTCTGCATCAACACAAAACATGTTGATGGATCATTTCAAAATAAAAACAAGTCTGAGCTACCAAGTATTGATCATCCTAAGAGCTTTGTATGTGTACAATGTCTTCAAAGGATCTTTAGATAAGAAATGCAACACACAACATAGAAACCTAAACTACAACATAAACTGAATAGGAAGAAAGAAAACAAGATGATTGCACAAAAAAGGTAAAGTGTAAGAAATAAATCAAATCAAGAATTCAAAAGCGTGTCAATTACAAGGCTGATCTAAATAAACTGGATCACTCAAAGGTCTAGAGAAGAAAGCTTAATGTCCAAGTTTTCTGATAGCAGAAGCTTTTACATTCAAAGGTGGAAGAAGTTCAGTCTCGTGCACATTGTCAAGTTCATCGATTGGTCCAATCTGAGAAGTAACTCGTTTAATCCTACTTGGTCTCCTGGAATTCTTTGAGCCTTCTTGGTCTTGGGATTGACCAGCTCAAAGAAAGAGTTTTGTTCGAGTGATGACTCTTTCCTATTGATGATGACGCTAGAGGTGGCGTCGGGAGATACGAGTAAGGAGTTGATTCTCTTGATTGACTGTGACTTGGCGTGTTGTACAAAGATGGAACTATAGATCTTGATCCTGAGCCACTCGATGCCATTGTCTCTAGATTCTTTTCCCCTTCCGACTGAGTGTTTGATGTTGATAATAACCAATGTATCAGCTCATCTTCACGTTGTAAGACCGGTGAGTCGGGCGACGGTAAGTCGGGGATAAGTAATTCTAGACACTTCATCACTTTGGCTCTTGTTTGCAGCTTGTGTTCTAAAGCCTAAAGGAAGATGAGATGTGTCAGTACGATCAAATCTCCAGGGATTTATGAATCTTGCAGTGATCCACTTGGGCATCATTTCCAAACATAACAGGGAGATACAAAGAGGATGAGAGAAATAAATTGAAAGGCAACAAACCAAGATCTCTTTATCTTCTCCCTTCACATCCTCGAAGCTACAGATTAACCTTTGACTAAAGTTGCAATTAGTAGGAAATCCAGCTGGGACACGGATGGGGACCTTAGTCTAAATAATGAAATCATGTCAGACAGGTAGAGTATACAAAAAGCCAGTGAAAATATTACATACCGATCTTTGACGCGCGTATCTGTGAGAGGTCACAGTGTTGTTGCATCTAGCCAGTGCAGTCAAGAGCGGGTCACATTGATCCTATCAAATCATAAAAATAGAATAAAGAATCAGATCAGGGTTTGAAAGAACAAGGAACGATATATAGAAAGACTGACTACCACTGGCTTCACACTGTCCTTGGAAACCTGAGAGTTGAAATCAACGAAGTCAATATTTCGCGCTCATCATCATCAGCAGACAAGAAAGGTAGAAGACTGACTTTGAGATCGTTTGATGCGACTCCTAGATTCTTGTTGGCTTTTTCCAATAAGTTTAGTGCGGATAAAAGTTTTGCTCGAATGCATGCAGGTCGGGATGATTGAGAATGCATTGGAGACGATGAGTGGTGAGATTTAAATAATGATTATGAGCGGAAGAAAAGCAAGGGGTTTGGATGGGAGATGGATCTAATCGGAAAACTCGTATTGGAAATGGTTAGAGTAGTCAAGCGATAGAGTTGGTTTGTAAAAAAATGTGGGATTGAAGATGGGATGAAGATGAGACTCTGTGGTGACGGGCAGAAAAGAGGTTATATTTATATCAATTCAGACATCAGTGAAGACCCATGAGGTTCGCTTCCAATTCATGATCAGGTACCAATTCTTCATCATGCTTTGTTAATTAGTCTCCCCGCCATTTCTTAGCTTCGAGGTTAAGAAAGGTCCCATGAGCAGTAAGAAAGGTAGACTTTCAAATAGAGCTCAGCTATTGATTCATAAACGGGTTCGTCTGGTCAGCATCATCCATGATCGACTTCATCAGCCCCTGAAATCTCGAAAACATCATCGTTCTATGAGTTTTAGTGGTTTTTGCTGATAAGGTCTCAGGCACACAATGATAAAAAGCTGGCTGGTGGGGATTTAACAACATGCATCAGGTTCGAAGGACCTTGAGCTGTCTTGCCTGCTCCACATCAGGTTCAAAATCAACTCTGAAATTTCATTTTTCTTTTCAACGCGCAATCCATTATTTCTTAGAGAAATGAGAAGAGTGGGTGTGCCTGTCTTGTCCCTGTTCATGAGTTCACGTTGTGATAGCCGACCAGCTATGAATAATGAGTCCCTGCTTTGTGTGCCTTTTGTAAATCTTGAGTTCAATCTGGTTTCTTGAAACGTGAATAAGTAAAGAAACTTACGTTTGGGTGAAAGGTCCAAGGCTGAATACCCCAGAGCAATAATTTCCTCAACGGCAATGCCCTACGGGGTGGTAGCGGACTTTGATGAAAAACAATTGATGCAAAAATGGATCTCTGTGTGCTTGATGCGCAGGTGATCACCACACAAAACAATGCTCCAAAACATGGAGATGCAATGAAAACTTATCAGTGTTGCATCTGTTGCAAGTGATTAGAGCATCCAACGAAGAAAATTATCCTTTCAGATGAACCTTTTGATCATCTACCCAACAACAACAAATGTCTGACAAAGTTGAGCAGACTAAAGCAAGAAATTATAGAAGATGGAAGTAGACTATATTGGTGCATTATACTATTTAGTTGTTTTTTGTGGTTTCGAAGTTTGAAGTTGAATACTTGTTATCATTTCATTTGAGGTGTAATGTCATATCAATTGCACTTTCAAAAATTAAAACACAATATGGTCCCTATAATCTGTAACTGAAAACTGAAATCTCATGATACGAGTATTGATCATGGAGCAAAAACATAATATTGAACCCATCAGTTCATTCACTAGACCACTCAGTCATATATCAATCAACTAGCGTCATTTCACTGTTCACTCATAACCAAATCAAATCGTATACATAGTCCTTTCCATTCAAGTTACCATAGAGAAACTTATGGATAACTAAACCACAATGAATTCACATGCAAGTCAACTCACATATAAGATTCAATGAGTCAACACAAAAGAAACTTTCAAAAAAGAAACTATACTCAGAAGAGTAACATAAGACAAATATAAAAAATCACAGGATTAAAATTCGAATAAAACCAAACACATTAAGAAAACCATATCATATGCTAAAAATCCATGTCCTTTCCTGTCCAGTCATGATGCTTGTTGAATCTCACTCAACCCTTTACTTCAAGCCGAGAAACTTTCTTCATATAATTCTAATTCTTTGCATAACGTCTTTCCTTTCAAAATCAACTTCTGAGCATTGGCTACCGCATTTCTGACTTCCAATGACATACTTCTTGGACCACAAACTGATGAGGAGCGTTCAAAAAATTATCATCAGATAAGATCATTTTTTGCATCAAATAATACTCGGGAGGTGAGGTAGTGACAAAAAGAAAGTTTGTAGATCAAACTTACCAACAACACCAACTCGGCCGTGACATTTATTCACACAGCTGGTCACAATCAATCTTACATCCGGTCTTCCATGATGTATCACAGCCACAGACGATTTACGATCTTTCTCGGTTCCAGAAGCTGGGGCCGAAATCGTGACACCGATGTCTTGTTCGTTAGTTGACTTGACTGGCGTCTCTGAACTCTGAGCGTTCTCACACACATTAACACTATCTCCAGGATATGAATTCTCTTTTTCTTCTTTGCCAGTCACATAGATGTTGACATCAGCACCCTCCATCCATCCTTTGTCAAACCAAGAATCAGGTGCTACTCGATTTCTAACTGCCCAATGCATCTCCAACTTCGATCGACCTTGTAAACTTAATGCCAATGGTACCAGACCGGACATTCCACTACCACCAGCAATCATAATCACAACATCGCAAGCTCGAACCTCGTCCGAAACTCCTGAGTAAGGACCATCGAGGATACAAGCTAGTTGTGCACCCCCCGTTTCGGCCTTCTGCGTTAGTGATAGGAGTCGCTTCGTCATTCCACTGAGAGGTTTGATCAACAACACAATCTCGTTCTTTTGCATATCGAGGTCGATCGGCTTCTCACTGCTGGATGGCAGCTTGGCATTCATCGCCGCTTCGCTATCTTCTCTTGCGGATGATCTTTGAATGTCACTAGGCAGTGAGGCAATTGTGAAGGGATGGGATTGCCATGGATACACCGACAGGAATCGGATATAAACGTGGGATCCTGGTCGCCATTGAAGAGATGCGGGAACTAAAATCGAAACTCGTAACATATCGCCAGGTAAGAAATGGATAGAGGCTTGGGCAAAGCCTTTCAAAATCCAGCCGTGATTTACTAAAATAACCATTACACGCCAAAGAATTGCAACCCCCCAAAGTACAACGGCCGCGTGCACTAATAAAAAAGTCATCAGCTTGAGATGTTTGCGAATTTTCAAGGAAAAGTGCGAATGGCTCAACTATATTGCCACGAATTTAATAAATCTGCTAGATGAATGTACATGCCAACGATGAAGGCTGTTGTGGAGACATTGAATATCAGACTCAATGGTGAAAATTATTTTGAAGTACCGTCAAGAGTAAGAGATTATAATCTTTTATACACGTACTGATGGCGGCGATGATATGAAAGAAATAAAACGTTTCGTAAAATCGAGATCTATGGGATTACCAAACTTGAGCAAAACTATTGTTTATGATAACCCTTGAAATCGATTTCAATCACGAACCTGAGTGGTCCAATGCTCATGACACATAGCCATGCTAATGCTACGAGTGGAATAAAACCATTGCGGTAGAACTCATCGGTTGACCATGTGTAAGACCATGGTCCCTTCATCTTCGCTTGAATGATCATTGCCCCAGTATGAACCAGAGACATGTATAAACAGATCCATGGCGCATACTTATGCATCACCATAACACCTTTCAACGAAACGCCTACAAAATGGAATGCTGTAACATCAGAAGATGGAAGAAACCGAATCCCTTTAGCTCAAAGCTGACCAGTAAAATAGGTCACAAAGTTTCTGCGAGTTGCAAATGCATACAACCAAGGCACCATAGCCGTCGCAATCCATTCCGATCTTAGAGAACTATAAAACGTAGAAAATAATAATGAGTCAAATCATATTGAATCATGACCAACTCACAACTCACAGAGGAGGGCTTCCAAAGTTGGGTGGACGGTAGTAGGGACGAGGGACGAAGCAAGCCAGAGTACTGAAGATTAAAAACCCGAAGAGCAAAATACTTGGACCAGCACTTGGAATCATCCCAAATAACCATCCACTTTGAGGATAGCTAAGCATGCGGGTAAATGCACTAAGTTGCGGAGAAAAGCCAATAACACTATTGATTCTGACAAAGCTGGAAGTAGGGTGTCAGTGAGTTGAGGTTGGTAGCTGAGGAAATGGTTAGATGCTTGAAAAATTGACATACCGGTTGAGAGCGTGTAAGCGTTTGATGGCATTGCAGACCGTGATGACCACAAAGGCGGCTACGATAAAATATGTGGTCCACCAGGCGTAAGAGATCGCGTCTGCCCAGGGACTGTTAGCAGCCTGACAGGCGGTCACTTCATCATCCGTTGGCTTGTAGATTCCTGGATAGAATACGCGTATAAGCTTCAAGTAGAGTCTGTTTTGTAAAAAAGCATTGATGTACCAAAAAGCCATTCGCCCATACCCATCGTCCCGTTCGGATAGGTTCCATTGGTGCGAGCAAGAATGCAACTGCGAGGGATGGATCAAGCAGGTGGATCCAGTAAACAGCAGCATACCACTTTGCAAGTACCAAATGGTAAAATGACTTGGAACTCACGGATCATTCGAATCGACATACAAATCGCTGCTGTTCATCATTGGCATGTTCATTTCCATATTGTTCGATGGGATATATCGAGAAGCAAGGATATGAGTGCTGCTGTTTGTACGTATAAAAATGTGGACCGATCACGAGTTTGGGATCACGATTTTGGAGAAGATAGCTAGTATGGCGTGGTGAAATCGAAGATCAGAAGTCGTTATTGTCGTGAAGTTAAGAAAAGCAGGACCGATCGAGATCACAGAAACCACTTTGGTGCTAGGTGGATGCTGTTTGTGGTGTTAAGATAGCAATTTGATGAAAAAAAATCATGCACAGAGGCCGAGTCGGGGTGTGCGTCTTATTTCGGTGTGCAAATTTGAGTGCAATGACAGGCGGCGCATTCGAGGGACGCCACCGTGGACCGGAGCGTATAGGTGACGTCGCATTGGTACGGGGCGGGCATGAGGAAGGTCGAAATGAGCTCGACGCCACAGTTCGACCGATCGGTAATAGCCAGTGAACGAAAAAAGCCAATTTGATTTCTTTGGGGGAGACGGCCATGTAAATCAAGTCATGATCATGTGTTGATCTGTTTCCTGTGTCTGGTCGACGAAATGCGAGGGCAAAGTCCAGAGCGGTAACTCTTGATGATTGAAAGACGTTGAGGGACTAAGCGGAGCATCTCAAAGTCATCGTTACATCCGAGAGGTGCGCCGGTGGTCCAAAAGCCGAGAGAGAAGTCAACTGTGACATTTTCTGATCAAACAACAAAGCGAATGTGATAGTTGGAACTTGGCAGGCCGCGTATCGATAGCAGAAGCTCGGGTTTCTTCCAGGACGAAATGTACTCCTTCAGAGTCATGTGAGATGGACAAGAGTACATCATCTTGAGGTGTTGTCCAATAGAATTTGAAGGTGATGAAAATGTGAGATCATGGTGGAGGAAGAGCAATAGTACTCCTTGTTGAAGTTGTCGGTAGAGAGTAAAGACAATGAGGCATTTGAATTTAGAGAATGAGGCATTTAAATCTGAGACATTTTCGCGAAATCACATTGTAGCATATCATACAGCTTACATATTCCTCACGGGACATATTCAGCTGCACATGTCACAACATACGTTCATCGTCTTCAAGGTTCAGACTCAGGAAACACCATTCCTCATTCAAACTCCTGAATATCTATTGCCACCACATGTGTCTATGCATGAGCTTTCTAGTTGAGTGATCCACATCCCAATTTGTGTCTTGGTTGACACACTCGGGATGAGACAGCTGAGAGTATGAATCTGATTACATGGTCAAGACTCAAGATCTTTCTTAAACTGCAGACCCACATAAAAACTCTTCATGATTAAACCCAGATTGAGATTAATACTAAATCTTATTGTTGGTGTTGAGTTTTTCAAAGTATAATTGGTATTATTTTGTGTTACATTTCCAAATTTTTTGATCAAAACTTCTTTACAATTTTTTTCCAAAACACATTGATCAATGTACCAATTGAATATCAATTTCAAATCTAAATTCTAAAACTTTCCAATCGACTTTGAAATTTTAGAAAAAAAAACGCTCAAGTAGACTCTAGAATGATGATCATGATCAAATATTACATTCTTATGTTTCATTCATTTCCCATGACTTGATTGTGACATACTAGAATGTAAACTATAAATCGCATCTCGAATATAAAAAAAATTAAATCCAATCGGTCCTTCAATACTTAACTCACCTTTCGAATTCTTCTTGACCAAAACTTTTAATTCCATTAATTCTTTACTACCTTCTTCAATTCCTTCTTCTTGATTTAAGATTTCATATTTAATCTTTTCACCTCCTTTTTGAATCGGATTGGTGGTGGAATTATTATTGCTTGGTTTGTTGGATACCGGTCCACATATCAAGACTCCTTCTCCGGTGAATTCCGCTTGGATTCCAATCGAATTTAAATAAGATTTTAATCCAATCAATTTGATTTCTCCAATAAAAATCGTAGAAGAAGTGATCGGTAAGGCATCTAATCGATGACTTATATCTAATTTAGATTCTTCATTTTCGGTATCTTTAGGTTTCGATGTACGTTGATTATATCTAGTTAATTGTGTACTATTGTTTAACCCGATCGGTAATCTTTCTAATGTAGGAATTGATGATTCGTCTAAAACTTGTAAGATTCCAGTTAAATAACCTACTTCAAATCCTTCAACCTAATCACAAACAAAAACAGAGTCAGCATCAATGATCTGATATACTAGAGATTGAATTATAGTCAAACTTCATCTTTACCTTTGATAATTTGATACTAGACATCAAGTCATCACTTAATCTAACACTAAAACTTTTAGTATCATGTCCAATTACTGAACATTCTCCAATCTTGGGGGAAAAGATTTGGGTTGTAAATGAAGGGATTGCAGAAACATTTGAGATGAACTCTTGATGTGTTTCACTGGTACCGTTTATCAAAACCTGTAAACAAAATCAGAAGACAAAACTTCCTCAGTCTTCTTTGTTTTTCTCAATCAATTTTATATGTTCATCTTATGTTTTTTTCGAAGGTGACTTACTACTGTTTTGGGATTGATATGTGGAATAATCGTTTGTAATGCTCTTCCATCTGCTTTACCTTCTAGATCGATTAACAGTACTTTACATACCACCTTAACTTCTTCAGTTTCAGAAACAAATTTATGAGGTGGTTCCTCAACTCCCTGTTTATACGAAGAAATCATCAAATCGAAATTCCAGAGGGTTGATAAACAATTCATTCAATTGATTTATTTGATATTTAAAAACTTACGTCTTCTCCTTCCTCTCCTTCTTCCCATTTTCGTTTCTTTCCCACATTTTCATTCTTGATCGTACTCTCTTGTACAGAATCACCTCTCCTTAACCATTCATCTACATTCAACATTTCACCATACGCGTCCACTTTCCTTCTCCGATCTACAAACGGAAACATCTTGATCCGATGAGATCCTTTAACATAAATATCAAATGCGATCGTTTCAGTTTCATCTACAAATTCATCCCATGTGGCTACTTTGGCTTGTGTTAATTTCGTAAATGGTTTCTTTCGACTCGCTGGTTTTTCTTGTGTTTCGGTTTCTGAATTCGACTCTTGATCATCTGATGATGACATTCGATCTGAATCATCTTCTTCATCTATCATTCTTCTTGATCTAACTAACATTGCTTCATGTTTTGTACGTCTCTCTTTTGCTCGTTGTTTATCTTCTAGGTATTGTTCAAGTTCTTCTCCCTCTAAAACCACTTTTCGTTTCAACTTCCAAAAAAGTAAAAAAAGCGAATCAACTTATGTGTCTGTTGAAGTAATCAATAGAGAAATGATTGAATAAACTTACTTCGACGGAAACTGAAGTATTTAAATCAATAGGTTCAGGTATAGTTCCACTCCCATACTTAGCCTCACTCTTTTCATTAACTTGATCAGCAAGCCAACGCGTCAAACTTTCTTTTTCTCCCATCGAAGTAAGCACAACCAAATTCCCAGGTTTACCCACATGTCTGGTAAACATTCTACGAGAGAATCCGTATGCCATAGTAAGAGGTACAGCTAAGATACATTTAGGTTGAATAGCAGCCGTTTGGGATTCTAAAGCTTCAATCGAATTGAAGAATTTCAGATTTCTCAATCTGAGTGCTATCCCACCTGGACCTTCATCTCTTGCTCGAGATTTTAATTGAGATTCGGTTGGGGTAAGTGGTGACATCCATTCGGTTAATGATCTTAGAAAAGTGATCATATCTTTTCCGGTTTGTGAAACTAAGCATAATGGAAAGGGTTCTAATCTTGAGGTTGTCCAGAGTGTGTCTAACATGATGATTAATTCGATTAAACGCGCTGAAGCATCTGTTGGAATGAAAACCGAATGAGAACTTCGCAAAGTACTTGCTATAGTATCTGTAAGATCAAAAGAAGTGATATAAGTCACTTTCTGAAATTACTCATGATTTTAGAATCCAACTTTATGAACTCACTGAATAAGACTTGATCTCGATCTTTCTTTCTGATGCTTTTAGTCAAACTACGTTCAGTACCGATCATCATTACCAAAGGCCTACTCATTCCATTTCCAATCGCCATCCCACCCTCAGTAGAAGATAAAAGAGCAGCTGAATCCAAATGACGTTCTTTGAGATGATTAAAGATTGGAGCATAAAGTAGAGTTGAAGATGATGAAGAGCTAACGGTATGAAGTGGTGACCTTAATGACCAAATCGTACCACCAATTGTATGACCCGATCGATGTGCTGTGAGTGTAAGTGAACGTAATTTACCTAGAAGAAAAGATACATCAATTAAAGATGGATTGATTTGATAAATGATGAATACTAACCTGCTAGATGAATAGGTTGAGAGTATCGAATAGCAGTGATACTATTAAAAGAATCTCTAACATCTTTTATTGATAAATTCCAAAGATCTTGAGTTTGAGTTTTAGTTTTAATTTGCGTTTCTGATGGATTTTCTAACTCATTTTTGATTTCATGATTTGATTCAACGATGATTTGATCATTCTGATCTTGATTTGGTGATGGATGAGTTTGATTTTGATTTGAATTTGAATGATGAATGGATGAAAGGTTTTGATTCCAAGGTTGTGAAGGATTTAATAAATCATCTTGATTAACTTCAGTTTGACATTGATTTGAAAGTTGAAAATAAAATTCTTCTACCATTAGTTTTCCCATTTCTTTGGTAGGTAAAGTAGAATAGATTGGACATCTTAAGTTTAATTTGGTTTTTAAATATGGTAATAAAGCTAATGAAGATAATAATGGATGGGATAAGATTAATAAATCTAAACTTGGTGTTAGTTTTTCTAAAGTTTCTAGGTATTTGTTTAATTCGACTTGGTTTAATGTATCAGGGTATCCGCAGTCTAGTAAGATCTTTCCTTGATCGATTTCTAGTAAGTAAGAGAATGATTGATTTGAATCTTGAGTGCCTATTAATGGTGTGATTTTGATCCCCATCCTGTTTTTGTTATCGTTGTTGTTGCTGTTGTTGGCGTTGTTGGTTTGTTGATGGTTGATAGTTGATGATGGATGGTTTGTTTGTGAAGTGAACGTGAGTCTGACTCGTGAGTTGGTCGTTGGTTCTTGTTCCTATGTACCTTAACCTACCCTAAGCTTAAGTTCAATCCAAGATATCCTCAATAAAATCTGGAATATTTGGTCAACTTTCTCTCCTTCAAGATCACATTTGAAAGTTGATACTACACATAATCAAATACCCTCAAGCTAAAGTAGTTGGGGTACATCAAAACTTATGAAATCTAAAAAGAAAAATTGGCTGAAGAAAGTTTTAGAAAATGTTACTGCAAAAGAATATCAGGTACTGCAGTACTACAAAGAGGTTGTCTAAACCCTTTACTATCCAATATGCTTGGTGGGAGCACTTGGTATTTACCAGGTTTAGCAGGCTACCAGATTTGACAGTTTGTGCAAAAAACCCTTGAAAATTTCTTTCAGCTTTTTTAAAAAAATCCCTGTGTTAAGACAAATGATACCTTGAATGAAGACTTCTCAAGCCAGGACCAATCAAGGTAGTAGGGCATTTGAATTCTTTGTGATGGCTAGGTATGAAATCAAGCTGGAAATTTTGCTAAGACCACAGACTGATACTGTCATCAACATGATTCATATTGGAATACAACTCTTATCATCCAGCCACTTCAAGCAGTAATGCACAGGGCTTTGAAAGAGAGAAAGATTGAAAAGCACAATTTGATGGTCTTGGATAACCTTGAATAGTGTTTTTGGCAATGTTTCCACTCTAGGTTGCTAATTGTGGTAAAATATAACAATTTTTGCCCTGTTTAACTCAATATCTTGAAATTTAGCAACCAGATAATGTCTAAGACAGGCTACCAGATTTCTGGCTGGGAACTAAGCTAGTGGACAGCTCTGCTACCGGGAAGGAACCTCTTCCAAGTGCCTATCATGATGGGGTACATAGGCCATTTTCAGTAGTCCAGAGAACCCGGGGGTGGCCTGAGACAACTCTGAGACACCTGAAAAACCCTTGTTCACGTATGCATCATGGGTTTACACTGCGCATCAGCTGTGCAAAATCTGTCTCACATTGGAATTGGTGTTTAGGCCAACAAAACCTTTACACCATTCAATCCCCACTTAAGGCTCCATAGACCGCACTGTGGAACAGGTTGTTCAACAAGTGACATGTGAATATATCTTAATTTCTAAAGAAATATAAGCAAAACCAAAAGCCAAGGAAAAACCAAGGAGAAAAACATTTCATGATTTTTGACATCAAGTATATCATGATTTCACACTTGAAGAACATCACCAACTCAATAAAAGAAAATTTCACTAGCGTTTTGATTTTACTTTTTCATTGAAGCTTTCCATTCAAGTCATCAATTAAGATGAACCCCCAGACAATGGTAAAACTTAAAGGACCACAACAAACAGGACAAACAAAGACATTGATATCATCAGAATATATACCATTTTCTATTTTCATTTGGATAGAAAGTCTAGGCCCAGTATTCACAGTGATTTTGAAAGATGTTGACCAGGATTTGACTTGAAGAGGAATTCAAACTTCATTATAATCTTGCTACTGCACATTGAGAACAAACCAAATCATGATCATATCCACAATTTTCTTCTTGTCTCGAAAACTCTTCCTTACATCCTTCACAATAGGTTACCTTTTCAAGGCTGTTTCTTGTACAAAAACTGTAACGCTCGCCACATGCAGGACAGTTTATATCTTGGCCACATTCAGTCCTATCAAGAGTCTCATATTTTTCTTTCAAGTCAAGTTCACATGTAGGACATTCTTCAGCCAAGATTGTACTTGTCAACACAAGCAGACATAGACAGGCTACAAATACCCGTGAAAAGCTTATATGCATGACCTTCTGATTTTTGAGCTTTGTTGATGAGTCTGGAGAGTGATTCAGCTAATCTGTAATTCAACAATTATCTATGATATTTAGGTGTTCTCTTTTTTCTTATTAAACTAGCCTTGTGCTTGATAATTGGATGTATTTCTTCAAGGAAATCTTTGGAAAATGGTCACCAAGATAGGATTTTTTTGTTTCTATGATGTGACAATGTGATCAGTTGCAGTTTCTGGTCAGAAGTACAATCAAATATTATTCTTGAGAGACTTACAAGAATTGGAGAGCTGTTGACTTGCTTTAAAGTGTATCTGGATTTTCACAGAGCTTCTGGTGAATGTTGAGAGTACCTAAATAGGTTCCAGAACTTGGTCAATATTTTCATATCATATAGGGAAGGTTGATCATATTTGGATCTTCCTGACAAGGAACCAACTCCGAGATAAGAGATTTAAAGATCTGAATACAACAATTTCTCATCTGTACAAGAATCATTGTGGTGCAGATGTCCCAAGAGACATGAGAGAGGAATAAAATCTCAAAGACAGAGTAGGTTGAAATATGCCAAACTTCTCTGCTGCGGTCACAGAAAGAAGATGATTATTGGTTTGTGAAATGTTTGAGAGGATATTGAATGGAAGTGGAGCAAAACAATCATCAATAGAAAAAGTTATGCTGAGGGATATAGGCAAGTTAGTGACTATAGGTGATAACATTCACAGAGACCAAAAACAAAGAGCAAAACTGCGCTGCAAGATTAAAGATGGGTAAGGAAGAGAGAGAAGATGATGGAGACAAGTCCCTGATATCACTGGGATTTTGATGATAGTGAGAGATGAGATGATAAGATATGAGGAAGAATCAATAAGAGCTTTGATCCCCTGGATACATTATGATCTATGGATCTCAATTCCATCCAGTATCCAATGACAATGGAGAGACACTTGTGCTAAAGAATTTGTACTATCACATCTTCAATTCAAGCTTAAAAATGTGATAAAATGTCTTATCTTCAAAATAAGAAAAATCAAGCGGCAGAACTCAAAGGATGATAAGAAGGATTGTTTACCTTTGATCCACGCACGATCCTTGTGGCTTTACAACGAGCTGAACTATAAATCTAGTCAAGAAGAGGCCTTAACAGTCGTAATATGTAAAAGAAGGAAGAATATCTGGTAAGCATATGGATATTTCTTGAAGAATTTTTACTGCAAAAGGAGTGAAGAAAAGGATTCACCGGTAAGGATGGATGACTCTAACCTGCTGAATCAAAGGGAGATGAGAAAGAAAGGGCTCCTTTGTAGTTTTTTTTTAGGAAGCATTGGGTTTTCTGTCTGCTGCGTGTATGCTTAAGCTGTTTCTTGTTGAAAGACGTAGGTTTGCAAAGATCAAAGCTATCAATTGGTACCCAAAACATCTCCTGAGACCATCGGGTGAGCCTTTGGAACTTATCTTCTGCACGTGCTTCATATTTCCATGCGTAAAAGTTTGATTTCTTTATCAACATATCAATTTGTGTTCCACGATGTTTCAAAAATGATAGATGTACGGAGGACGCTTCTGAGACCTATCATGAATAGATATTTTTTGTTCCTCCGAGTCTCGAGACTCTTGAATCGGACCCTACAATGCGAGATGCTTCATCGATCTATGAGCTATTTATAAATTTGTCTCTTTGCGCAGTCCTATTCAGCTGAATAGTGGGTCTCTTCGGATATTTTCTAAGACTGATGCACATATCTTAAATATCCCTGTTATGTTTTTTCATCCACTGCGTCTTTGATTTGATTCATTTAGGATGATCAGGAAAACTATTACATGATAGATATCTGATATCCTTGTGACCTTTGAGTCAGGATCAGGATCTTATCTTGAGGAACATGATCCATGGTTCAATACGTGATCATCTTTGTCTTTTGCGCAATTCTCTCTTGACACAATTTGATGCAATAAATACATACCTTTCTGAGAACCATCGGCTCAAGCCGACACGAGATCTCAATATCTCATCTGTATAGCAAGTTTTATAAAGCCTTTGTCAAATTGCTCGCCTCTCTCTCAGACTCTCTAGCACCCACAATTAACGGTAATGTGATATCTATCAATAGATTTCAGCAGCTTCCTACATAGATCATCTCCAAAACTTCAAAACACATTGGAACACAAAAAAATTATACGGCTATGAATTCATACAACTTGTAAGGAAAAATTGAAGCATGTTCAAAAGTCTTAGATAAGATCCGAAAAGACCCATTGTTCCAAAAAAGATACATTGAATTAGGTCTTATCTTGAAGCATGTGTTCCATGGTTCAATACGTTACCATTTTTGTCTTTTGCGCAATTCTTTTCAATTGCATTCATAAATTTGGTTATGGTCTTGGGTTGAATACTTTGAAACCGAATTTAAAGCAAGTTCCTTCTTCCACTTCCATGATGAGCTTCATCTCTTAACCACAATCTTCGGTATAGGTTTTTGTCACTTACTTATGAGTGACTTTGAGTCCTAGACTCTAAAATCCTTGACCTTGAACCAAAAATTCTTCTTTTCTAATTGTGATCTCAAATATCCTTGAAACATTTTTTCTTCCTGTTCTGTCTTTGAGACTCATACAACACAGTTTTGATTGTTCTTTTCAAGAAGATGTTTTCATATTTTTCCATCTTCTTTTTGCTCCAAAGAACGCCCTTTGCTATTTGGGCGCGTCCCAGACAAAGCAATGTGAGCCCATGCACGCCCCTCTCTCTCTGTCAGATCCGTGCCCACCACCTGAGCTGCACTTCTCGCACCCCGCGCACTCCACTTTTTGGTCCTCGGGGGTGCGCCGCAGTATCTCCGCGCCCACCACTTAACTTCTAATTTATAAGTTGTATGTACCTCCCTCAAACCTCCTCAAACCTTTACCTTCAACTTCGGTTTCTTTCCACAATTCCTTCCACCATTCCACCTTTTCTCAATCACTCAAACTTCCTCAAACACAATGGAAACTTTAACCTACCTAGAAACCAAGTTAAGCATGATCGACTTCCAATGCAACCCATATGCAACCTGCACCTTAAAAAAACTGATAAATATCCTACCTTTTTTTCTTCGATGTTTTTGATTTTTTCATAGGTTTTATCAAGATGGATATCAATTAGGATTTGCTCATGGAGAATTAGAAGGTAGATTAGAAGGATTTCAATTAGGCATCAGTTCATCATTTCAAATTTGGGAAGAATTATCATTTTATCAATCTCAATTGATTTTAATTTTAACTTTTAAATCATCATCAACCACAACACCATCATCATCAACAACTAACACAACCACAACGAGTGCAACCACCACAACAAATTCAAGCACCACAACGAATCCAACGAATCCAAGCACAATCACTACAACTCCAAGCACCACCAAATCGATAGTTCTTTCACCAAAGTTAAAATCAAAACTGATTTTACTTTTTGACTTGATAGAAAAGTTTCCGAAAATCAATTCAACACAATCAGACATAGATTTGATATCTAAACTAAATCAAATCCGATCAAACTACAAACTATGTTGTAACTTACTATCGATCAAACCCAGACTACACCAAAACACGATCAGTTTTTAAGAAGCAGCAGACGACGAACCCACAGATCTCAACGAATTCAATGCTTCATCCCATTCTTCTAAACTTTCACCACTATCTTGTAATCGAATAGCCTTCAAAGCGATCTGTTTCTTAACCTCTTCATCCCGATCTTTCCCTACTCCTTCTTGTTCTTCTCCAACCGGATCCGAAGATTCCAAAAGATGATTTAAGCCTGGTCCATTCTTTTCAATCACTTGAAGTGTCATCCGAATAGCTTCCAAGAAGATCGAATCAAATTCAACATGATCCTCAATGAGTTTAGATTTCTTTAAAAGATACTGAGATCGAATCTCTCTAAGATCACTTAAAGTCCAATTCGATTCTTTCCATCTCTCCAACTCGTCCTGAGTAGAAACGATATGTTCAGAAAACGAAACCTTTGAACTTGTTGAATAAGTTGATGGTCTATGAAGATGTGATAAACTTAATGGGTTCAAAGTGGATTCCAAGACGAATGAGTTTGTTGGTAAGTTTGGGTATACTAGGGCTGTTTCGATGGGTTGGATGATGAAAGCGTTTTGTTGGATGAGGTTTGTGACGATTTGGTAGAGCGAATGACTGGGTAAGAGTCGGTTTGGTTTACTGGATCGAGCTGAGAATAAACTTGGATCTAAATGAGAATGGGATTTAGGAAGAGATGTTTTGATAGGTTGGATTGGAGTAGTTGTAGTTGTGGTGGAAAGTTGATCGGTAATAGATTGGTATGATTCGTTTAGATGGGTTCCTAGTTCTTTTGGAATCGATTTGATATAATTTAACATATCTACATAAATCAACACATCATGATTAATGAACTGAAATGGTTTGTAGAAACATGATTTGAAGACTGACTTAGATCTATGATCACATTGAATTTAGTGTCTAGGATGGCAGATTGAGTACCCCAAAAAGTATAAATTGAAAATAAAGCAGCGATTTGTTCAATAGGATCGACCTGAGGTTTTAAATAATCTAAACTTTTTCAAAAAAAGTATTAATTAAGATCATTTTTCCTTTAGTGATGATTTTGATTTGTAGATTGAGAGACTTACAATAATCTGATGATTGTATTAAACCAAACTTTTCTAAGAGAAGAATCAATGACTGATAAATGAATTAAATTCCAACCCAAGTGTTTATAAATCGATTTAAAGTTTAAGAATGGACCTAAACTTGATGATGTTGAAGAGCTTGATTTGAAAGTAGAGATTAAAAGATTGATATCATGTTTGATTTTGATGATGAATGAATCAGAAGTGTAATAGAATTCAGGATGAATCGATTCTGGTTGTCTTAATGATGGTAAAGCACTGATCGTCATCTTGACACTCATTCATTGCAATTGAGCAGAGTGAATGAGATAGAATGAGATTATCAGTTTAAAGTACCGAGTACTGATCATCGGGTCGGATATCGGATAATAGCTAGCAAGTTTCATTTGATTTGACTTTCTCATTGTAATTAAGTCAGTCAGTCAGTTTACACCAAACTTGAGAATGTCATCATCATATCAAAAAATCAAATCACCCATCAAATCTTCTGCTTCTTCTTCAACTTCTTATTTAAACTTTCAAGAAGATCAAGAATTTAAAAAAGTTCAAAAAGTAAGTCATTCCATTTCAATTCATTCAACGCGTCATCATATCAACTAATTGGTTTGTCTTTTTAGCATTTAGAAAGTTTAGGATTACGTGAATCGATCAGAAGGAAATCTATTAGAAACCATTCATCAAACTTACAACCTCAAATCAACTTACTAGATCTGAAATCAATCTTTACTAAAAGAACATCCACCAGACCTTCAATCCCATCAGATCATCACCATCCCCCTCGAAACCAATTAGTTCAATCACCTATCCCCATCGAATCAGAACCAGAACCAGATCAACAAACCAAAGCAAGTTCTTCACTTGGCATCGAATTCACAGACCAAGAGATCTTAACCCGATCCGAACGAGTCCAAAGCGCATTCATCGAACATTGTCAATGGACCACCCCTTCCCAAGCCCACCCACCCTGCACAACCAAGCCGAAGCCAAGCACAAGTTTGTTAAGTAAAGTAACAGAAGAATCAAACGAAGTAGAATTCAACCGAGATTTAAAGATAAAGTTAGACTGGAAGATTTCCAGTACGAAGCATCACAGAACATCAAGTTCAACAGATACGATCTTAGCAGCTGCGTCATCCAAGTATTACCCCGAACCGATCTTACCTGATGATCAAAGTAAATCAAGTAAATATTTTTCGGGAAATTCGTTAGATACCTTGGTTTCGAATACCAACCAATCTGTTTCATCATCCAAAACCTCTCGATCTTCATTTCAACAACCTTTACTGAACCCACAAATGAAGTATAAACCTTTTGAAAAGACTTCTTACCAAACTGATCATCGGTTCGATGATTTACACGAGTTTGATGAGTTTGATGAAGATCCAGAAGACGATGATCATGTTCAGTATCCTACTATGAATTTAAATCGGTCAGGAACTTCTCATTCTAATAATCAGATTAGAAAGATTTCTTTCTTTGATTGGATTCTCTGTAGTTGTTGTATTTCGGATGAAGATTTAAATGATCAGTTTGATCAGATTGGTAAAACTTGTCCAGAGTGAAAGCTTAAAGATCAACAAACTTATCAGTTCTTGATTAGGGGTTTTTTAAAGCTTAAAAAGTGGGATTCTTTTATATCAATATCCATTCTTCATCGTCTTTATCTTTACAAAACATCATTCTTATTCCCCTATGTTTTTTTTCTTGGTTCAATTTCTTTTCTTGGTCAGCTTGTTCATACCTCTTTTAATCATTCTTGTTACTTAGGATCAGATCTCAAACTATATCTTGATGTTTTTAAAGGTAATAATAAATTGTATTGAGTTTGATTCCCATTTGATTTTGTTGTAATTTTTGGCTTTGGGTTTTTGAATCAGAGGTTTGAAGGTTATCTATTTGGTTTGGGTTTGGTTATAGTAATTATATCATCATTTTATATCATCATTCTTGTCTTTTCTTTCTCTTGTGTTTTCATCATACCTAGTTTATCTTTGTTTTTTTATTGGGTTGGGTTATGGAAGATTTTGGGGTTTATCTTTGGGAGTAATTTCATTCATTTAATTGCTTCTTTTTTTTTAACAAAACAAAAAACAAAAAACAAATTTGATTTCAAGATGGTTTCAATAAGAGTTGATCATCCTAATGAACAAGTATGTATCACTACATAGAATTAATTTCTTTGGCTTACAATCACTCAGGTTTAGGATTAGAACAGTAGAATTTATTGAGGTTGGTTTGTGAAATTGATTGGTAGGGGTGTGAAGATTGATTTATTGAACATGAGTGATTTGAATCAACCAGAATGATTTCTTGAAGGATTTCTTTGAGCATTGTCAGAGCAGTCGTATGAGAATAAGACTTAGAGATCATCAAGTGGAGAATTCAAGAGTGAGAGAAAGAAATTGAGCTTAGCATTTGTGGTTTGGAAAATTCCTTACACAGAGATATTTGACTCACCAGAGACTTTGTAAATATGTACCTCCAATATCAAAATGATATGGCTCATCACGATGAGCGATGCATGGGGTCCCACTCCTGAGATTGTGTTTTTGTTTCCAGATCCAGGCCACCATACCATGCAGACTTTGCAAAATGAAACAGACAACCACAACATCTTGCAGAAATTAGGATCTCCAGCTGGTACTGCAGTCAATGCGTGATTCATCTATAAGAACACAATCGATTTTATTTAAGCGGTTTGTCCACATTATCTGAATCAAGAAGATCTTGAGACAAAACCGTACTCAATATCTTGTAATCACTTGATAAGAATTTCAGGATGCATGGGTATATTTTGAACTGTGACTTGTTATCTAGAGGGACCCAAGATAAAATTCCAATGGTTTATGAGACTGATCAAAGCCTAAAAGGTTCATAGAAATGATATGTGTATATGTTCAATTTCTCCAAGAATCTAGTTTCATAACGTAGTCTTTCCCTTTAAGTTTAGCTGTTAAAAGCAAACCAAACTTCATTTTCGGAAATCAGATTTTTTGCCATTATGATCTTTTTGGAATTCGATTTATTCTACGGTTAATCGAGGAAGCTAGAGCTTTTGAATATGCATAGCAAGCACTGAGCCAGATTCTTTGTCATGAAGCCTTGCAGGACCTAAATGGATGGATCAACTCCAAGGATCGTATGAATTTGCGTGCACAATGAGATAACGGGATTTGGCCAAGTAGTATATGAGACCATAGAAGCTTTGATTCTTCAGGTGGTGGTTGTCTTGAGAACGGCTGCCCAGTAGCTAAAAGGTAGTGTGAGAGCGAGATTGATGATGAATGGTTTTGAATGGAAATAGGTATCTGTTTGATCGATGAGAAAATGCGACGATGGTAATGAAGAGAAGTGATTACATGTGGTGTGTGTGTAAATTGATTTCATCAAATTTGTTTCCAATTCGATTTCATCCTTGTTGACCCTTCTGATCAATTGGACTCAGCAACGAGTCACTCATCCTCAACTTTCTTACCATCAACATCGACATGTCTCAATCCCTCAACCTTTCCTCAACCGTCTTATCTAACTTGACCGCTTCTGACAATCCAATCAATTCAACATCTTCAATCTTACTCGATCCAGGTCCAATTTATAAATCTTATACAATTGGTTATTTCTTCATCGGTTTCGCCATCACTCTTGCTTCTTCATTACTCAATGCATTCGGAATAAACCTTCAAAAACTTGATCTCAATCGTGCTCAGAGATCTCCTAAACCTACAAAGGATTGTCTCAGACCAGTTTGGGTCTTGGGTCTCGCTCTTTATGTGGTCAGTCAAGTTCTCGGAAGCACGCTGGCACTTCAATATATGCGATCAGGTGGGTCAATGTCTTTCCATCATACCAATCCTGTTAAAAATCTAGTTTGCGCATTTTCTGATAAGGTCCACTTTCCGTGAAATTTCGCAGAATACGTTGCCCCACTTGGTTCAACTTCCTTAATCTTCAATTTTCTTTTTGCTTGTTGGCTCTTGGGGACCAAAATCACTCTACGAGATGTATTAGGAACTGCCATCGTGATACTTGGGGTGGTTGGAGTCATTGGCTTTGGCAATATTCGACAAGCTGGTATCGACCAAGAGGCGAACATGTCCCTCTCTACCCTCCAAGCACTCTGGGCCCGACCACAATGGCTGCTTTACCTCGGTTTACTCGAATTCACCACCTTATTTACTGTTTGGCTTGCAAGTATAGCATTCGAATTAGTACAGGAAAAACGTGATACCGAGAGTTCAAGCCGGGGTGTTGATGACGATGAGGTAGACGTTGAACGAGTACTTCGACGAGGTGGTGGTCGAAGCGCTGCCGGAACACAGTCAAGCTCCATTGCTCGCTTCTTTGGCCCGATGATCGTACAAAAAAACTCTTTACGCAATTCGCTCAAACAGATCATCGAACGTTGGTCAATGACCCGACCGGATGACACTTTATTCAAACTAGATGGTTTACTCTGGGGTACTGCTGCTGGTTTACTTGCTGGTCAAACTCTTGTCTTTGCTAAGAGTTATGTCAAACTGATTACCAATGGGTTCAGTCATGACGGCAGCGGAGAACCTGAAGATCTCGCTCACCCACTTTCCATCTTGATCTGCTTCCTTCTTGTTGTCACTTCAATCTTTCAAGTCTGGTGTCTTAATCGAGGTGAGTATCTTGATATAGTTTTATATGTAGGCTTGTCATTCAATCTGACATGATGAACCACAGGCTTGAAAGTTTATGATTCGACCCTCATCGTACCAGTGCTTTTTGCTATGTGAGTAACTTATCCTCATACCCGCAAAGTGTTTGGACCATTTGTCTGAATTTACGGCTGTGATTGTTTTCTAGTTACACTGCCAGTGGATTCATCAACTCGCTCATCTATCTTCACGAACTACCCATCTATCGCAGCTGGGTGCTCTTTATGATTTGGATCTGTATCGCCGTCCTGATCTTTGGTGTATGGATGTTATCCGCTAAACGCCCCGAGCCAACAAAGTCGCAGGCCAAGGCACTCGAAGATTATTCAAGTACAGCTGACCCTGAAGGCGAGGCTCAACACACCACACTGGGAGCTCATAACGAAGCAGGCATGTCGATGCTGGATAAAACCGTGTTATTCGAGTCATTAAGTTCATCATCGAGAATCCGTAAATCACGCGAGCTACGTTCCAAAGATTCACGTTCTCGTAGTGACAGTGTCATGTCACTTGGAGAACTCAAAGATCACCTTTCAGATACCCTCAAGTCAACTCGAGAATTGAATCCATTCGAAGAGTTTGAAGTCAAACCTGACCAGGAGGTAGAAGAAGATGAGATCGACGGATTGGAGCCTTTTCCCGTATCACATCCTTTACCCAGTTATCGTGAAGTACATCATCACCCTGACGAATTCGGTGAATATATGGATGCCAAGTCCCATATACCGTAACTGCGAAGAAGAAGTCTTTTTTATTTAATTTTTATTGCATCATTGTTTATGTTCACACGTATTTCGTTTGCAACTTGGAATTCGTAGTCTTCAAAATCCCTTATATGACCTATAACCATTGAAAACATACTTGCTGGTTATCTCAAAGTGACATCCTCTTCTCATTTTCTTTTCCTTCACTCTCAGGTCTGCTAAATACAACATAACAAATCAGGTGATCAAATTGATGTCAACCTTCTTGTGTTTCTGATTTCATTCTCTTATGGTGATATGTTTGGGTTAAAACAATGTGTCAGTTCTTTTTTGGATTTTTTTTTGTTGCAATGATGTGTGTGAAGCAAAAGGAAAGTTACCAAAGTTTTAGAAACTTTTCAATCATTTTGTATTTGATTTCTTATTAATCTTTTTTTTATTCCGGGTTTTTTTTTCGTCATCATATACATAGTTAGAGATCAATTTAGATGTATGATTTTTTCTTTTTCTTTTTGTGATGTAAATTACTATTTTTTTCTTTAGAAAACAATGAAATAGGCTGATTTCTAGGCTGCCTAGACATAAGTTGAGAAAAATGATCTTAGATGACTGCAGGAAAATAGATTGCTTATAGGAAAGGAGAGCTGACATGCTCAGATTGAGACGTGAAAGGAATTAGTAATCAACTTGTCCATTATTTTCCGACTCCAAAGCACCATCCATGCATTGCTGCCAAAAAGACGTTGGAATCTGTCATGGTTCGCCGTGCTTTTAGAGCCGCATCAAGCTTGTGATAGCACGCAGCTTCTAGGATCTAACTACAAACAAGGAGGTTGAAGGAACCGGGAGCTCTCTACCGTAGCTCGCCATAATGGATCTGAGGCATGCTTGAGTGTGCACAGCAGAACTTCTTCCCACTTCCACTTCTGGCGTGATCAAACTCGGGGGAAGGCAGATTGATCAGTAAGATCTCTATCTAACAACCCTTACTTGCGCAACCCCGCCGTTTAGAACTTAGTTTCAGATACTCAGCAGCTTCAGATGGCACAGCGCAGAATCACATTCTTCTAACATTCACAGAAATCTAACTGGACAAGATTTGTTGCAATGCAGAGATATGATACTATGAGAGTAATTTTTTTGTCATTTGATCACTATTCCCATCATTGCGTATTCTAGACCGTCTTGTCGATATATCTTAAAATTTATTATTATTCATAGGCACGTCTTTTACTAATTCCAAAAATGATGTTAAATATCTTATCATTATGGGTTTGGATTTCTCTTACTTCTTATAAGTTAATACTAGCTACCATTAATCCTCACTTGTCTGAATCACCTAAATCAATCTTTCAAGACCTTAATGAAGGTCTTCCAAAATTCGATTTCAATGGGAATACAAAATCATATACCAATATACCACAGCTAGATGGAATGAGTACGTCTTATGGAGAAATCGATCCTCAAGTCTCTGAAGATTCTTGGAACCAGGTTTCGAGCTATCGAGAGGATTTCAGAAAGAGTTTCCAAACTCCTACTTTTAGTGTGTGCCTTTCCATCTACCAATTGTATGTTTGATTGGTAGTCAGTTGTTTAAATTGACATTTCAACAGATATACCAAAGGAGTTTTTACGATTTGATGATATTGGATCGGTCTTGAAACTTCTTGGATTCGATAAAGATTCTACTAACTTGATAGCAGTTACAAAGAAAGTTGAAGCTCAAAAGGATATCTCTCATATTTCCGGTAAGGAATCAGGTAGTAAGTTGACCAAGAATGAAACTTTAGATTTTTATCGTAACTCAAAAGAACCACATTTCTCTTCTTTCGCACCTATATAGATCATCAATCAGAAAATTTTGGGGACTTGATCCTACTCAGTTACTTAATCCTGAACATATTGGAGATTTACCAGAAGCTATTCCTTCGCACACTTTTCATAATGGACATCAAAAACTTGAACATTCAGAGGAACTCAAGAAGAAGAAGAAGAACGTGAATGAAAATAGGAATGAATTGGTAGACAGCCTTGAAGACATACTAAAGATGAACCCGAAACAAAAATCACGCACGATTTCGGATATTTTGGAATCGAGCAATGAAATTAAAGTGGTGGAAAAAGCTCAAAAAAAGAGAAAACAGGTTGAGATGAATAAGACTTTAAAAAGATTTGAATTCTCCAATTCGAAAAAACCTACTAGACAGACAAGGACAAGTAGAAGGTCCTTATAATCAGTTTTGGCCTTCTTGAGGTAGCAATTTTTTGTATATACCATGCATACCACCGAGCTGAATAAATGTTATGATATGATTCCAATATGTTTTTCTTTAATCACTGTCTTTCTTCTTTTGATGACCTGTCTGACAATACTTATTCATCAAGGCCATCCAAATTGGCAGTCACTACCGGCTTGGGACGAAAGTGGTTTGAGAGTCTCATAGCACTTGGTTTGTCATTCATGACATTATCTTCACTCCTAAGTGGCATCAAATTTTTAATCTCCTCCCTTGAAGCCTATTTAGCTGTTACTTTATGAGTTTTTTCATATCCTCCTACTGATGTTCGTAGGTAATCCATCACGCACGCAGCCTTATCTTGGCAAAAGTCATTCAAGCCGGCACACGCACCTCTTGATATTGTCTACCCTTTCAGTTTCTCAAGTTTGTTTCAATTTCTACAGTTCATCTGCCATCCCTTATCGTCAATCAAACTTGGTCCTCCTGGACCTCATGCGTAACCTGTGCCAGTCACAGTAACATAGAACCAGATCAATATCTCGAAACTTTTTGTACATTGTGAACAAAGTAAAACTAGATCTGAGATCAAAGGCGCTCATGATAAAATCCTCGGATGGAGATCTATGTGTACGGTTACCCAGTTGAAACCTCGCGCCATGAACCGGAACATAATACTGGGCGCAGGGATTCTCTAGCTTTTCATTGTGTCATCATCATAATATGCTGGGCCTTCAAGACATGATTGGTCTCGAGACTTCTGCCAAAAAACGTGGAATGATCCTACGCTGAGGTAAGATTTACCGAACCATCCTTTCCCTTCAAGAAAAAGTCTACATCGTTCATGATCAAAATGAGAGTCTTGTGTGTTACTCTTGGACTTCTCATTCGCACAACCATCGCTGGATTCTCTTGCGGTTCAGAAGTCCCCTCCAGAGAAGTGTTCAATTATCTGAGGGACGAACTTTCTATCTTACATGGATCTTATCCAAGAGGAAACCACGGAGGTTCAAATCTTGACGGAGGAATTTCTTTGGTCAATGAAATCGGTGGTCCATCAACGCATTCATCCTGGCAAGATGAACTTGGATATTCAATAAGACCGGAAGGGCTCTCCAACAACTATTTTGACGACCTTGAGTTCGGTCAGTTTTTCTACATCTCATGCCTCGATCGACAAGTATCAAGAGTCTGACTTTGTGGAAAATTATGAATTCTTAGAAATCCCAAATCATCATTTGAACCTTGATGAAATAGATTCAATTCAAAGACTCTTTGAATTCGAAGATAATGCCAGGAATCCTTTAGAAGAAACTCTTCCAGGTGACAAACTGGGATCTTCTACTTCAAGAGAATCTCACACCACAGAAAACCGGTCTGGATTAGAAAACGAAATCAATGAAGCTGGAAGACTTGATCATATGACACTTGATGGTCATGGAAAGATAGGAACATCATCAGAACCAGATTCTACGGAAGAGAGTATGAAAACAACGTCTGAAACTTTGAAACATCTGAAAGGCTACACTAAAGAAAATATTGAACTATCAAAAGCACTCATCAGGAATAACTTACAGATTTCAAAGAGACTTGTAAACGCAAACACATTGTTTCTCAAAAAAATCAAGACCATGGGTTCAAAGCTCGATCTTACCAAAATCGATCTGAAATTCCTTAAAGAGCTCACAGATATCGGCCTAAAAGATTTAAATAGTTTTACAAAAAATCATTATGAAATGTCAGAAGAACTCACGAATAGAAAACTCGAGCTTTCGATTTCGCTCAATCTCATCAGACTTAAAATCCTACAAAGAATAGTTGAAAAGAATAGTATTGAAGAAATTCCGGATCGTTCAGATCCACTTACCCATGAGAATTTATCACAATTAGATAAACTCACACAAGAAAATGTAGACCTATCAAGGGAACTTGTTGAGGGTAATGTTGACTTATTTAGAGATATTTATCAATCACAAATGAACTTGTTAGAGACATTGGATCATCACAAAACACTTGATGAACCTAATTCATTTTCGTCAAGGATAAATCCAAAAACTTCTGAAAACTATCATATCAAAGGGGGCACTATAGACACTGCTGGAAATCGGATGGAGTCAGATTTGACCCAAAATCAAGGCATATTGAAAAGGAAGCGTAAAAATATTGCCATGGATAGCCGTCACCAAGAGTCAGACCTATCCACGCTTTCAACAACAGGAACGGTGAAATCTCGAGGTTCATCTATCGTTAATGTGTCCAGCAGTGCAGTGCATCCTTCAAGCTTGTAAATTTACTATTTCTGTTTGCTTTGTGCGCCCAATGAAATGAGAAACCTGTGACAAACAGGTTATTAGCTTTTAGAATAAAAGCTAAAACACTGATCGAATGAGAAAAGACAATCTGAGGAACGAGGATTGTAAGAAGAAATAAGTTTAAGTTCGATTTCCTTCTAACTAAAACATATACAATAAATAATGAGACTTACACCTGTGACAAACAGGTTTGTATTAGCTTTTAGAATAAAAGCTAAAACACTGATCGAATGAGAAAAGACAATCTGAGGAACGAGGATTGTAAGAAGAAATAAGTTTAAGTTCGATGAGAGAAAAAGGTTACAATGAATAGAGTGAAGAACCTTTTATAATAACTTAAACTTATGACGTCATTACATAATGATGAAGTGAGCAAACGAAACAAACAAGCGCATAACAGTAAACACGCGTCACAATCTCAATTCGCCCTTCTTTTTACTCCTGTCTCACTCAGAGCTGTTCACCAAAAACAAATTATATACCTCTAATGTTTTGGTTTCTAACCCACCACTATTACTAACCCTACTCATGCGTATTTGGATGATCAAAGTACCCATAGTTGCTCCAAGACGCTGACCAAGTCACGCTTGCTAGATTCACTCAAAGCAAGCTTTCTTTCGGTCTTGATAACCTCAGCGTTTATCTGACGACACTCAAGATCCCATATACTTTCGAGAGTCTCTCCTGCCGTTTGTTTTAGTTCCTGCAACTGGGCTGAGCATCTTGAAAAAACCTTGTATGAATCGAGGTGTTTGAACGATATGTCAATCTGGGTGTTTGACGTTTTGTTGCTTTGTTCTGGAATGATCATAGCCCCGGAATAGGCGTAACAAAAGGATCTGAGCCCGTTCACGAGATAAATTACTGATTCCTCTCTCCCAAGCTCCATCGACTTGGCTCTCAACCGGGAAAGCTGAGAGGCAGTTGTCTCCGAGCTCACTCCCATATGTCGACTCACGAAGGTTGCAGGTTTGGCACCGATGGGAGGTTTTTCTGGAGGGCTCGACCACACCTCGGATCTTAATCTTGTGAGCACATTGGACGCCAAGCTGATGGTGATCTCAGGCTCGAAGTATACCAAAAGTGTTTGGAAGAGTGATGCAAACGATTCCCTGAGTTCGATAACGCTCTTTTGAGGTTTCGACTCCGCTCCGCCATCCGGCGTGGTTGAAATTTGTCCACACATATTTTGAGACCTTGGCATGAAGACTTCGAGTACTGATGTGAGAATCGGATAAAGCTAAGATCAAAAGCCAGTGGAAGAAGCTCGATCAGACTAATCTGCTTAAATTATCGCTGGTCCGAAAAATGCAACAACCCAGCCTCACTTCTCGATAGATCCTGTATTTGACATCTTCAACCCAGGTTTTCCATTCTACTTCTTGACCAGTACGTGAGACCCATTCATCCATCTCCTTCACAACTTTCGCAATCCACTGTAAGGTCCCTTCAGTAAGACGTGAAGCTTTTGATGGGGAGGTGCTATCTTCACAATTTGAAGAAGCTCGGATGTTGTCAACCAAAGAGTCTCGGCAAGTCTGTAGCACAGAGATAGAGGCTTGACCAAAAGCCTCAATAATGACAAGCTGGTCGTCAGAAGAGCCTCGAGATTGTAGCGTGCGAGAGAGACGAAGTACGCGGTTGAGAGTATCATAGTTGGGCTTTGGTGGCCAAGGATCCAGAGCTGGCGTTGTCAATTGTTCAATCAAAGCCTCCTGTGGTACTCCCTCTACCGGTCTCTTGTGGTTCTGTTCCTGTGATTTCAATGATTTAGGTCCACGTTTTTTGGGCCCAGGTTTCTGCTTGAAACCAGCTTTAGGAGAAGGCTTGCAGGTAGATATATCGATTTCCACCTCCTTTCGTTCAAGAAGTTGAAGCTTCAATCGGAGGATCTCTTGAATTCGAATTTGCGATCAACAAAGTCATGACAAAGAAAACCAATTAATCATCTTGAAGTTCTAAACACTAGACAGACTATGAATATTGATGTACGGAAAGAGCCCTTATCTGACTTACCGTTCCTTTGGAATTCTATCTTCTTGTCCAATTCAACATCGCGCTTTGCTACATCGGGGGCCTCACCGTATGGGGATTTTTGATCGGGCACAGGCAAAAGAGGTATGCTTTGAACTGTCTTAGACTTCACTCCAGAGGGATTTTCGGATGGTATACAGCCTGGACTTGAGCGCTCATTGCCTGATCGAACGCCACAAGCAGCAGCCAATTTTTCAATATGCTCTTAGCAAGGTAAAGTGCGTATCAAAAATAGGTGGATAGTCAGCGTATTTGATCGATTCGAATTTCAAGTCAGAAATAGCAGGAAATAGCTCAGGATAAGGTCGTTGACCAGCCGATGTCCGTTTACCTGATATGGAAGTTGACGGTGGTCGAGTCTTAGCCAATATTACGGCCTTTTAGAAGACAGTAGTGAAAAGGGAGTATGATGTGCTAATGGTCGGTCAACTAGACATTTCTGTTGGTATTTTTGAAAAGTTAACAAAAAGTACTCAACCAATCGAAACCTCAGAGCGTTTTGAAACCTTCTATGGTCATCTGGACTCGTCATGCTCGTTAAGGGGTTCATCATATGTGACCGCCAAGTAGAATCGTTTGGAAGGTGTGCTCAGGATTTGATTTGACTTTTTGGTGTTTAGACGATCCATTTGATCGCTTTCACTGACAAATCGGATGAAGTCAGAATCGATAGATTTCAGAGTGTATGCACCGGTCACGAACTCGAAAAGCTGAGACTCTTTAGCATTCCCTTGACCGATTTTTCAACTCAGCCTCAGTCAACTCTTCATCTGAAGGCTTCAAGTTCTCAGCGTCATTCATTCATTTGGGATCTCGTCACCTGACAATGCAACGGAAGTGCAAGAGTGTTAAGGCGCTGAGGAACGTTGTGCTTATTCCATACTGCGTCACCTGCTTTTCTAAATTGCAAGCACAATGACATCGTCTTTCTCTGCATTTCAGTGCTTTTGATCAAAAGGTGCCTGAATGAATGACAGGTCACGACTCAGCTGACCTGCACTATAAAGAGTTGTCTGTTCGTCTACCTCACTCAACGATCCATCCCAACACCATCCACCCATATGAACAGATTGTTCGACATAGTATCACCTTTTCTCTCACTTGATCTCTAGCAGAACCATATTGCCTTCATTATGCTGACATCCCACAACTTTCTTCACTCAGGATAATCCTATTCAGTGCAGCACGGTGAAAGGCGTTATTTTTTACGAGCGAAGGGGATCGTTAGATTGTCACTTATCTGTTCGTGAGTCTTTGACCTTTTCAAAGAGCTACTGACCCTTCCCCCCCATGCAGAGCATATATACATATTACTCATTGGCGTACCGGCGGGTGGAGAAGTGTTTAGTTTTCTTATCCGACGTGAAGTTAAGCATTCACCTTTATTGCTCTATCTTTCCTCATGAACGAGCATGCTAGACTGATCTTTAGCCTGAAGGAGGTGATCAGGTTGAGTTCGTAGACTTCTCTTTAATTCTCCAGGTCAGACGGAGAAAGTCATGCCCCCCACGATGGAACTATCTGGAGCATCTGGGTCTATGCGACCAGCAAGGCTGGCTCTCGAGCGACAGATACAACTCGTAGAGTCTGAACTTTTGATCATCCGTTATATCTGACTTACCAATGCTTCTTCATAGCAGGCAAACCAGGATTCGGAAGTCTCTTCACTCGATATTAATCCTCTGCTCGGCGTAAATGGTACAGGTACACATTTCAACACATGCTAAAACTTGTGAGTATTTCACTTGCCAAGTTATGCTGTATCCTTTTGATCCTTCTTCTGCAAGACTGTTCAAACCTTCACGCACAGATACCCCTTTGGAATTTTTGAAAATGACATGCCCTTCCCTACTATCATTCTCATCGCGAAGCCGGAAGTTTGCATGGACTGAAGATACTACAGCACGAAATTAGTGTAACAGCATCACGAGTAGGGCTTGTCATGTTATACCCCAGAAAAGACATTGATATTTACTGGACCTTTGGAAACAGAAAACTCATCTTGATTCCGATACTAGACATCCAATATCGGTGTTGATGACGAGCGATAGCCATCGCCAAGAATGCGTCAGATTCGGTTCTGCTGAACACCTAAAGTTCCTAAATAAGATTTTCACTCTTTCCCAATGATAATAAATCTTGGTCTGACTCTTCTCTGTGTCTACGTTTTCAGGCAAAAACCCGTTTCTTCGAATTAGCATAACGTCAAAGTTGATCCTCATGAACACCTCTAACTTCTCTGGATAAGATTTTTTGCTGTTTTCTGATAATCGTACATCTCGTTCTGACCTCTCTCTGTGTCTATGTTTTCAGGAGAATACCGGCGCCACGGTAAACTGTGCGACATTCACAGGATGTTCACTTCTGGCACTCTATGACAGGACTATCAAGACTGAATTCATTACAATATGATTCAAGACGCTTGAACCAAATTCAATTTTTTTTCTACGTCGCGATACTTGATGAATAATCCTCACTCCGCTGGCTTTGTTTAACCACAGGAATCCGTTATCTGTTCCTCGGACGATTCATTCTGGCCATGTTGAACATACTGATGAAAGTCAACCGCCTCGAAATCTGGAAGCCATCATTCGTATGATTTTTCTGCATATCCTCCTCTCCATCTCATTGTTCTATCTAACCATCTTCGTCAGACGGCACGCCTTCATTTCTTTCACGGTCAGCATACTGCAATCTGACATCTACATAGTCGGAAGGTCAGTCTTCCAATGTCAGTGCTCTCATGCGCCTCAAACAGGATAGGATGAATGGCTACTGACGAATGTAGAGACTTTGATTATATTCCAGAAGTAACGGAAGTGCTCTTTATTTTCTCACCAACCAAACCTAAGAGGACAGATTGATTTGTCATGGTCTTTCCTAACAATCTGGTCAATCATCATTCCTTGGCTCAAGAATCAACTTATAGTAATGTCACCTACTCTTTCACTATCTGGCCGCTCAATTCAAATTCCTCACAGTAATAATCTCCGCTTTCAACGTGAAAGCAAATCACTCCATTCCTTTCAAACACGTTGACTGATCTAGCTATTTTTCTTGGACTCCAGGCACACAAGCAGGTTCTCTTTCGTAATATACATCCAGCAGTGAACATGGACACCCTGTCGCCGAAAGCTAAGGGGTCCAACGGACTACCCTCACGCCCGCCTTCCCTGACATATCAGAAGGGACAATCCACAGCTGATGGTCCACTTTTCTCCTATTCTATCTTACTAAAGCCTCTCTGACATAATTCAAAGTTTTTCTTTTGCTTCTGGCCGAACTCAAGGCCTCATCTATTAGATTCTACAGCGGATGACTTGGAATCCAGACACATCATACTCGAACCCACTCATTCGTGCGTCCCTTTTGATTTACAGCCTGACTTCATTTACTCGATTTACCACTACTCTCTACCTTAGAACCTCCTTCTTCTATCACATTGACACGAGAACAGAGTCGGAAAACAAGACCCTGTCGGCGAAAGCTAAGGAGTCGAAAGGACTACCCTCACGTCTGCCTTCCCTGACATATCAAAAGGGACAACACAATCCACAGCTGATGGTCCACTTTTCTTCTATTCTATCTTACTAAAGCCTCTCTGACATAACTCAAAGTCTTCCTTTTGTTTCTAGCCCAACTCAAGGCCTCATATATGAGATGCAGCGGAAGACTTGAATTCCGGAAACATCATACTCGAACCCACTCATTCGTGCGTGCCTTTTGGTTTATCGCTTGACTTCATTCGCTCGATTTATCACTACTCTCCACCTTAGAACCTACTTCTTCTATCACATTGACACGAGAACAAAGTCGGAAAACAAGACAAGATTGGCCCTAAAATCAAAATCAAACCCTCAAATAGTAAAGTCCATACTTATTCATCTCCTCCCTTTCCTCTTCTTCATTCTTTTCTCAACCCAAAGCCAAAAAAAATCTTCTCAACGTGAATTGCCAGCATATCAAAGGCCGTTGGCATCACAAGTCAATGAAGACTACTAATCTCGTAATCTCTAAGACTCAATATCATCTTACAATTCCTATCACTTCACCACTGAAGCTCCCTGAGATCTTCTCAGACACCAGGTACTCCTCTCATATCTCTCAGTTGTACCTGGTCTTTTTTTTCTATGTTCCAAGAGGAGGTATATACCTTGACTTCCTCTTGGCTTATAGACAGAAAAGACCAGGTATATGCTCAGGGCCTTGACTGGTTCAACATATCTTTACAGCCATTCACTTCTTTGTGACTCCTTGTTTACTGGGTGCACCTTTTAGTTTGGAAGTTCATATGAAATCAATCAAGGATTTGTTCATTTCTCGCATACGCAGGTACAAACGCATAAGCTATGGACTAAATCACGTGATGTATTTGAGATTTGAGAGAAGACAGTAGTGCGGAATAGAAAATCATAGATTCAAACTTGATAACAAATAGAGTTCTTCATATGAAGATTAACTATTTTCATCCCCAAAAAAATCCTCAGTCGTGTGTTACCTCCTTGCCAAATTCCAGGTCCAAGTTTTGCCAATCGGTCTACAGTCCTTAGTGCTAAAAACACTTATACGAGAACCCAGGACTTTTGCCCATCCGAAGCTTCTCCGAAATGTATTTTCTCTAGAAGCATTCATCTATCCAGTCTAGCCGTGTACATCATTTCGAGCGGTGTTACCAACCAGGCTGATCGCGCCTTCAAACTGAAGCGCGCCTTAGACCACAATAACCCAATGATACTGAGGGGTGGTTATGAACCGAGGATGGGTTCACCATTGATTTGTCCAAAACGAAATGAATTGAAAAGCGAGCTTATTGACCAGGATATAAAGTTATGATTGAATTGTCCTTAGTCGTTAACAAACTTCAAGTTGATACCTCGACGTGCCAGGTCGGCTTGCATGTCTATTTTTCAAGGGGACAAAGGCCAAATGTCAACTGGAATTCAAAAGCTTACCAATTCAGTAAAACAAAGACCACTTACTCTTTCGCTCAGCAGCCTCCTCCCTCTGCTCGTAGTCTAAGACCAGCCTCTTCAGGTGTTGATGCTCCACCTGGTCATGCAATTGCTGATTCCGTGTATGGATTGCAATTGGAGCTGTTGATGGGATCTGCATCGGCTTCAACTACGATACCGAACGAAAAACCGGCTCAGTACTTTCTTGCTCATCAGAACTAGAACTACAGTGTGGCGACTGACCTGCTGTTTGTTTCCTTTCTTAGTCAACAAAGCGAATGTCATCTTATCCCCTTCATTTTCTCTATCACCTTCCGCTAAAGCCAAAGCCCCACTACCACCAGGTTTGAAGATGTTTTTCAATACTGGTAAGCCCTGATCTGAAAACAAGCTTGAGCTAGTCGGGTTTCTCTCATTTTTACGAGCAGCCTCGTTCGCACCACCAGCACCGGTCTGAGTTCCACCACCCCCTGTCTCCGCGATCATCTTGGCTAATTCACGCGCAAACTCTTCTTCTTCTTCTTTACTGATGGCATTTGATACTGTATTGCGCGGTAAATCCTCCTCACCATCAGGGCCTTCACCCCCATCGACCACGGTGTCACCGTCATCTGAGTCAGCCTGAAGATGTATGGTAATACAAAATTCACGCGCGTGAAAATACAGATTAGCATGTAAGTTCGAAGACATATGGCTTTCGTGCAATAGGGAGAAAGCTTGAGTGGATACTCGCATCGTCATTCAAGTCATCATCTCCTCCGTCACCAGGCTCTGCTCTATCACGAGTTTCGTCTTCATCACCCATCTCATCGTCGTCAGCTTTATCTAAATGCCGAACAACACATCAGAAACTAGATAATGATATTGATGAGATGCAATTTGGAGGCCATATGAATCACTTACCTTCTTCAGTTGCCCCACCTTGGCTAGTGGCTGCATACATTTCTTCGACCGCTTTCACCGCTTGTTCAAAACCAAGATAGATGTTGAGTTTCGGTTGTAATTCCTATGTGAGGTGTTATCAATGTCAGGTCCAGTAGGATTGAAGGAGTCTTGAGCTGGAAGTGAAATCTCACCTCTATGGTGTCTTGAAGTAGAAAATCCACATCCATCGGCGGCGTCTCTTTGCACCTCAGATACATCTGAAGACGGAAAAATGAGTGAGCTGGTATAGGCTTCCGTCAAAGCGATAACATCACTTACAATGAAGAATGTCAAGAAGTTATTCAGTCGTTTCTTTAGACTACCCCGATCAAAACAGTGTCCACAGGTGTGAAGGAGGGTGCATATCAATCGCACCCTGAAGAAATCGTCAGGTCCATCGATTGGACAAATCATCTCAGGTGAAGGTCTTCCGTCGGCTGGAGACGGGATCGTGAAATTCAGTAAATACATCGCTCACTCGGGAGTTCTTCTTTACAAATGTTAGTGAAACTCACGGTGGCCAAAGGTAACAAACGACCACAGAGTATCGAAAATCACTTTGGAGTCTACCACACGGTAGTTATACAATTCACCCAAATATTTGATTGATGCGATCCTTTGTTGATTATCTTTGAAAAGATTCAACTACCAATCAAGGGATATGTCACTGGCGCATTATTTACAAGAAACATGTCGAGAGACGTACCTCCATCCCGAATCTGACGTTCTCCAACACTTGGTCAATAATCGAGACCGTGAAGTCACTGTGGTACTTTGAGAGATCGTGTACCACAATTGCGAAGAGGTAAATGTTTCCGTATTTGATCTTCCATACCTTTGTCAAGATACTTTTCAGTATTTTGGGTACCTAATTACCACTCAAGCAGATCAGTAAAGGAGTTTGACAGTCATCCAAACACTCGGTCCCCAGACAGCTCACCTCTGGTGTATCCCAATGAAGCTTCCTCAAGATTTTGATTACCTTGTCAACTGACTTTTTGTTCAAGCAGTCATAGAGCTGATATCGCATAAACAGCTCCATTGGTGTCCTGATCTTGGGCTCGATGACCGGCCTATCGGGTGGATTACACTAGATATCATTAGATCAAGCAAAGAATGCCATAGTGATCAACAAAGCGTCTCAAACCTCCACTGCCTGAGCTACACTCGTGGCATTTGTAGAGTGTTCGAGACATTGACACAGACCTGATAATACGCATTTTCAAGCATCATGACCTGCCTAGAGTCCATATTCTGACTAGCTTTCTTTCGCTTCATTTGTTCCAACTACAGATGTTTCAAACAATCCAAACACACCGTAAGATTCAATTCCAGACGTTTGGGTAACCCAGAGATAGACCAGAAGAATTTTACCAATTGTGTCATCTTGTCGCGAGTGCGCTCATTCCTCAATACCCACCGACCGCAACCTTCGAGTAAGTTACACAGGTTTTCAATATTCGGACCTGTCAATTCATCCACACAAACTTTGATGCAATGTAGAATGGAATGTGACGGAGTGAGGTTAAACTTGGTGAGTTCGGATATGTAACGAATATTCTGGAATGAGATGACCACAGGGTGAGTGATTGTGAGATCAGTAGCGCGTTCATAAGCTCAAGCTTCACAAGGAAGGAATATTCACTTACTTTGCTTCGAAGGGCATAGAAGTCTTGGCTGGCCGATTTCTTTCGCTGCAAGTATCTGAATTCGTCTTCAAGCTGATGTTTGAGCTTAGCAACACGATTGACCGCATTGATGTAAGTCAGATGACTGTATGGCTTGGCTTACACCGGATAGGAGGCCTGCGAGCATGTCGGGCATATATTTGGACAAAGTCGCGGTCATTCGAGCGAAATACGGCAGTAGGTCCATTCGGTTTTTGTTGACACTGAGAAAGTGCTAAAAACATGTCACCAAATCGGGTTGTATAAGTAGCGCACGCTGGAGCAGCCTTGGGTGGGCCTGGTATGTTGATTGATTTGAACTACTTTACTTTGATCAGGCGATTGCGAGCAGCTTTAGAGTTGAGATACGCGAATTCGACAGTTATTCGATCGATGGCCTCCGCGCCATAGACATCATCGAGTCTGGTGAACAGAGCTGTCAATCTAGCCGCGGGTCCGGATGCCAGTGCCTCTCCAGTAAGCGGAGGCACGGGTCCAGCAGAAGCATTTTGATTGATTCTTGATTATCGATGAGAAGAATGAATGAAAGAAGACATGCAAATGACAAATCAGTTTATGGGCCTGATGAAGGAGAGAATTGTTTCCATAGGTAGATGACATGCACTGAACTCTTCCTGCTCATCGTCTTCTGGGTGGTCTAATGGATCATCTGATCCCAACGACAGGTCTTTTACAGCGAGTTTCTCCATTTCCTCTTCGAGTTTTGCCTGCTCATCCTTCTCAGCCTCCACCGGATCACTAGTCTCCGCTTTCTTTTCCGGTGCATCGAGTCCGAGTAGCATCACCGGGACCTCATCACGCAAATCAATCAATTCTTCGTAAAACTTTTTCTCCTCTTCGTCCGCCCAAATTCCCAAGTCAGAGACTCCACCGAACGCAGAGGGACCTGTACCTGTAATTGCATTCGTAGGACTACTAGCACTAGCTTCGGGCAAAGTAGGTGGAGTCAAAGACAGAGTCTCAGAAAGACTGAAAGGTCAATGGATGAGCGCGAAGGATGAGAACAATCAGTTTTCGGTTTGGATTTTTTGTGGGGCCTTTTGATAATTTCTAATTACCTTTGAATCCCTGTCCAAAGTTTTTCTTGATCCTTGGATAGTTTTTCAAAGGCTTGAATGCGGTCTTCAAAAATTTGACCAGATCGAATGGCTGCCTCGGTGTTGCGCTTCTCCGTTTCTCGTAATTTCTATGGTGATATCAATGAAGAAACTTAGTTCCGATTGATTTTAGGCGTAGTATCTCTCGACAACTCAAGAAGCTCACGATGTGATCTTTGACCGCTTTCCGACCAAGTGCATCGAAGTATTGCCGAAAGAGCTTTCCGAACTTTTCCTTCACAGAATTAGCAATGATATCCTCGTCAAATTCCACCTTTCTAGCTTCTGATGCCTCTGCAGGGGTAGTAGCGAATGGGGCGGTTGAGGGAAAGTAAAGAGTCGTAAACTGTTTTGAAAAAGAGACCGCCAATGGCAAAGGTATGACCAGAGCTTCTTTGTCGGCTGTCAACTGAAAGCCAGTATAGAGAATCGAATTAATCACAAGATGATGAATATTTTGCAAAACCTTTGAAAGGAAAAGAGAATGCCCAGGTGAAGCTCACCAAATCTTTCAATGTGTTGAAGGTAGTTTCACCCTCAGAAATGGTTTTACCCGCAGTTGAGGGGTGAATCAGACCGACAAGATCGAATTCTGCTAAACAGCGTAGCAGACTGCGTTGCCGTAAGATACGCGCTGATTCTTCTCGATCGCGTTGATCGAGGGCTAGACTGGCCAAGTATTGTTTGTTAGGAACAGCAAGCCCGGCAGTGAAGTGTTGTAAAAAAGGTTGGGTGAAAGTGATCGGAAATCGACGATGGAGTGCTGAGATAACCTGTTCAAAGATCAGGCAAGTGGTCTTTTTGACTATCTCATCTTAGAGATATATAAAATTTCCACCCACCTCGACTGCACCCCAAATCTCACTTGCATTCTTGCACTTTGACAAGCCATCATTAGCAGCCACTGAGATTTCAGAAAGGTATTTATCAAGACTGATAGTTTGAGTTTCCTTGATTAAAACCTGTACATTGTCAGAGAGATGAAGTCCAGTCTTGAGCCGTTTGATGTAAGCAGTATTCTTCTTGAGAGAAGAGTCAAGATATTGAAGGGTTGGAGTAGGTGGCGGTGATAGGTTGATAGCTCGTAAGATAGCTCGTTTGGTTGAATTGGTTGTTTCTTTCTTTGTATCCATTTGACTGAAGTCTTCTTCTTTGTTATTTTGGATTTTCTTGATTACCTTTCTTCATATCTGGATATTTGTTCACCTCATCTTGATCACTTTCACACTCACTCTTTTCTATATACTATCCGCTCACTCGGTGCTCAATGGGAAATTTTAACACGGGATGACAAAACCGAGCCCCGTCCTGCAGTTGATCAGGGTGCCTGATCTGGAATCCTGCGCCTGCCAAATATGCACGCATCTGTCGCTCGAGTCATACCGGATGAAGCACTGCATGGTGCACCGCATCGCATGGCGCAATCTACGCTGTCCGGGTCGCAGCCGTTTTGATCAAATGTATCCGAGCTGAAATCAAAACGGAAAACTTGCCTCATGAGTCATCATCACTCCCATTATCGACTTTTCGTCACACTCAGACTCCGACCAAATCTGTGTTTCCAACACGGCGGCCTGTATGGTACTTGCGAGGGATTCAAAGGATGAGTTTCACTGCGGGAAGCTTACAGACTCACCAGTTTGTCCTTGCAAAAGGCTTGAGGTCGATTGAAGATATATTTTACCCTGGCGTACGTAGTCTTTGACCGCAGTGATCCGCCTTACTCTTGACAGGTTTTTTGACCATTCGTCAAAGCTGCGATCTTAATGTCCATTATATAAAAGGTTACTGTTCGTGCCTCTAGTGCCGCCGCATCCCAAGTTATTCTTCACATTCCCAATTGACACCTGCTTATAACTTGCTTTCATATTGCTTTTTTCACTTCGATTTCTGCCATGGTAATAAAGCAAGTATCCTTGATCTGGTTGTGTTTCTTGTCTCATACAATACTTTCGTCGATCACGCGCGACTTCATTCAACTTGGCAACGAGGACAAATCATCACCACATCCCAGACGCTTACATGACTTCTTACACACGAATAATGCTAAGAATCCGGATGGAACAGTTACTCTTTTAGACCAGCTAGACAACACAGCCGGATCTACACGTGCACGTGAAGTGATTGTGCTTGATGACTCAGATTCAAATTCAGATCCTGGACCAAGCCTAAAGTTTTTCAGCGGGCCCAATGCACAGAAAAAACGTGACAGGGAGCACGGAACGGCGATTCCCTCAAGCAAAGCTAAAAGGATTTCAAAAAACAGTTCACGGTTAGAGACGGGTTCAATCAATCCAGAAAAGGCCTCTCATCCGGGTCTTGGACAAAGCTACAAGGCCCTGCGCGCAGTCTCTAGATTTATTCCTACCATGGCTTCTCGAGCACAGGACCAAATCAAAGCTCATAAAGATGTTTTTGATGATATGTCTGGTGTGTGGACATACGTCGATTCCATGATCAAACCAATCCTAGAACATAGCCTGCCAGGTGCAGATCCCCAGGCCCATGAAAGTCTGACGTCGTGGAAATTCAAAAACATCATTTTTCCACTCTTTATTGACGGCATTATACGAGTTCAAATGGAACTCGACAAAGGTAAAGAATATATGCTGCAACGCGATACAGCTATAAAGGCCAACTTCTTCTTCAAACGGGAAGTAATCATGGCATTGGGCAAGTCGGCAGAACGGTGGAACTTGAAGCCTTATGTTATAAATGACTTGCATCGATTCCGTCAGGGATGGGATGATGTGAAGATCGATGGCAAAGATAGCATGATACTTGTATGTGAATTTACGAGTCCATATGACCAATTTCTGTTGATAGCTTGGAAGTTGGTTGAGAAGTGGGTGTCAGGATATAAGCCAGATTGGAGGGCAAGATTGGGTGTAAACAAAGTAGATGATCTGTTCAAGATCCATATCAAAGCTTTGATCAATGAACACAAGGAACCAATCAAGATGCATGAATATGAGCAGAACGTGAGTTTATCAAACTATTAGCAACAGTTATCAGTTTTCTTGCTCTTCTTGACTGATTCATGCTACCAACCTATGCTAGTTTGGATGGCCACAATCAACATACACATTGAGGAAGGAATACATCATGCAACATACAAGTCCAAACTTAAATGTCAATAGTCAGATGCAAAAATCTGTAAGGCCACAGAATCAACAGGGTGGTCAATCACCAGAGGATCTTCACTACTTGTCACTTCAACTGAAGCCTCAAAATTCAGCCACATCCACCATGTTCAATGTACTTTCTCAACAAAAACAAAGTTCACCTCTAGTAGACTACACATCAAGCTTCCAACCCGCCACCCTACACAGTACCAACCCACATCAAACCAGCCCCATCAATGAGAAACTATCCCTGAATGATTGGGGCAGTGTTTCTGAAAAAGAGCTCAACTACTTGACTTTGGCCTTAGGTCCCATGCACAATCATGAAGTGTTGGATGGGATGATTGATGGGCATGACCACATCATTCATGCTACTCCTTCTGTCTCTTCCCACTCTGGGCCTTCTGGACCTGAGATTCCAAATTCACCACTTCTGTCAGGGGTTTCAATGTTGAGTGATCATCTCTCATCAGAGGAACAAGATGCTGTGGTTGGACTCACAGCTCTTGGCCACACATCTTTGGCAGAGAATGGGCCCACATACCGTGCTGAACATGTTGAAGGAGCACTTGATGACATCAAGAACTTGGTTTTAGACCACTTTAAGGTTCATCCTGTCAAAAACATCTATCAAGCAGCACAAAGGGAAAAGTTGATGGTTGACTACAATAATGTCATCAAATGTCTCCGGGCTGCCCGTATTCCAAGAAGCTCCAGAGAAGGTGTCGTGAAAGAAGTATTAAGGTGATTTAACTCCCGTTTCTTAGGTCTGTAAAATGTAACTGAAATGTTTGGGAATTTTCTGGCGATCATAGACCTGATTCAAGCATCAAGAATATCAATCATCAAGAAGTAAGCAAAGGTAAAGAAAAAATTTAAGAATAAACTCATCTGCAGTGAGATTTCACCTCACAAACTAATTGGTGACAGGAAAATGTCAACAGACTCACATTGATCAAGGATAATTGGTATCATTTTCTTGTATTTTTCATATATCATCACTTTCAATAATCATTGTTAATGGTCTCTCATTCTTTGGTGGAATGTTTGACCTATGTCCAAGAATGTTGGTGTGGGTCTCCTGTTGTTCTCATTGTTTATATTGTTTGATTATCTGTGCTGCTGGGTCATGAGTATCTGAAGCAATTGTTGAGCTATCTACAATGATCCTTGGTCCTTTTTTTAATCTATCATCTTTTTTGTCTCTACTTCTGTTGTTAATGCATTACTGAGCTCTTTTATGGATATACCCTTTAAAATGACTTGAATTCCCTCCTTGAACCCTCCACAGTCTCATCCCCTGTGAAAGTGGGTAGAAAGTGTCCAGTTGGTCTTGAAATGAGCTTATGAGATGTACAATACTGGTCTTTCTGAATTTGAAGCATGAAAGGAACTCATCTGATAAGCTGTGACACAGCGGGAATGAATAAGTTTAAATCCCAATTGAGAGAAGTTGTGGTGTCCGAGTCCGCAACTTTTCTCAATCACCAATCTTGTCCACAACTCGTTCACATTAGGTTCACAAGTTTCCCTCAATCTACCCTACCAATTGGTTTACTACGTGTTTTGGATTATATACATACAAAAGTCTCTTTGCAATCACTCACCAACTTGTGTCTTGCTTGAGATCATCTTTCTGGTCTCTTGTTAAGTATACATTTATTTCAATACTTCCAATGTGCCCCGGGAAGCCTTGTTTGGTCACCATTGTGTACATAGGCAGCTCACCAACAACGCGAGAGCATGCCGATTGTTTGTGACAAATCTTTAGAAATACAAACGGGGTGTTGGATTTATCAAAGCTTTCTACATGAAAGGGAGTTTGTCCATGATCCTCATGGCTGAGAACAAACAAAGGGGCTCAGTAAAGGATATCAAGGGAGTATTCAAGGAAAACCTGTGAACAAGTTGTGAACGAGATCCATGATTGAGAAAAGTTTTGGACTCAGACACCACAACTTCACTCAATCGGGTTTTGAACTTAATAATTCCCCTGGTGTGATGAGTAAATGTCTGTTTGGCATACTCTTTGCTGAGAGTAAGCATCACAATGGCTTGCACCATGTAAATATCCTTGTAGCACGTCAACATGCACACACAAAAGACTTGCCTTAGACCCTGTCAAGACCCATCAAAGAGGTGCCACAACAGGTTGTAAGGAACTCCTGAAAGTCCTTCACCTGAATTATCTTAAATGAATACTTGAGGCACTTGTGAACGTGAGCGGAGGGAGCTGAGGACCACAAAGTGGTTCTGACTGATTCTAATGCCAATAAAAAACATAATTCAAAAGCTGGCTCCAAAGGATATGAATCTAAGATCAGTCAAAGATTCCCTATAGAATACAAATAGTAGTAATGAAATGTAAAAAGAGATATAGTAGAAAGATATGATAAGCTCACCTGGGTCCAAAGGATATGAATCTAAGATCAGTCAAAGATTCCCTAGAGAGCCAGTTGTGTGCGTGAAGAATTTTGGAAAGATATAAAAATTGTTTAGGTCTAATCATGTTTATAAGTGAATATAAGTTTATATTCCTGTAATGATGTCTTGACAGCATTACACAGGTGCATCTTCCCCTTATCAACTGGGATGTTGAAAGTCAGTTGACCCCAGCTGATGACAAAGGATCCCACAAATCCTATGAATAGACCACTACAATTCACAAAGGGTGCTCAACAACAATCTCAGTCTAAATCTGACCAAAATACTTTGAGATTTGTTTCAAAACCCTCTATGTGTGCACATTGACATGCTGCACAAATATTGACACAGTGTTGTGTGGTCTTTATGTGGTACACCCAAGTAAGGTTTAGGAAGCAGACTTATATTGCTAGATATAAATTTACTGTATGAGCATAATAAACTATAACCATACACACATGCACAGAATAATCCAGACAACCTGAACAGCGCACAAAGAGACTAACAAAATGCTCAAGTAGTATCAAGTAAAAGTTACAGTTTAGAAGCACTCAAACAAATCAGAACTTCAAAGAAACAGCAGGCCACCTTTTCAGTTATGATCTTATACTTATGTCACAATTGTGAAACTAATTTAAATTCAAACAAATGCTTGAAAGTTTTTGATTGAGATTCATGCGTTTTGGTCTTGTGTTAAGGATATAAATATGCTTTGACCAATCAGTAAAACTTCATCCTTGAATTTCTTCCCCCTAACATCTCATTTATCATGTCCAATAAACCTAAAGCCAATCATCCAAGAATTTAAAGGTATTCGAAGAAATCTTCATCAGTTGACAGTAAATAGATTGTAATAAATGATTAAAAAACTTATACTTTTGGTTTTGTTTGATCTTCCACTTCACAAAGTCAAGAATATTACACCTTTCTGACCATTTGGTATATATGTTCTCTGAGACTGCAATACATCGGCTCAACATTTGTACCATTCATGATATTTGTTTGGTTTTCACAGCTAGTGGTGAGGTTCTAGAGAATCCTTTTTTTGTTGATTAGTGAAATGTGAAATACCCAGACCGCGGTATATGCGCAGATCAGGTGTGTTTGAACTACTTCTAGATAAAACTGGCACATCTTATAAAGGTGTTATATCTGAGGAGCTGAAGAAATTTTTAAAAGAGTTGCAAACTGAGCCATATACAGACTCCTCACACCACTCCTCAGCTTGCTTACTGCAGCAAAAAAGGACTTTCTTCAAAGGAAAACTAGAAGAGTTGAAGCTAAAAGGGTAGTTTAGCAGGAATCTGGTAACTAATTGATTTGAACACCATAGTCTTCAGTGATAGTAGAGCAAAGTTCAAAAGAGAGACTTATATCTTCTCATACTATACTTCAAAACAAGGTGATTCAAAGGGTCATCTGATTATTTAAAACTTAGAGAAATTTGCTAGAAAAAAAACTTATTTATTTTACTTTTCATGATGATTAAACAAAATATCTTCTTGCAAAAATGAGTATATACAAAACAAACTTTATAATAACTTGAATTTATTGATTGGTCGATTGATCGATTGATGATATGGATTAATAATTTCACTAAGAATAAAACAAGAACGAAAGAAAAGGTAACAGTAACAGTAACAGTTAATACAGAGGTAGTTGTAGAAAATAGATAGATACTGAAATCGGATATGAAATTGAAGATATATATTCGAAAAGATTTATTCTGAATACTCATGTCTTTGAACCTGGTCAGATTTAAAATTCGATTTCTTCTGGAAAATATTTTTCCACGATTGACTACGATCAGATGGGGGGAAACCGTTAATGATCTTTGTTGTTTTGTACATATAGAGAGCAAGAAGAAGAGGATCGAACCTGATAATATGGTCTTAATTTCACAGGATCAGGTCTGATAGTCGACTTAGAATACAAATCTGCAAGAAAAACCGTATATAGATCCCATGAGTCGGATGAAGAGAGTAATTGAAAAAGCCAAGATTGAAAACTTACCATATGGATTAAATGAAATCACAGCTTCTAAAAGCTTTTGATCACCTTCATTCATAAATTGACGATAAGCTCCATCTCTATGCCAAGGGTAAAAAGAATGAAATCTAATCATTGCTAAACCTTCTTTAGGTAAAAGACATTTATCTTTTAATACATTGTACACTTTGAACATATCAAAAGACAAAGATTTGTTGTTAGTGATATTCTTTATGAAATCAGAGTCGTCTTCTTAAAAATGTAACTAGCTTTCTGGACACTTACAATATTCATCATGTCCCCAACTGAGTAAGACGTTCTCCATCCCACAGTTTGGTTCATAAACACCATATTCACTTGAATAAACTGGATCATTCCAATCTGGATTTTTGGAAAAAGTATTGGGATAAATAATCTTATCACTAAACTTGGCGCCCACCACAAACGTATCTCCTACCTAAAAATCAGCAAGAACAAAATTCCAGAATGCCTTTAATGGGAAGTTTTGAAAATTGTATGATGAGACTGAGATTTGGTTTTCTTTCTTACCACATCCCATTGACGACTTTCTTCTCCTTCAGGTCTAAAGAGATGCATCAATTTTCCCTGTAACCCAATCCGAACACAAGAGATAAAAAGTCAATAGTCATTTCACTCGATTTGATGAGAAACGCACGACTTACCAAATCATGTATCAAACCAACCACTTGCATCCAATCTGGTTTACCATCCTTTCTAATAGCTTCAGCAGTTTGAAGAAGATGATCAAGTTGACCTAATTCCATATCAGGATCAGATTCATCTACTAATCCATCTAAGACTTCTAATGCTTCAAAGATGGTCATCTTTCTCTTTTCTCTCTTTTTAAACCTTTCTCTTACTTGTAAGTTAACTAATTATATATGCGTGGGGGGTAATTTTTTTTTTTCGGTTCAAACGTCATCAAAAATTAAAGGCTCATAATCAGTTTTGAAACGTAGATTGTTATTGTTTTTTTTTGTGGGGGGATTTGGATGATGAGTTTGAACTTACATTCAAATGTTTGATTAGTGTGTTGTTCTTCATAAAAGTTTTTAACTCGATCACAAGCTTTTTCCTAATGAACCAAAAACAAACATTCCAAGTCACGAGGTCAAGAAGGTTTAGAAAACCCGGTTTGAATCAAGATCATCAAAACTTGTAACATCTCAAACAGGCTAATTACCCCAGTGCTATTTTTTGTTGGGTGGGGGAGGGATTTTAATTTTATGGAGATTGACTTACATAATCACGAAATGACTTTTGTAGACCTTCATCTTGATTTGATATGTTGTTTTTGTTAGGGTTTTGATTTATCTCGATCTAGTAAAGAGGCATAAGATTTAGATTTGAAAAAGTTGAGAGATTATGATTGTTCTTGGATGATTAAAACCGGATTGAGAGAGAGACAGGAAAGATTTATAAAAGGATAGTTTACCTTTAATAGATTTACTTTATCAACTTCATCCTCCATGGTTAATGGAAGGGGATCCACTTTGGCACTCATCTTAGATGGTAAAGAAGACTATATAGGATGGATTTTCTATGATATGATTGTGATTTTAGTTAGATTTGAGGGTAAAAGAGAAAGATGAAAGTAAAGAAAGCAAATCAAGAGAAGGTAATCAGAAAGAAATCAATCAAAAGGGTCAATAATAAGTTTGTAAAATCCAAGTAATAATCTAATTCGAGGTTTTTAAGAAAATAGTCAATCAACTTGAATGAATTTGAATTTGAATTTGAATTTTGATAGAAGAAGAGATTTGATGAGAAGACTTTATAGGTAGGTAGGTAGGTAGGTAGGTCTCTCAATCCATTCCGCAACTTAACCAATCCACTTTGACTCACACTGAATGACAATGACATCTTCTTGGTTTCATCATGGATTCTATGCGTTCTCCTCTTTTTAGACTGACTTGATGAAGAAACTACAACTCTGATCTCCTGATCGGCTCGGATGAGATCCGATGTAACGAAAATGAAATCAAAGAAGGAGAACACCAAACCTCAAATAAAAGCCAGAGATCTCATGATCAACTTTTAGATCAATGTTTAAGATTCAGAACATTTTTAATAGGAATACCATCTATGTATCTTTCTTTTCTATGAAGACTCTTGAGCTGTCTATCTACCTTTCTAGTATGTACAATCCATACCAAGTGAGAAAACTCTTGCTGTGAAGTTTGAGAACTTCATTTTTCACTCATTCGACAATCCAAGTTCAATCATCAGAACTCTTCATGTCAAGGACTCAGATCACTTGATTTCAATGTAAAGTATCAGCTTCATGATTTCACTGGCTCTTCGGTCCAATGACGTCATGCTGTCTTGTAAGCCGACCTTCATCTTTCTTGTTTTGCCAACGGTTTACCGAACGTTTGCTGTGATGGATCTTCTTGGCACAAGCTTCAGTTGAGGCTGAGCGGATCAAAAAGAAATTTCAAGTTGACTTCCATCATTTTTTTTAAAAAAAACCTATGAGCTCATAATTCAATTCATTCATCCAATGAGAATCATCTTAATTTTCATCATCAACTTCATTCAAAACAAAAAAAAAAAAGGTTTACATCCAACTCACTCTTGAACTTTGATTTCGGCCGAAAGTCTACACAGCGGCCAGGAGTTCTGTGAAGCTCATTCAGGAGGGGAGAAGCCGCACAAGTTTGTATTTATGTAAAGACAAACTTGTGCAAAATTATATATCAAAGACTGGACTCAAAACTCTCCACCTCTTAACTTGTATTTAAATATATGAAAAAAAAAATCAAATATATCTATATCGAATCTTTTAAACGCGCAGCAGTGTCAGTGATGTAAAGTTTCATTCGGGTTTACCAAGAAGGAAATACCGAAGATATCAATTGATTTGATTCGGATTCACCGCTTTTTATATACCGTCAAGCTTCAGACAAGACATGTAAGCTTATAACTAAGACCCCTCTTGCGACGCGGCTACATGCGCTACAAGACATGTGATTAAGTAAGGGCCGGTTCGGTAGCTTTTGGTGATATATAAGCTTGACTAAGCGTCTCTGCCGACGCGGCCGCGTCCGCTTCCGTTCTTGAACTTGAAGAGGGGTTTAAGGTTGATACCCCGACTTTGGCCTGAGACCAGCAGGATTTTCAAGCATATGTGCAACCTCATAAAAAGTGGGAAAGAGCTTCTTATGATAGACCTTGTGCACACACTTGTGCCACCTTGAGCACCACTTTAGTTGAATAAAGTGACAAATGTGAGCTGTTGAGGTCTTGTAAATCTGGTTCATACTCAACATGCAGCCCTACACGCGCGCTGAACCCATCAAAATCAGTTGGGATTGGAATAAAATTTCCTCATGATGCAGGAGCGGTGACAGGCTAAAAATAGTATGAGGAGAAGCAAAAGAGCTTGAAGAAGCTCTGCTGAATTTATTGCAGGGTTTCATGATATTTAGAGGCCTCAAAAAGGGATTCCAAGCCAAATTGCTTGAAGCTTGTAAAGGTGATATGCAATTGTCATGTCTTGATGGAAATGCCGATTTCAGATAATAACAGCAGCTGTCCTACATTGGGCAAAAAAATATACACACAACAGTGTTGATTTTTGCAAACTGATGCCTTTTGTTGGGTGCTTCTATTAATTTCAAGACCCTTGGAATGAACCAAAGAATTAATTACTCATCATGATGTCTGGTAGCATCAAATCAGCTTCCAAGATCCATTCCCGCAAAGCATTTTCAAACCTCCACAAAACACTGTGGAGAACAGTCTTACAGTCTTCTTTGATATTTGTATATTTTCAAGTTTGAAGTGTTCTTATATTCTCACATGTCGCACTAGCTACTGCTCTAGATAAGTCTACGTAGTATAAAAGATGACAAGTTTTTTTTGTTTACTATTGTGAAATGGTGAAGGTTTCTTACTTTGGTGATAATTAAACGCCCGTAATATCAAGAGGGATATATATATACAAATAGACAGAAGCAATAAAGATGAGGAATTATTACTTCTCTTGAGTAAATACGCTTTTGATAGGTTCAAATAGGCCTGTGTCTTCGAAACTGCACCGGGTGAACAAGCTGATAAACTGCCTCTTGTTTCAATTTCTTCTTGGATACTTGTCATTGCTTGGTGAAGATTGCACTCAGAAGTGTGCTGGAGTCTCGGTGCCACATGCTCCATTTTGTGTTTTCTTCTGCACATTAGGAACTGAGCCACACATGGACATTCTGAACCATCGCACTTCTCCTTGGAATGGGAAATTGGAATATGTTTATACAGGGATGTGATATGTGACTGTTACATGTGACTTTGATTCCAAGTGGTTAGGGTTGTGAAGATCTGAGTATATGCCCTTTTCAACTTTTTTTTTGTCGACTAAACCATTTTCCAACCAACCCAACTTCAATCCAAACCTCCAACGAAGCATTTTTTGATTCTCATCACCATCATCATCATCAGAATAAACCGGATTAGTTCTTTGCTTCACGTATCTTCATTCACAAGATGGCTTCAACTAACGGTCTGGAAATCAAACCTGAACCTTCATCCTCAGACGTACCAATGGTCTGTCTCAAATCCTTGCAAGCTTTATGATCAAGACTTGAAAGTTTTTCGAATCTGAAGCTGAAGCCTGAACATGACTGATCATCTCGCAGGAACAGGCTCTTACTTCAAAAGATTATTATTCTGATAGTTATGCTCATTTTGGGATTCATGAAGAAATGTTAAAGGATGAGGTTCGGACACTTAGTTATCGAAATTCAATGTGGTGGAACAAACATCTATTCAAGTTGGTTGTTTCTTTATATCTAAATAGATAAATTTAATTTGATCTGACTTCTGTGTGTTGTTTTAGGGACAAGGTTGTTTTGGATGTCGGATGTGGTACTGGAATTCTTTGCATGTTTGCTGCCAAAGCCGGTGCTGCCAAAGTTATCGGTGTAGGTTTTCTTTCGGTTCAAATTCAAACCCTTTGAAGACAAGATACGGAGCTGATTTATGCATTTCTTCGTTCATTCATATGGTAAACAAGATTGATATGTCAGATATCATTCACCAAGCGCAAAAGATTGTAAAAGCCAACGGATTTGAAGATAGTCAGTCTTTCTCATCTCATCATAAGTTTTGCTCTACACAAGCTGAGAATCTCTGTCCGCCTATAGCCATTACTCTGATCAAGGGTAAGCTGGAAGATGTAGAACTACCCGTTCAAAAGGTCGATATCATCATCTCGGAGTGGATGGGTTACTTTTTGTTGGTTCAATCTTATGATTCTACCTTTAGGTCATCCTATGCTAACTTTCTTGGTTTTTCCAGGTTGTATGAGTCAATGTTGGACACAGTGCTCTTAGCACGTGACAAATACCTGGTACAGAAGATAACTTTTAAATCGTCATCTACAAGATTCTGACTGAAATTCCCTACAGAAACCAGACGGACTCATGTTTCCCGATTCAGCCACATTATTCCTAGCTGGTCTTGAAGATGAGGCTTACAAGTCAGAGAAAATTGGCTGTGAGTCACTGATTGAGTAAACTGCTACGAAAACATTACAACCATAGATCTTCTGATGTTTTTCATTTCCATCTATTCTCTTAGTCTGGGACGATGTTTATGGCTTTGATTACTCGTGTATCAAAGAGCTTGCTCTACGAGAACCTCTGGTCGACACAGTCGAATTACGATCTGTGGTCACCAACCCATGTCCTGTTCGGACTTTTGATCTCCTTACCGTCACTAAGGAAGATCTATCATTTACGGCTCCTTTTAACTTGGAAGCCACACGGAAAGATTGTATGATGCCATGAGACGATTACTTTTTGAAGTGACCTGATTTGATGAACCGCTTCCGTGTCTAATCTCGGTAGATGTACATGCTATCTTGGGTTGGTTCGATGTATCCTTCCGGGCTTGTCACAAACCTGTATCCTTCTCTACTGGACCTCATGCTAAATACACACATTGTAAGTCGACTTCATCACCTTTTTCATTATTTGTATGACTCTAATAGGTTTGAAATTACAGGGAAGCAGACCGTGTTTTACTTGAAAGACATGTTGACCGTTAACAAAGGCGACGTGGTCAACGGAACTATTGCCGTCCGACCCAACTCCAAGAACCACCGTGACTTGGATATCGATATCAGTTATGAGTGAGTGAACTTTTCAATTAGAGCTTTAGACATACGGAATCTGACAAAGCACACTACTATTTTAGGCTTGGCGGGGAGCACCCATCATCTGACCAGATATCGTTCAAAATGTCTGTCACCTTTGCCTACTCTTCTTTTTCTCTTCTTTTGAGTTATATTATACTTCCTTGGTATGATGGTTGTGAAGCACGGATGTGTTGAGGCGCATCTTTATGTTGTCATCATCACATTTTTCCGTGACACTGACACTGACTATGTGTTGTAGGGCTTGAAATCTCTACAGGTATTGACCTCGGCTCTACGGTTTCGAAAAACAGAAATCTCTTTCCCCTGAACCTCTTACCTTACGACCACAAGACTCTCATGACCAACTCGAAAATGCCGCTCAAGATTTATGTCTTAAGATGATATCCAGTCTTGTTTTTGAACCAATGTATCTCTTGTTTGTGATTCAAGTATGGTGTCACCTCGTTTTACATTACTGAAACAAGATCTTAATAATAAGAAAACCATGGATGAATTCACTTGAGCTGCACTTTGCTCTCCGCGTCCTTTCACATGGTGGTATTCAATCGTCGCACATGATAGTCATTATGGGGCCCACTTGCCTACTTGCTCTAAAAGAAAAAAGTTTCATTGATACGAACAGATGTCAGAAGTTGATCACGTTGACTAGAATACAATATCACGAAGCCAAGTTCATTGGAATAGAAAGTAGTCCATTTCATAAACCCAAGATTACACCAAAGAATGCGAGAAAATCGGAGACTGTACCCACAGAACCATCCTGACGACTCTATAAAATATGACTGAACTTGGGTTCTATCGAGCAGTTTGACAATTTGATTGATTAGCTCTCCTGATGGTAATGTCAAACATCGTATGAACGACCGTGCTTTGATTTCGTGTCATGGAATCCACTGTGTGTCTGTTGAATCTTTCAAAGATTGGTTTGATAGGATTGATCCCAAGCTTGACTTGTTTAACCAAATACGACATTTGAAGTGGAACAACCTGAAACAATTTGCTGGAGATTCAAGGTCCCCCTTGATACGTAGATTACAATCCTTTTGATATAAAAATCTTCATGCTCATTCCGACTGCCACTGGCACTGCCAGCTTCAATTTTTTTGAAGACTTTGCGTTAGGGTATAGCACATTTCAGTCATAGCATTTTACCCAACAGTAAAATTGTATCTTCATGCTAAAGTTGTCTAATCGTCGCTGGTTTCAAGTTTGGCTTTACAACTCCAAGATTGATAATCTTCACTATTTTCCCTCGCACTTAACGCTTTAAAAGTCTTCTCATTAAACTGAGACAGTGGAACTTTATTGAGTTTATCTGTCATCCGGTAAATGAGCCCAGGATTGAGCTGCATTTTCTTCAAGAGGGTCAGAGTGACTGGTGTGCTTGTGCAAATGGAGGGGCTAGCCGCGTCAGGACCCAGGAATTTGAAAGCTCCTATTGGGGTTTGTGCCGAACAAAGTCAGGATTTGGATTGTGTCTTTTTGGATCTGACCTGAGTTTTCAATCCAAACCCCAAGAGGAGCTTTCCTGGGTGCTCTGGCTGCTGGAATCCAGATGGATGATCGATCGTTTTCCCACACTTTGTCAATCCATTGGTCGCATGATATAAAAGAATATGAACTCTAATAGGATCCCCAACCGAGTGCTGCCAGTTTGATCACTTTTGATGATCAGGTCTTCCATAAACATCATCATCAGCTCGAGCATCCACACCCTGGACCGGACTGAATCCTGAAGAAATGACCATGAATTCAAGACTTACTATGGACAAATCGAATCTCAAGCTTCTCACTCTCGCTATCATCCCGATATTTATTTCAACTGTCTTTGCTTTGAACGTACCATCACTCAACGTACCGGCTTGTCCAGCGAAGGCACATCTAGAGTACAATAAATCAGTACCGGACAAAAATCCATTTCCACTCACTACTGTTGATCTATGCTATGGAACTTCTACACTTGAATTAGTCTTTACTGCTTATAACGAAACAAGTTTTTATTGTAAGTTTATATCTCTAATCCTTATCCTAATTGATCAACCGAAAACTTAGATACAAGATCATTTCGTTTTAGATAATCGTACGCAAGGTACCAACGATAACATTTATGAATACGAAGTGATGGAAGCATTCATTTTTCGTGGTACAGAAGATCCACAGACGTACCTAGAAATAGAAGTGAATCCAGGAAACGTTACATTCCAATCAATAATCTATAACCCAAGTAAAACAGCAGACCCAAATAAACCATTCGAGAATCTATTCTTTAAAAACCCAAAAGAAGATGGATTAATTTCCAAAACTCAAATAAACCGATCACTACATCAATGGAAAAGTGAATTTGTGGTTCCACTAAGTATTTTTAATCTTCAGGATGGAGATGGGAAAGGTACTGAATGGAGGATGAATTTTTTTCGTACGGTTACTGATTCTGGTTTGTTTCCTGGGCAAGTTTTGGGAGCTTGGAGTGTGCCTTATTTGCCTCGGTTTCATGTTACTTCTTACTTTGGTCATGTTAAATTTGTTTGAACTCGGTTTATAGAGTGTTGATAGTGCATTAACTTGATTGTTTTTATTCCTGTGATTCACACTCGTTGTTTGACTGGCTATTGTACCATGCAAGTTTCAAATCAACATTACGTTGTGGTTTTGTATATTTCGTCTTCAAGAGTTTGAGAACCTTTCAATGGTCTGGTCAACTCACAAAAGGTGAATTTCGTGGCATTCTCCATTTTGTGGAATATATGTGCATGATCTCTGATCGGATCCCAATGAAATGATTATCATAGTTATCAATTCACTGAACCTCATGAGCAATTATGTAGACTTGACGAATGTTCATGAGGATGCAGTGCCACCGAACGGGATGAGGTGATGGAGACTGAGTGGATATGTAAAGAATGGTTACATATGAAAGAGCTGTGCCGCAGTTTGATTGTGGTTGAAATTGAAAATTGGATTCCAAGCATTTCAAGTTTTCAAGTTTTTCGAATTCAACAAACCAAGAAAGTCAATCAAGAAGACCATCAAGAGTAAATAGAAACCCAACAACGATCATGAGCAATCCAACTACAACATCAACCAGAAAACGATTAGATCCAAGAATCCAATCCTTAATCAAAAACTCAATCAAAACAAACCATAGATCATTCTTTATTATCTTGGGAGACAAATCAAAAGATCAAGTCGTTAATTTACATTTCTTATTATCTCAATCAAGACATACTTCAAGACCTAATGTATTATGGTGTTATAAAAAAGAATTAGGATTTACTTCTAATCGAAAGAAAAGAGAACAAAAGATTAAAAGAGATGTTAAGAAAGGTCAGAGAGAGATTGGTGATATGGATCCATTCGAATTATTTGTTTCTTTGACTGATATTAGATACACGTGAGTCAAATCAAATCAAACATCAAACATCAAACATCAAAGCTTCTTATTTGATCATTATCATGACTGATTTGTGTTTGTCTACAGGTACTATAAAGATACGGAAAAGATTCTAGGTCAAACTTTTGGCATGGTAGTTTTACAAGATTTTGAAGCTTTGACTCCCAACTTACTAGCTCGAACGATCGAAACTGTCACTGGGGGAGGAATCGTAGTACTTTTACTCAACACAATGAAATCACTCAAACAACTTTACACGATGAGTATGGATGTTCATGAACGTTATAGGACTGAAGCATATCACGATCTAGTAGCACGTTTCAATGAACGATTCTTATTGAGTTTAGGACCCTTTAAAGATTGTTTAGTATTAGATGATGAATTAAACGTATTACCTATCAGTGCAGGAAAAGATATCGAATTATTAGATGATGAAGATATAGAAAGATTACAAAAAGGTAAAGGGAAATCAAGACAAAGTGAATTAGAAGGAATTAAAGAAGAACTTAAATCTACTATACCTATTGGTCCGATCATTCAACTTACCAAAACGATTGATCAAGCTAAAGCTTTAATGGAATTCACTTCTAGTATTACTGAAAAAACTCTTTCTTCTACTGTTGCACTGACGGCGGCTCGAGGTCGTGGTAAATCGGCTGCTCTTGGATTGGCTATCACTGCTGCTATTGCTCATTCATATTCTAATATCTTTGTTACTTCACCAAGTCCTGAGAATTTGAAAACTGTTTTTGAGTTTATCTTTAAAGGATTAGATGCGATTGGTTATGAGGAACATTTAGATTATGATATACATCAATCTACTAATCCAGAATGGCATAATTGTGTAGTCAGAATCGATATTTTTAGACAACATAGACAAACCATTCAATATATTGAACCTCAAGATTATAAAGTTTTAGGACAAGCTGAATTAGTGGTGATAGATGAAGCTGCTGCTATCCCCATTGGATTTGTAAAGAATTTAATTGGACCTTATTTAGTTTTTATGGCTTCTACTATCAATGGTTATGAAGGGACTGGTCGTTCACTTTCACTTAAATTGATTGCACAACTTCGAGAACTTTCAAGGAAACCAGTACCGATTACGACTGCGACGAATCGGGATCAAGAAGATGGTCCATCTTCTACTGATAAAGCTGTGACTCATCAAAAACCTAAATTGTCAAGATCGTTAAAGGAAATCAAGTTGGAAGAACCTATTAGATATTCAGAAGGTGATGGGGTTGAGAAATGGTTAAATGAATTATTGTGTCTCGATGTTCAAACTTCTACGTCTTCCAAGACTCTTCAGGGTTGTCCTCATCCTAGCAAGTGTGAACTTTACTATGTGAATCGAGACACATTGTTCAGTTATCACCCAGCCTCTGAAGCTTTCCTACGACGAATGATGTCACTGTATGTTGCAAGTCATTATAAGAACTCACCTAACGATCTTCAACTGATGAGTGATGCACCATCTCATCAATTATATGTACTTTTACCACCATTGAAAGATGAAGATCATGGGAACCTTCCCGAACCATTGGTGGTGATTCAGATCGCATTGGAAGGTAAGATCTCAAGACCAAGTGTGATTGCAAGTTTGAATAGAGGGATCAAAGCATCAGGAGATCTTATTCCATGGACGATCTCACAACAATTTCAAGATGAAGATTTCCCTACACTTTCAGGTGCAAGGATCATTAGGATCGCTACTCATCCAGATTATTCTAGAATGGGATATGGAACTAGAGCGATGGAAATCTTGGATTCATTCTTTAATGGAAAACTAGTGAATTTAAATGAAGAGATTCCAATGAAGAACTCAACTGAAAAAGTCCGTAAATCAGTCATCAAAGAATCAGATGAAATCAATGGAAATGAAATTAAAGCAAAAGAATCAAATGAATTACCTGCCTTACTTGAAAGATTAAATGATCGAGAACCTGAGCGAATAGATTATCTTGGAGTGAGTTTTGGATTAACTTCAACACTTTTAAAGTTTTGGAAAAAGTTGGGATATCTTCCGATTTATATTAGACAAACTGAAAACGAACTAACAGGTGAACATACTGCTGTGATGTTGAGAAGTTTATGTCAAGAAATCAGTGATCAGTCTTATACGCCTGCTGGATGGCTTACTGCATTTGCTTTGGGTATGGTTTATTTTGATTGGATTGATTTTTGGTTTTGATTAATACTTTTGATTTGAAACTTATGAAGTTGATCGTTTTGATTTTGTCATTTTTGTAGACTTTCGTAAACGGTTCATTGCTTTAATGTCTTACAAGTTTAGAGAATTTTCTTCGATCATGAGTCTTAGCGTACTTGAAGCAGCCAATGCAGGTCAATTAGTTGAAAAACGAGGATTAGGTAAGTGACTAATCCAATCAAACTTATCAAACCCAAAACGAAAATTGATCCTAATCTGATTGATTTTTTTTTTTGAATTTATATAGTGTTAAATTCAACAGAGATTTCAAGACATTTTACACCCTTCGATTTAAAAAGATTATCAAGTTATTCTAATAATATGTTAGATTATCATGTGATCTTAGATCTTTTACCTTCTTTAACTGAATTATATTTTAGTGGTCAGTTTAATTCTGAAACTAGATTAACTGGAGTTCAATCTTCGATTCTTTTGAGTTTAGGATTACAAAGGAAATCAGTTGAAGAGATTGAGGTTCGTGATTTGTTTTTTTTTTGGTTTTCTTTTGATAGAGAGAATCTGATTTGATTTCGATTTGGTTTGAGAATAGAGAGAAATCAAATTACCTGTTTCTCAAACTTTAGCTTTGTTTGTGAAAGTGGTTAGGAAATTGATTAAATCGATTGAAGAAATCCAAAAGAATGAAGTAGGATCTAAACTTATATCCAGTCATCAAGAAAATCAAGATCCTAAAGGTTTACCTGATCAAGACCAATCTACTAAAACTAAGACGTTGGATTTCTTACCTAGAGTTAAAACTCAAAAATCAATGGTTAACGAATTAGAAATTGAAGGAGATGAAGTTCAAAAACAATTGGTTGAAAGACAAAGAGAATTAATTGAAAGTCTTGATTTATCTCAGTAAGTAGGTTTTTTCTTTTTTCTGGTTTTTTCTTTTCCATTTTTTTTTCTTTTCTTTATCTTTTCTTTTACATAATTCTTTAATTGGGTTTTAATGTTTTTTTTTTGTTTTTTTTTTTCTTTTAGGTATGCAATTGGTGGTGAAGAATCAGATTGGAAACAATTAGAAAACAAATTAGAATCAGTGATTGAAAAGAATGAAAATGAAGATGAAAATAGTAATGGTAATAGATTGATTAGTATTAAAAATTCGAATTCGAGTAAACTTAATAAGAAACGAAAATCGAATGATGATGGCTTAGGTAAAGAGAAATCCAATCAGAGTCAACATCTGAATAAGAAATCTAATAAGAAACATAAGAAGAAATCTACTTGATCTGCTTACCCTTCTTAACTTTCTTAATCTTTTCTCTTTGGTTTTGGTTTTGGGTTTGTTTTCAGTTTTATGGAATTAAGAAAGTCTTGTATGGATTGGATACGTAGTAGGCTATAAACAAATTACATGCATGAAGTAATGATAACATACCATCAATCCATAAGTTTCCAAACCACATTTCTTAGTAAATCTAAACCTCCATCTTGGAGCCCTGTTGGTTGAGATGCAAAAGTGTATGTCCCTCATTACCTGCCCTTTAGTTTGCTTTGAACTTCATGCAAAATTCAAACAAGTTGTCTGAAATGAACTTTTTTATAAGATAATCCAAAATCAAACAAGTTACTGATTTCTTTTAAATAAACAAACAAACAAACAAAAAGAATCACAACACTTCTTTTGAAATCTTGCCAAATCACCATTCTACAAAACAAAACTTCTATCTACATCAACTAGAGAAAAAAAATCAATCAATAATACATATATATAGAGAGCTAGTTTGTAAGAAGACTAAATAACGATAAAACATGTTCTTCATCATCATCCTACGCGTTTTGATACTCCTTTTAATCACAAATCTTTGAACAAACCCTTTTTTCTTTGAGGAGGTAGTTCTTCTTTATAAATAAAACCAAACCGGTTTAGAAAAAAAAAGTTACAAGCTTTAAATTTTGGTTAAACACTAAGTCAAAGAAAAAGGTAAGTTTCATGAATTTTAAGGTCAAGGAGGTTTAGGTTTAAGAGGTGGTTTGAGTTTATCGACCAGCTGAATAGATTTGAGCACGGATCTCATCAAATGGATCGTTATAGGTTGACATCACTGGTCTTTGATACACCACTTCGTTTGTGGTTGGAACTGAAGGTTGTTGTCCGTACGGTACAGGTCTTGCGTAACCCGTAGGAATCCGATCAGCTTCAAAGACAGGTCGATCACCATCTAAAGGTCAAAACCCCCACAAGCGTGTCACTTCAGTTTACAAAAGGTGGGTTTTTTTTGAAAGAATGATGTATAATTCGACTTACAATAGCCTCCTACATTGCTGTGTCTTACTGCAGACATCTCACTACGTAATGGATCCTCATCTTCTTCTTCTTCTTCTGCTTGTTGTTCTTCATCTATTGTTCTTCCACCTCTTGGTGGTTCGAATGCTGGATGAGATGGTCCCATCTTTCGAATCGAATACCAAGATTTAAGAACGATTCCAAGTGAGAAAGCAAATGAAACTGACCATTTCAAGAAGAAAAGAAAAAAGAGTCAAAAAAATGATTCACAGAGAGTTAGTAAGTAGAAGAAATGACTGACTGAAACTGAACCACCAAAATGCTGCGGCGGCTCGTTTGTTTCCTGTTAGAATTAAAACTCTTGTTAGTTGATACTCTTCAAAAGAAAACACTGAGATCAGGAAATCGAATCAAAACCAACTACAGAAACCACCCATATTGGCAGTATAATCTTTTAATTGTGAATTCGGATCTGAATCTCGATTCTTACAACCACCAGTATATGCAGAAATAGTAGAGACCAATCTATTGAGAAATGATAGGGATTTTTTTGTGAACGTAACAGGGTTAGTTTTTGTTGGTATTGAGCATTATAAGGCGTGAACTGACGATAGAATGAGTGTGAAACCAGTTTGGGTTCCATAGACGATGAATTGAACACGAGTTAATCGAATAGCACGAGCAAATCCTTTTACTAAAATAAACCTTCCCACATCAGTTTCTAAGAAACTTTGAAAGTTAAGCAAGGGTAAGACTGACATGTATCTGTTCGTTCGTATATCTGAGGTACTACTAAGAATGATAAAGCGTGTAGGAAAGCTTGACAGAGGACAAACTATTGAAGGAAAAGAAGAAAAACGCGTTAGAGAGATGGAGACTGAGTAGGATGGAAAATACGTACTAGAGCTAAACCTGTTAGACCTGATGGACCAACATCCCAACGCTGGTTGAGATTGGGAAAAGAAGTTGATGAGTTAAGATGATCGAACATGATAGATTGATGTTCTAACCTTTTGAAAACTAGCAATAGCTATATAAATGAATAAATTGATAAGAATAAAGAAAACCTAAGAAAAGAAGAAAAGGTCGTTTTTGATCCTATCAGTTTTTGATTTTTTTTTGATCTGGTTTAAAAGATTAGTTTATGATTTTACTTACAGTAGCACTTCTAATCGTAACTTGAAGTGGACTAATATCATCATCATCTAAAATCGAACCAGCACCACCACCACCAGTTTCTACAATCTTACCAAACCCTTTGGACGTGAGTTTAGATTGAGGTCCACCTGAAATCCCTCTTGAATGTTCATTTACACCTAATGGTGGTATCTTTGGTGAATGTTTTCCTTTACCAAAAGCTCTGATCAAGAAAAAACAAAAAGTGATGTGTGTTAGTTTTTTTGGGGTTTGATCGGTTGGGTTTAGAGGAAAGAAATAGTACTTGCCTGTTTAGACCTGTGAAGTCAGCGTTTCTCATTTTTTCTAATATTTCTGACATGCTGAGTTTGGTTGATGGTTTGGTTTGATAGTTTTTGAATAAGTTTTAATGAGTTGAGGATAAGAAGTGAATGGAGTGAAGTGGTGAAGTGGGCTGTGTTTTAAGTTATCGATTGTCTTGGCAAGAAACGTAAAGTAGATTATCATCACGTGACTCTCTCTTTCTCTCACACACGGTACACCACTTTTAACAACAAAATGAAGATCTCTCAACATTTTCTCATCTATCAAGAATCACTTCTATCTTAATCATACAATCTTCATGCGATCCCGCCGACCGAGCAGTGGAAATTTATTAACGTGGTAATGGTATAAACCTCATTGCTAATTTCCCAAAATATTTACTAAGACGGTACATCTCGGTACAAGATTCAGCTTCCCATTGGTATACTTCATAGTGTGGAACTTTTCAAGGAGATGTTCTTATTTAACCTGAGAGTCACATCAGCAAATGTAGAGGTCAAGTAACGAGATTTTGGATTCTTGGTTCATACATACTCAGCTGTTCACTTGGGATTTTTGACCGTCGACTTCATGGCTCAAGACGCGTCTATTTACGCGTAGATTGCCTTGTAATCTTTCATCGAAAGTCTGTTGCATAGGGTTTGTTCATAGAGATAGATTTGCTTATAAGCACAGGTCTCAAGAGGATGTGGATTCTTGGATTTGGCTCTTATCTGTGGGCGCCTAAAATGTGAGAACACTTAACAGATGAATCAGATGTCAAAATTAAAATATCATACTTCAAATCCGACATCTTTCTTGTGGCTATATGAAGGGTGATTGGATGTGGAAGAATGTATGTTTGTGAAGATGAAATTTTATTCGTGTCAAAGGATGAGTAAGATAGCGATATGAAATATTAGTGATGTAAGATGAATGATTTATGAAAATAGGAATAAAAATTTATGTATGTCTGTTGATACTAAAGTGAATTGGCAGAACAAGCGTCTTTGCTTGAAAGTAGCGAAAAATGAAAAATCTGGTGGTATGACTCTGACCTGTGTGACTCTCAAGGAGACACACGAAGAAGCAAAATCGACTTCATTCCGATTTAGCATCAAAGGCTCCGAGACTCTCAAAAGATATGCAAACACATGATGGTATTGCAATAAATAAGAAAACCATTAAAAAGATTTAACAAAAGAAATGATAACATAAAAAAACCGTGTTCAAACAACCATAAAATCTAAAAAAAAGTAGAAATATTATAAAATTTTCATTCAATGTTATTTCTATAATTCTACAAACGAAAAATGTAAAAAAATTAGAAGTTGAACAGATGAGCAGGAAAAAGGGAGGCATACCTGTTTAGTTGGGTGTTGAGGTTCCATTTTTCTGGGCTGCTTGTACACCAAGTGCGGCTAGGATTGGAGCAGGAATGTCTCGTCTAGTGTTCTTGGTTTGGTTAACTGCTTTGTTTGTGGTTTGAACAGTTTGGGCAGCTTGAGCAGCTTGAGCAGGTTGGGCAGGCTGAGCGGGCTGGGCAGGCTGGATTCCAAGAGCTGCTAGAACAGGTGCAGGAATATCACGTTGGTTGAGTGCTCGTCGGGTGGTCTTGGTCTGGTTCACTGCTTTGTTGGTAGTTTGGACAGTTTGAGCAGATTGAGCGGGTTGAGCAGGTTGGGCAGCTTGGATGCCAAGAGCTGCTAGAACAGGTGCAGGAATATCTCGTTGGTTGAGTGCTCGTCGGGTGGTCTTGGTCTGGTTGACTGCTTTGTTCGTAGTTTGAACAGTTTGGGCAGCTTGAGCGGCTTGAGCGGGTTGAGCGGGTTGAGCAGGCTGGGCAGGCTGGATTCCAAGGGCGGCAAGGATAGGAGCAGGGATATCACGTTGGTTGAGTGCTCGTCGAGTGTTCTTCGTCTGGTTGACTGCTTTGTTTGCTGTCTGAGCAGGTTGGACAGCTTGAGCGGGTTGGGCGGGTTGAGCAGCTTGGATGCCCAGAGCAGCTAGAACAGGTGCAGGAATATCACGTGGTTTGAGTGATCGTCGAGTGTTCTTGGTCTGGTTTACTGCTTTGTTCGTAGTTTGGACAGTTTGGGCAGGTTGAGCAGGTTGAGCGGGTTGGGCTGGCTGGACTCCTAGAGCGGCGAGGATAGGAGCAGGAATATCTCGTTGGTTGAGTGCTCGTCGGGTGGTCTTGGTCTGGTTGACTGCTTTGTTGGCGGTTTGAGCAGGTTGGGCAACTTGAGCCGGTTGAGCGGGCTGGGCGGGCTGGACTCCAAGAGCTGCAAGGATAGGAGCAGGGATATCACGCTGATTGAGTGCTCGTCGAGTGTTCTTGGTTTGATTGACTGCTTTGTTCGTAGTTTGGACAGTTTGAGCTGGTTGGGCAGCCTGAGCGGGTTGCGCAGGCTGGACGCCGAGAGCGGCGAGGATAGGAGCAGGAATATCACGCTGATTCAGAAGTGATCGTCGGGTGTTCTTGGTCTGGTTCACTGCTTTGTTCGTAGTTTGGACAGTTTGAGCAGGTTGGGCGGGTTGAGCAGGTTGAGCAGGTTGAGCAGCTTGGATGCCCAGAGCTGCTAGAACAGGTGCAGGAATATCACGTGGTTTGAGTGATCGTCGAGTGTTCTTGGTCTGGTTTACTGCTTTGTTCGTAGTTTGGACAGTTTGAGCAGTTTGGGCAGGTTGAGCGGGTTGGGCTGGCTGGACTCCAAGAGCGGCGAGGATAGGAGCAGGAATGTCACGCTGTTTGACTACGGAGCGTCTCCTGAGAGGTGCATTGATGTCTCGAGTATGGAGTGTTGAGGTCTGATCAACACTAGAGCTGAAAAAAGCAAAATAAAGGTTAGCAAATGAAGTTATTGAGATGATGTATAGAAAAAGAAACTGACCTCGATGGAAGAGCATTGACTTGTGATGAAAAGAAAGCGTTTAATGCAAAGATGGTGACAGAAGTGAACTGCATGTTGATAATATTATAAAAATATAAAATAAAATAAAAATTCAAGTTGTAAATGTATGAAAGTTCGAAAGAGTAATAAAGATAGTGAACAGGAAATAAGGCTAGCTTGTATGAAGAAACAAAAGAGCAACCGGTGCTGTGACTGATTAAAGAATAAGTATCAAGTAGATGTCTGAGTGGGATGCTGGAGTGGAAAGAATGAATGCACAGAACAGCCGTGTTTTATATGATGGGTCTCTCTGCCTCTTGGAAAGAAAACACCACACGAATTTTGGTTTTTGCAAGAGTTGTACGAAATCCTCAATTAATCGACGGAGTATTCGTCATCCATCCTCTTAACTGGCCCGGATGATCGGGATCAAGATACCAGACAGCCAGTCTTGAAAGTCTTGTTTGGAAGGATTACGTATGGGTAGTAAAACCCAACATTGAGCGAAAATACTAGCCTAGAGTCGAGGAAACTCGAATCAACCAAACCAATTCCTTCAGCAGCACACACACCTTGGCGTTGGTAACAAAAATGACTATGACGAGTGTGTTGGTCAATACATGTCGTGTGTAGGGTGATTGGCGATTTGCAGACTTCAATCAGGTCTTTAACTGTTTATTACGTCTTGATAACTTGTCATCATTTCAAGCAAAAGTTTGGCGTGCACATGTATCCAAGCAAATAGGTGCGATGGGATCGCAATTTTATGTTCTTACCTTGATTGAATCTGCGAGAGATCACAGTTTTCTTTTGCGAAGGACTCGTAAAAAAGTGTTAGTAAAATGCCTTTTGTGCCACTGCCACACAAACTGACGAGGACGTCTTTCGTCTCATCGTTAAAGTCGTCTGGAACACGAATGATTATGATCCTAGTTTCGCGCCCTAGGCCATGTTTTTTACCATGAGCGTACAGCAGTTGATGGTGTACACCTTGAAGTTTTCATTTACTCACTCAAGTGTTGCTGAGCTATGCTCCACTTGCTCATGCAGTCAATTTGCGCTTCAAAATCACCATGTTTTGCTGTTTTGCAATGGTAGAGGCGCGCCTGCTACCGAGCTCATTTCGGTACGAGCGGCTTCGGTGCGCAGCCGCTCCTGTAAATACCCGCGCCCTGTGACATTGTGATTTTTACAAAGTGCTGTGAATTGACCTGGATGAATTTATCAAAAACACCATTACCATTTATTTACCATCAACTTCAATCATCAATCAACTTCGTCGCTTCTCTCAAGCTTTCTACAAGGAAACCATTCGAACCTTTAATATCCAAGCTCATAAACAGAATTCACTCGCTTTCGAATCAAAACCAATTTCTTGATGAGCGAGCCTGATGTGTCTCCAACTTTGACTTTGCAAAAACCTTCCTTATCAAGTCAAGATGACCAGATCGAGACTCTAGATGAAAGCTTGATTGAAGAAGAAGAAATCGACGAGGATGTGTCTCAAGAAGCCCAATACCTTTCCTTATCACCTCACAGTGAAAGGTCTGACGCACTCCCGATTTACGATGACCCTCAAGGTTCCATGTTCTCAGGCCCTACCGCTGAGTCGGTTCCTTCTAGTGCAACTTGCATGCAATTGAGGTCCCCAAGCCGATCACGCTCGATCAGGAAGACCCGGAATGCACCTGATAGTGATGCATATTCACTTCGATCAAGTCGCTCAAAAACTCTCTCAGGCCGCCGAAAACATTCTATTGGAGCTATATCTTCTGGTGGTCGGCCACGATCTTCCCGCTCTAGTGATGCAGGAGCCAGCGAAGTTTCTACGAGGCGAGGAAGAACGCACCTTAATCCCAATGATGGCTCAGTTCAGGATGAATCCGAGACTGGCTTCTTTAGCAACCTATCCGCAATGTTCAAAGGAAAAGGTCGAGCGTCTAGTCATCAACGCGACTCTTATCATCCAATCAGGAGTAGTTCTACTTCCACCCGAAGACGTCCATCAATGAGTCGCTCAGTTCGTTCAGCTGCAAGCTCTTGGTACAGTGGCCGTTCAACTCGTTCCAAATCAAGGTTGGCTTCTCGACCTTCTTACCGTGACAATCCGGATGATGAATCCTGTCCGGACGTTGATGATTCGGATGATGATCTTTCCTCGGTTTCGACTTCGACTTCCAATTCTGATCCATCATCTTCTGACTCATCCACTTCACGTAGACGGCATCAAAAAGATACATTCGGATTGATGAGCTCAGGTGGAGAATCACGAATCGAAATTATTCCAATGTCTAGTGAATTTGACACCGACGGAGGTCAATTCTGTAATGATCACAAGAACCATGATCCTTTGACTCGCCAGTCTGTATATTTTGTAGATGAAGATATGCAGATTAATTTCTTTGGTTGGGGATTAGTATTCTGGAAAGCTGCACTCTGGAAATTGGGTTGTATCTTTTCATTTGGTATACTTTGGTTGATCGGTCGATGGAAGGTTGCATGGATGCTCAAATCTCGAGGAAAAGAAACTTCTTTTTCCGAGGCTTCTCACCTCGTTATCAATACCAATGGCGGAGATGGTCACATTGTTCGATTAGAAACCTTGACGTTCAATGATCCACTTCCATTGGTCACTGTCTTTCCACCCAGTCTGCGTACACCACCGGCTTGTCGCGAGCAGGCTACCACTGTACCGTCTCTCTGTAAATCAGGCGGTGGAGCTTCCAAAACAACAAGCCCTCGAATGTCAACTGTCACCTTGGCACAGTCCTGCGGCTCCTCGTCGACTTCTCCCGAAACCGTTCAGCTTACTCAGATCAAGTATTTCGATTATCGATATCACCGATTCTTTCTTCATCCTATCACTATGCAATTTCGAATGGCCCGAGACTGGCAAGACCCCTGTTGGTTGACTTCACTTTCGAATCTTGCAAAGGGACTCGACTATAAAGACAGTACGTCTAGGCGCCAATTGTTTAGCGAGAATGTTATGGAAGTCAAAGGAAAGACTACGGCCCAACTGTTAGTGGACGAAGTAAGTTTTGATATCTTCACCCGCGAAGAGGTTATCGTGATGCAATGTGTATTGATCAGTGTCGCATAACTTCACGTCTTGGCTCATCCACTAGGCCCTTCATCCTTTCTATTTATTTCAAATCGCTTCAATCATTCTATGGTCAATGGACGATTACTACTGTAAGCGCGATTGGCAATATCATTTATATACTCACTGATCTCAATCTTGTGCATCTAGATTACGCGCTGTGTATTGCAGCAATCAGTATCAGCAGCGTCCTGACGACTTTGTTCGAAACCAAGCGTGTTTGCACTATTCCAACATACTCCTTTCCCGTGCTTGTCGCCCTTTCACCCGATGCAACAGCTGACTAATGGCCGTTCAACGCTTGTTAGAACCTCGCGCGTATGCAAGAGCTGTCGCGTTTTACCTGTGATGTCACGGTTTTGCGGGGTACTACATGTGCGTACCAAGATTCACTCATATACACATGTCAGACTCGCCATCTCTGAACACAATTCCATCTTGATCGGCGTCCTCTTGTATCACCCAGGGGTGTCTGTGAATTCGGTGGACCTTGTGCCGGGCGATGTGATCGACGTTTCAGAAGCTAGCCTGCACACCTTTCCAGCCGACTTACTTTTGTTATCAGGTGATGCAATCGTCAATGAGTCAATGCTCACTGGAGAGTCTATTCCGGTTTCAAAGCTTCCGGCTGCAGAGTCCACGCTCAAGGAGATGAGTAACATGGTCGGCGATCCGTCTCCAACGTTGGCGAAGCATATCTTGTTTTGCGGCACAAAAATCATTCGGATCAGGAAGGCTACTCGGACACGTCAATCTGATCCTACTCATGTTGTCGAAGCTGCCAAAGCTATGGTGATTCGTACAGCCTTCAATACCACTAAAGGTGCCTTGATCCGATCCATGCTGTTTCCGAAACCCATGGATTTTGCATTCTATCGAGACTCGTTCCGGTTTATTGGTGCTCTTGCATTGATCGCCGGTTTTGGATTTGTGGGAAGTGCGATAAATTTCTTACAGATGGGCATCAAATGGAGTACCATCTTGATCCGGGCTTTGGATTTGATCACAATCGTCGTTCCACCCGCCTTACCAGCAACAATGTCAATCGGTACCTCTTTCTCTATGGCACGTTTGAGGAAGCTGGGGATATTTTGTATCTCACCCAACAGAGTCAACATCGGTGGCAAAATCAACTTGGTATGTTTTGATAAGACTGGTACATTGACCGAAGAAGGTTTAGATGTGCTCGGCGTTAGAACAGTCGATCGTTCTCATGGTGACTTTAGTGAACTGTACGATGAGATTGAAGACGTACCAATCCTTGCGCCAGATGATAAGAAAACTCCTCTTATGCACGCCTTGGCCACCTGTCATGGGCTGAAAGTAGTCAATGGACAAGTTTTGGGTGATCCGCTGGATCTAAAGATGTTTCAGTTCACAAGGTGGTCAATTGAAGAAGGTGATCAAGGCTCGGCCCTTGCCGGTTTAAGTCAATCTATTCCTGATCCGCCCCGTGACCGTCGTAGAGGGAAGGAAGATAAGGCTTCAGGCTCTACCAAAAAGAAAAAGAAATCTCGACCGTCACCTACACCTGTCCCGACTCAAGCCGATTCCTTGATTCCACCTGGTAGTTCAAGAGTGGCCGAACGACAGGCTGCACTTGTCCAGACGATCGTTCGACCACCGGGTGGAACTAGTTTTGAAGTGGAAGATGCGATGAAATCAACTCGGTTCTTGGAACTCGGTATTATTCGAACTTTTGACTTTGCTTCGGAGTTACGAAGAATGAGTGTGCTCGTTAGGAAGCTGAAGTCTCCTAGCATTGAAGCTTACGTCAAGGGTGCACCAGAGGCTATGATTGATATCTGCGAAAAGGACAGTTGTGCGTTACCGGTTTGATTCTATATTACCCATCATATACGCAGCCTGTACGGTTAAATTGAAGCTCTTTTCCCTGGTTGTTCAATTTGTTTGTGTGTACCATGAGATAGTACCCAAGGACTACGAAGAACTTTTAACCGACTACACTCGCAACGGTTATCGTGTGATCGCTGTGGCGGCCAAATCGTATCCTAAATTAACTTGGCTCAAAGCTCAACGTCTGAGTCGAGCGGATGTGGAATCTGATTTACGATTTTTGGGGTTCATTATCTTTGAAAACAAGCTCAAACCAGGTACCGAGCCTTCGATTCATGTTCTAAGGAATGCTCATATTGGGATCAAGATGTGCACTGGAGACAATATTCGTACAGGGATTAGTGTTGGTAGAGAATGTGGGATGATCTCTCCTTCTGCTCGAGTTTATATGCCAGTCTTTGCTTCTGGTATGTTTTGGATTTCACCAAAGGAATGTTGATTGCTTGCTGACTTGTTTCTCAAAGGCTCGCAAGCCGTAGCGGGCTCAACGATCATGTGGTTCGATATTGATACCGAGTCCAAAAGACTAGACCCCTATACCCTCAGGGTAAGCCAGCTCACTTCTCTTTTCGTGAATGGCAGTACTTTTTTTTATTGATATTCAGTTTGCCGCGATTTCTTTGACAGCCTATTCTCGATATGGACGACCACGATGGCGACCAAAGCATCTTGAGCTCTTGTTCCAGTGGTTCGACAGACTATGTTCTCGCAGTCAGCGGTGACGTTTTCCGTTGGATCATGGACTATGGAGCACTAGAAACTGTACAACGGGTCTGTTTTGAGCATATTCACTTTTCAGAAATCACGTAGATCAACTGAAACGCTGTTTTGCTTGGGTGACACAGATGCTTTATAAAACGGTGATCTTTGCTAGGATGTCACCAGACGAGAAACACGAGCTGGTGGAACGATTACAAGGCTTGGATTACACCGTTGGCTTTTGTGGTGATGGGGCAAATGATTGCGGAGCTTTAAAGGCAGCTGACGTAGGCTTATCGTTATCGGAAGCTGAAGCATCAGTAGCAGCGCCTTTTACGAGTCGACAACCTGATATCTCATGTTTCATTGAAGTGATTCGTGAAGGGAGATGTGCTCTTGTCACGAGTTTCTCTTGCTTCAAGTATATGGCATTGTATAGCTTAATCCAGTTTACGACCATCACTTTGCTATACAGCTTGCCATCTTCTTTGGGAGATTTTCAAGTTAGTGATGATTTGGCTCTAAAATCGACTTTTTTATTTTCAATGTACTAATATACTTGATTACTCTTTGGAAGTTTCTTTACATCGATCTTTTCATCATCATCCCTATAGCCATTGCCATGGGACGCACTCATCCCTATGGTCGAGTGGTACCAAAGCGACCGACTGCGAAATTAGTTTCAAAACGAGTTTTAGTTTCAATGATTGGTCAAGTAGCCATTAACTCTACAATCCAAGCTATTTTGTTTTGGCGAGTTCGATCTCAAGAATGGTATGAACCCCAAATGCCTGAAGCAGGGGAACATAAATTACCTACATCCAATCCAGAAAACTCTACACTTTTTCTCGTTTCGATTTTCCAGTATGTGTTGGTTGCTGCTACATTCTCAGTTGGACCTCCGTATCGAAAGGAGATGTTCACCAATTGTGAGTAGAGTTTTTGTGAAGTTCAATCCGTTAAAAAATACTGACATGCTCATTTAATTTACTCCAATCAATCAGCTCTCCTTGTGATTTGTTTAGCAGGATTAGGAGGGTTTTCGACTTACATGTTATTCGTCACATCAGGATGGTTTTATGATATTTTACAATTAGTACCACTTACACATGAATTCAGATTAGAATTAGCCTTATGTGTGATTGGAAATGTAGTGATGAGTATTTGGTTTGAAAGTGTTGGAGTTCAACCGATTGCTTTATGGGTTGGAAAACAACTTAAATTGATTAGAAATTGGAAAGAAGATTTTGCAGGTGGATCGTTGGGAGGAATGAAGAGAGAGAAAAGGAAATTGTATAAGGTGATTGGTGAAAATATGGATTTCTAATTGGATTTTTCTTATTTTTTGAGTGGATGATTAGCGATTAGAATTTGAAAAGTTATGAGTCGTATTAGAAGTTTGTTTGAAGTTACAAGTAGATGTTTTTCCATTCATTTGGAAAATAAAATCGGTAGACTGTTTTTGTTTTGTTTATCTTTTTCGGTTTAATTAGTTTAAGTTGATAATTTTTATAGATTTGCAAGTCATTGTTTTTTAATGAAATCATGAATCATACACATTTTAAGGTGTTTCAAAATAATGATTTTTCTGCTTTATAATTGTTGTGTATGTATGAATCTGATGACAATGGTATAACACTAATTAGAAGATCTCATGGTCTCTTTATGGTTGGACAGAATAAGGATTGGGATTCAAAGTCGGATTAATTACTAGAAGAAAATAAGGATAGTAATGAAGATGTTTGGAGTCTACAGTTGCTTGGCCAAATTTGCACGCAAGCCTTGAGTAAATTGGTGTGGAATATGGAAGGGGCTCCTCTGAATTAGTTGTCGAAATATTTTTTTGGCAACCTTAGTATCCGCATTTTTTTAATTGAAGTTCTCATTGTAATTGATGCTTCACTTTTTCCCTGGAGTTGTTCTGAAGTACATAACTGAAAGACAAGAAAGGTTCATCAAAGGTGCTACATAGCACGGTTCATCTGCAAGTGATGTTTGCAATAATGAAAAAGTAGCGACCAAAATTCTTCAGCCGAAAGTTGAAGCAAACCTGGTCATGGCAAGGCCTCTGTATTTTTTATTCCTTGCTTAACTTTATCATGAGTTGTGTGGTTGGGCAAAAATCAAGGTTGAAAATGCGAAGAAATGCAATACCAGCTTATGCCAGCCCCGCAGTCGAGACACACCTTCGATGACCGGTCGCTCCTGGGATCCAAACCTTATGATTAAACAGACTTGGAAAGCTCAGATGTGTCATCCTAACAACTTCCGGTCGTATAGGTATGGACCAGCATAGACCAGCATACGCATGATGACTTGATGATACTTGCGAGGCCTTCGAGTGAAAAAGAGACAAAGGCCCCAAGAAAGTCTTACAACCCCGGTCTAATGCCACCATAGTGACCATCCTAGGTCGTCAAGCCCTTCTAATTATACATAGCTTGTCATATATGGACAAACGATATTTCTCGTCATAAGCGATCGTACCATTCGATCGGAGTGTACCAAGTCCTTTGTCCGTTGTCACCCAGTGTCCAGATGAGCTAGGATCCACAGTGAATGACTCTGAGTGCATCAAATGATAACTGTCCAAGCACTACCCTTAATGTGACTCAGCTTTTCCGATCTCCCCTGTCTGATCAAAGACTAGACCTTCGTGAGTCAGAGGGCAGGCCGACGGATGACTAGTAACCTCGGGACGTAGACACGGTCTTTCATTTGCTCAATCTATGGGCAATTCCTTTGGGATATGCTTTATTGATTCCGGCTTCATCAGCCAAGCCATCAACGCTTCACATAATTTGCTTCCTCTTGTGCATTGTCCAGGGGACATATAATTTACCACTGCTTATCACATCGCAATTATCTTTAACCAGATCGCGTCGTCATTAACATCTCTATTATCACTCCGAGATAATATTCACTTTCACGCCGGATTTCACGTCATCCGTGGTACTAAGCTTCTTATTTTTGTGGAGATTGAAGATTTTCCGCTCGAGGGTTGCTCCTGAGCCTCCTTAAAAAGCTGCCTTGGATGAATTTTTGTCAACTTCTTTTTGTACCAGTTTGTTTGATCATTTTTCCTCATTCTCTTCAATCCAAATCCATCGTTTCTTCGTTATTTCCTTTGATTGATAGCCGTTCTAGATTTTCTTCTTATCCAGTCGTTCTTACAAAAGTACTATTTGATTTCGTAGCTATCTGGCTTGCTTGTATCACAAACATATCTAAATTAGCGCCGTGATAAACCTCAACAAAATGTGTCGTTCTAACTTATCCACTTTGGCAACCTTCGCAGGAGCCCTGATGTTTTTAAACTTTCAATCCGTCTTCGCTCACGTTTACATAAAGTCTTGGAAGTCTACCACCGAGAACAATTTTCAACTCGCACAAAAACAACCTGCCTCGAAAACGGCTTATCGCGATGCTTCAGGAAATATCGGCTGGATCGGAAGCAACTTCCTTTCGGGCGATCGAGCAATTGTCTGCGGAGCTTCTCAGACACCATATGCACGCGTAGCCTCGCCGGGTGGAAAGTACTTCTCCGATGCTTCCGAAGCTGTTGGCCAAACTCTCAATGTCAGCGCTGGAGGAAAAATCACATTGGTCGCGGCGGGTGACGCTGGAAAAGGGTACGTTCGAACTTTGTAATTCTATCTTGACACTTCTCTGAGCCCCGACTGATCATGATATGAACATCATGATACGATATCTTCAACACAGTTTCCCTCATCCTAAGGGTCATATCCAAGCCTATCTGGGCTACTGCGGCGCATCCAGTACCGCTTGCCAAAAATTTGATGCTTCCTCGGCATATTATTTCAAAATCCAAGAGGTGAAGAACGGAGTTCAAGAAAAGTTGCGTCCGGCAATGAACTACGATCTCGATGGGAACTTATGGGAAGTTCCAATTCCGTCTGATGTCCCTCAAGGAAGCTACATCTTTAGATTTGAAATGTGAGTCCACACTCCACTCCTCTTTGATTTATCAGTCACCAATCTCATGTATACCGATCTTGGTTGCAGAATTGCCTTTGATCAATCCAACGAGTCGGAAGGACATCAGGATCAATATTATCCATCTTGTGGTCAGATCTATGTGACTTCAAATGTTCAGACCAAAACTCTCAAAAGCTTCTCGGCAGTCAGGTTTCCTGGTGCATACCAAAATGGCAACATCAAGCAAGCATCCGCCCCCGGCCCTGCGGTTATCCAACAGGGATCTTCATACGCGGTTGTGGAGACTAGCTCAAATGGTGTTCTCAAAGCCAAGTCCATGGCCATCAAGTCCACCAATGCTACGGAGACGTCTGCTACTTCGACATCACAGGATACGGACGACACAGTGGACTCTGCCAACTCGACCTCCTCATCGTCAAAATCAGAGAATGTTAGCGATCAAACTAAATCCAACAGTTCAAGCACTCAAGGTTCAACTGGAATCTGTTTATCACAGCTGATTCCCTCCTGTGCGAAGATGTGTCTTGCTAAAAAACACGAGGAAGCATCCTCTTTGGCGGCTGGTTGTTCAGTTACGGATGGAAAATGTCTTTGTTCGGCGCGAAACTTCGTTCAGGCTTACGAAAACTGTGCTCGAGACCATTGTGCTGTAAGTCTATGCTTCTTGGTTTCAAAACACACTGACATTTTGGCTGATGACCTTTCGGACGTATATTCAAAGGCCGGAGCGGAATTGACCTCGGCAGTTTCTGCGTTCACATCACAATGCAAGACATTGACTAAACAGAATTCTGGATCTCACGCGTCCTCCACTCGTCGCCATCGTCGTCACCACCCGTACTCTTCGGGACCTTCTGCCAGACCTCATCGCAGATGATTGAATCTAGGGTTGACCGGTTTCTCTTTGAAAGTGTTCATTGAGAACGAGTTTCGATTTTCGATTTTCTAAACTTTCTACTATTCATATCTATGAACAATTCGCGCTGTACCAATCACCTCGTTGTATCACTGTGGGACTTCGGTACCCCTTTGAATTTGCTTATTTTGTATCAAGAAGCTGGATGCTTTTGTATTTGGGTTGATTCCTTGAAAATGGTTTTTTATTCCAGTTGTCTGTAACTATGTGTAACTCTTCCCTATTTGTGTGCGACTGGTTTGCTTTATGAAGTCAATGTATATATATCTCAAACTTCCCTCAAAAACGATGAGTGAGGAACTTGACCTTTTTGTTGTTCGTATTGCAAGAACGCTACCAGGTCCCACCGACCTCTCAACTCAACGTCATCGGACATGTAAATCAAACCAAACTTTGCTCAAATGCAACCGGGATCGGTGGAATCCGCCTTATCTCTTTACATAGTTCAGTACGGAATTGATAGTCCCCTACTCGAGTCATCATTTTTTTTGGCAATGCTGTGATGATGTTGGGGGTGGATCTCGTAATGGCTAACACATCACATCACGCTGAGCTGAACCAGCACATAAATCAAATACTCTTTTCCACTTTCTTGTCTCTCTTGATAAAAACTTCAGACTATATGCAATATTTATTTGATCTTGTTCTCGATCCTTGAAGGTGGTATAAGACTAGCTGAGTAACCCAAATATAATCACAGGGAGATCTATCTCTTCGTCGGAGGCATCTCCTAAGGATATTATCAACTTCGTACAAAATTGACGTCGCAGACATCCAATTGATACAACGGTCGAGGAAGAATGAGTAGAGAACATGATCTGAAATGATGAGACCTACTTGTGAAACCCATGCATTCAGGGCCTACCATCGCATCCATATTGAAAGGGTGATGTTGTTTCAAGATGCATAGATCGGGGTATTTTTGAGATGACTTATTGTTGACGCCCGTAATTGACAAGTTTGGAGGGTCTTAAACCAAGTCTTGTTGCAGTCAGCATGTCACATTGAGATATAAACAAAGATAGCGCACTGTTATATGTCTCTCCAGGCTTCGATTGCGCAAAAAGACAAAAGTAAATATCAGTTAAACATGTTACCTCGATAAACGTTATGGACATTGACTTACCTCGCAGTGGTCCCGAGCACAAGTCTTGTAGGCTTCTACAAATGTTTTCTTAGAACATAAGCATCTTCCTTCGCTTGCGGCACAGCCAGCGGCTAGCTGATTGATTTCTTCATATTTTTTTGTGAGACACTTTTTTGCGCAAGACGGTGAGGAGTCAGGTAATCCAATAGCGGCGAATGGTTCGAAATCTGGCTTTTCGACTTCTGGAGAAACATCAGTAGATTTATCAACATCAGACTCTTTTGAGTTGACAGTGGTCTTGACGGATACGGTGGATTGATTATCATTGGATTTCTGCATCAGTGAGGGGCCAGGTATAGTATCCTCCTGAATGTTCCCATTGGTATAGGTGCCAGGGAACTTGACTCCTTGTAATACGGCGGAAGAATCTGCCTCTTGATTCGATTTCACATATAGCTGACCACAAGAAGGGTAATATTGGTCTTGATGTCCTTCTGCTGCATTTGATTGACCAAAGGCAATTCTGTTCAAAGTATTCAAAATTGAAACAAATTTAGTTGGATTAGCACAGAGACATAAGCAACAGGATCCTCATGAAAAACTTACATCTCGAATCTGAAAATATAACTGCCTTGAGGTACCTCCGCAGGAATTGGTACTTCCCATACATTTCCGTCAAGATCGTAGTTCATGGCTGGACGCAATTTGTCTTGAACTGCATTCTTTGATTCTTGAATCTTGAAATAAGTTGTGGATGAAGCGTCGAAATTTTGACAGGCTGTAGGAGATTTTCCACAGTAACCTAAGTAAGCCTGAATATGACCTTTAGGATGTGGAAACCTACGAGTAGAAAAATAATGAGAGTGTAAACATCATGCGAACGAATGATTAGTTATGATTCAGAAGTAAGTTTTTCAGTCATGGGAGGATGTAGATCGATATAAGGGCTTACCCTTTTCCAGGATCATTCGCAGTGACCAAAGTGACCTTGCCTCCGGCTTCCACCGTCAGCGTTTTTGCAACAGCTTCAGAAACATCAGAGAAGAACCTACCGCCGGGTGATTTGACTTCTCCGAAGGGAGTCGAGGAAGCTCCGCATACGATTGCTCGACCATCAGCTATGAATTGGCTTCCAATCCAGCCGCTGTTATCCGAAGCACCTCTATATGCTGTATTTGAAGCGGATTGCTTTTGAGCAGCCTGAAACTTGTCCTCGGAGCTGGACTTCCAAGACTTTATGAAAACATGACCCATGACAGATTGAAAACTGATCAGCAAGAGAATCCCAATGATTTTGACAGATGATAAAGAGATGATGATAGGCATCGTGTTGAAAATCGAAGTAGTTGTGCAAGAAGTATGTGTAGTAGTGTTGTGAAAAGAATGTTTTCGAAAAAGATTGTGAATGTGTAGTATCGAAAAAATGTAGGAGTTGATGTTGATGTCGATAAAAATTTGAGATTCGAAGAACGGGTACGCCAAGAGAGCAAGGACTATATCAACGATGTTCTTCCCGAAAAAATCTGATGAGTTAAAAGAGATTGGGGTCAAAAGGATGGACATTCTTCATTAGCTGAGGTGTGCTTTTCAATTCATGAAATCTTGAGCCTTCACGGAAAGCAAAATAACTCCAAATCGAAAAGACCGATGACATTCAAGGTCATTTCTCGAAAAAATGCTTTTTATAAAATGACTCTCATTTTGCCATGACTGTCATTTTGCCATGACTGAAAGATATGTGACATATAATCTCACTAATGGTAATTAAGAGATGGATCCTGAGGGGAGTCAACCAGCATTGAAGATACCTGTGTGCTGTGGCGGCATCATCTCTTGTGATTGAGCTATAACTGACTTCACGCCTTGCACGAGGTATATCATCCAGTCACTAGTGAGATTTGTGGTATCAGCTTTCACTGTTTATATAAAGGATCCCGGTATTCCCACCACCACCACCCAGAACTCTGTGTGTTGGTGTATGAAGTTTTGTTACAGTGTACTGTTGATACACAATGCGTATCACTGAGTACTCGACACTTACCTGCGATTCAGCACTCAGATAGAATGACTATACGCTGAGTCCTTTCCTTGAGTTCTAATTGTAAGAACTCAGTTCCTGAGCAACTTCTCAGCGTTAAAGCAAATTGTATATAATGTATCTAGAATGCTTGTATTCATTTCTCTCTCTGATCATCAGAAATTAATAATATCATTAGATTCATCTTTGCTTTCACTCTTCGGAGTATTCCATTTCGTGACACTCTCATCTTCGCATCTCTTCTCATTCAAGTGACAGCTCTGGTTTAGCTGTTCTCGCTTGTGTGACACGACGCTTTACATCTATAGGTTATGAGCCCAGCGCTCCAGACGCGCCCTCTATACACTTACACTACCCTTTGATCCATCAAAGGCACTAAATAACTATACCTACAAACCACTCTCGCTCTCTCTCTCTATGACGAAAGGCGACGACACCAAACCAACCGAACCTCCAGTTACCTATAACATGTCGACTTCAAACTCGGGAACCACTAACTTCAGCACCTCGGCAATATCATCGATTCCTAAATTAACTATGGGAAATCTTTTCGCATGGAAAACTGAATTAAAGATTTATCTCAAAATGAATGGCCTCTACGAATTTATTGAACAAGAAATCAAACGCCCATCCGATTTCCAAGAACGATCCAAATACGATATGCGACAAGCAGCAACGCTATACGCTATACGTAACACTATTGACTCCGCCAACTTAGCATCTATTGAATCACTCGAAGATCCAAAACTAGCCTTCGAAACTCTCGTATCGCAACACGGTTCTGACAATGGTATTGTCACCGCAAACACCCTCACCGAACTCTTCAGTCTGAAATACGACCATTCCATTGGTATCACTAATTACATTGCAAAAATCCAAGACTTACACAGCAAAATTCGCGATCTAACTGCGGGTGACAAAGACTTACAACTCTCCGACAGACTATTTGCTATACTACTAGTTAACAGCCTCCCTCGGAATGAATTTGGTCTCATCATTCAACATTTCCTCTCGAACATTAAGACAATCACCACAAGTGATGTATGTGCTCGACTCAGACTTGAGGCTAGCTCTACTCTTGGAAATGAAGAAAAATCAAAAGAAGTATATCATATCAAATCCCGAAAACCTGCAAGAACTGATAACCGACGAGTTGGAAAACTGCCAAAAGACTTATGTCACATACACCCAAACTCGAAACACACCAACGAGCAGTGCCACACTCAAAAGAAAAATAACACCAAAGATTCTAGCTCACTTTCTACTGAAGAAATGGCTAGACGATACCAAGCAATGATGGCTAACTCAAACCAGACCACTCCAACTAACTTGAATTCAGTATCTGCTCATGTAGCTATTGAAAACCCTTCCTCTAACGACTTCATCACGTACGCTGCTTACAATGCCTCCACCAAAACCACCAAGAACACCGAGTTTCTAATCGATAGTGGTGCAAATACACACATCACGAGTCAAGCAAACTTATTATCTAATATACATACTATTCCCAATGTCAAAATATCTGGCATAGGAGGACATGATAAACAGGTTTCTGCTAGATTAGCTGGTACTGCATACATCCAAGGCACCACCATATCCGGAGAACCTAGACTCATCGCAATCGAAGATGTACTCCTAATCCCCAATGCTGGAGTAAACATCATATCCGTTTCATCTATGATCAAGGATGGAGCTACTCTCTCCAGTAGCAAATCTGCTCTGATGCTTAAAAACTCGACAAGTGATTACATCATCACCGGAAAAGAAATAGATGGACTGTTTATAACACAGGCACGTCGATCTCCTGTTCTATTCGCTGCTTCTGCTTCAATCCCAGCTGACGTATGGCACCGTCAATATGGTCATCTCAACTACAGATCTTTGTCTAAAGTATCACCATCTCCACCCAGAAAACTGGACTGTGAATCTTGTATTCTATCAAAAGCCCATCGTCTTCCATTTTCCTCTCATTTTCCTAAGTCCGATACTCCTCTTTTTCGTATTCATAGTGATGTTCTAGGACCAATGCCTACCACATCGATTGGTGGAGGAAAATACATTGTATCTTTTATTGATGATGCTACCAGGTACAATTGTATTAAAATCATGCGCACAAAATCACAAGTATACACAAGTTTTGTACAATATGTCACTGAATCTGAGAGGTACCCATAACAAGCGAGTTGCTATTCTGAAATCCGATCGAGGCGGTGAGTATACATCAAATGAATTCTCAAAATATCTTTCCCAACAAGGTATTGCTTTTGAACGTGCTCCTGCCAAGACTCCTGAACAAAACTCGGTAAGCGAAAGATTCAATCGATCTCTTCTTGAAAGAACAAGATCCGTCATGGTCGATTCAAATATCCCAAACTTCTTATGGGGGGAAATCATCATGTCAATTTCATTCCTCTTAAATGTATCACCCAATGCGGCAATTGACATGGAAACCCCTCTCAACTTATGGAATGCTGACATATCCGGTGCTCACAAAGCAAACAATGATTTCCTCCGAGTTTTGGGATGTGCTGCCTATCCGCTATTAAAATCAACCGAATACAACAAATTATCTGCCAAATCTCGGGCTTGTGTTCTGGTAGGATATGAACAAGGAGCTCGTGCTTATCGACTATGGGATATCTCTAACAAAAAGATCATTGTCTCACGTAATGTCGTATTCAACGAACGACTCTTTCCTTTTAAGAATAAAATACCCATTCAAACTAATGAAATCAACACTGATGTCATTACCTTCTCTCCAACTCCAGCACAAAACCAATCAACTGCACCAGAAATCGATGTCAACCATTTGCCAACTGAAAACCTAACAAGCACATCGTCAAATTCTGCAGTTAACGACACGACTGTACTACCTGTTATTCCTAATTCCACTGTTCAACAACAGACATTACCACCTCAATCTCCACCACCCAATCCGCCTCAAAACCACAACCTTCCTTTTCATATTTCCGGACCACGAGATAACAACACTATATCAATAAATTCATCTCCGTTTCTATCCCCTCAACGACTTTCACCAATTTCTCCCAATTTCTCGGAATTCTCACTATCCGAGTATCCAACAAATCTATCCCAGAAACCTGAAGAAATCATAGAATTCACTCCGAAACAACTAATACCTCTATCCAAATCAATACATGCTCCTAAAGAATATACACCAGCACCACAAGAAATCAAGATTATATCAGAAACCGACACAATCTCAGAACTAGAAAAGCAAAAACAAAAAGAAAATAAAATAAAAACGCAAAAAGATCATGAATTAGAAATAGAAAAACAAAAACAAATCAGACATCAGTATGAATTAACATTGAAGCTAGAAAAGGAAAAGGAAAAAGAAAAAGAAAAAGAAAGAGAAGAACAAAAACAAAAAGAGACAGAAAAAGCAAAACTACTTACATATCAAAAAGAACTGAATATCAGATTAGAAAAACGAAAACAAAATCAAATCAAACAACAACAAGAATTAGAAGAAAAATTAGAAAAAGCAAAACAAAAACAAATTGCACATGAAAAAGAATTACAATTAACATTAGAAAAAGAAAAAGAAAAAGAAAGAGAAAAAGAAAAAGAAAGAGAAAAAGAAAAAGAAAAAGAAAAAGAAAATAACAAACTAATCATTAGAATAAAAAGACCTAAGAACAACAATAACAACATTGCCCTAAACAAAGAAGAACAATCAAAATTAACGAAAGAATCAGATAACTGTACTAACATCTCAAACACCACACCAGAAGAACAAATCGAAATGAACAACAACGAAACAAATCCAGTAGAAAATCCTGTACTACCCGTCACAAACAAACAAACTCCAAAAATCATTCCTCACCCTCCTTCTCAACGACCTGCGCGTGATCGAAAACCCCCTCTTCGTTACGGCAACCTCACAATATATGCTGCAAAACGAAGTGCTGACTGTCCATCCTACGCAGAAGCAATGAGAGGTAATGAACGCGAAAACTGGATCAAAGCAATGGAGAGTGAATTCAATTCCCTAACCTCTCACAATGTTGGAGAATTAGTTGATGCTCCATCAGAAGCAAACATAATAGGAGGTATGTGGCGTCTAAAAAGAAAACGAGACGAACATGGTAATATCATCAAGTACAAAGCCAGATGGGTAGCTTTAGGTAATCATCAGATATGGGGAGTTGATTATGATAAAACCTTTGCATCAGTAGTCCAGTCAGACACA